AGGTTAACCTCCCTTCCTCACTGCTTTGTGCCTGGCTCCTCGCTCATTGTTGAAGCACACGCTTACTCCTATAAACGTGAGCGGTGGAATCAGGAACAGTGGGATTTTATGCTGTGTAATGAATTACCTTCTATTATTGCATCTCCCAGAATAGACAAAGAAAATTCCAAACCAGCCTGTCAACATGATGTCAGCTGAAGAAACGGTGTGGCCTCCACCAGGCGAGGCTCAGCACGACCCTGAGTGGCCTCCACCAGGCGAGGCTCAGCACGACCCTGAGTGGCCTCCACCAGGCGAGGCTCAGCATGGCCCTGAGTGGCCTTTGTGGTCACACAACAAAGACCTTTTCCACTTTCAAATGTAACCAAATGCCACTAGAATGAGCCTTAAATGAAAACATTTTCAACTTGTAAGTATAAACAAAGATTCTTGATAGTTTTTTGAGCCAAGCAGAGTGAGTCCATGCAGAAGCAAACGTAGGACCAGCACCTCAGACGATGAGCTTTGGGATCTATGGATAATATCTGAGGCTGCAGAGGTGAGATAGGCAGGGAGTTGGAACATCGTAGGTGTGGAGTCGACTGTGGGAAGCCAGGTGGAAAGAAACATGGGGACCATAGCAAGCTCAGCCGCAATGCCAGCATCCCGTATGGGTAGCAGTTCATGTCCCCCCTGCTGTTCCAGTTCAGATCCAACTCCCTGCTTATAACCTGGGAAAGCAACGGAGGATGACTCAAGTCTTGGGCCTCTGCACACGTGTGGGAGCCCAGAGAGAGGCTCGTGGTTCCTGGCTTTGGATAAGCTAGCTCTGATTGTTGCAGCTGTTTGGAAAGTAAACCAGCGATAGAAGATCTCTCCTCTCTCGGTAAAAGTCTGCCTTTCAAAGAAAAATAGATTTTTTTTTTTAACAAAAAAGAAAATATACAACATCATAAAATGGGAGACTCTCCCTCAAACTTATCCATGAAGTCATTGTTTGAGAACTTGTCTGAAATGGTTCCCAAACTCATGAGAAAAGGAAGGCAGGAGGCCACACGGCTGCTCCCACAGCATGCAGTGTGGTTTCAGGGGCGTGCGCTTCTGCCTGGACGTTTCCATATCGTCAGGTCGGCTTCACTCCCGCCGTTGGAGGAGCAGAGCGCCAGCCAGAGCTGCGCGGACCATGACCTAGCCACAAAGGAGAGCAAGGTGAGAGGGAAGGTACGAGAAGGCAGCGGAAGGAGCGATACCGAAGGTGCAGAGGGAGAGGAATCCATTCTAGAAAGACACAAACTGCCAAAGCTGATAGAAGAACAGTCTGAATAAACCTATAAAACCTAGACATTGGGCCAATAACTTCTAACGCTTCCCACAACCAAAGGCCCAGGGAAGAGGAGGGACACTTCCTGACTCGTTCTATAATGTGAATATTACTTTGATATCAAACCCAGACAAAAGGGGCAAAGGAAAGGAGAGTCACAGACCAGTTGCGCTTCTGAAAGCAGGCATGAAATTCCTCGACAAAATACCAGAGCTGGAGCACAGCAGCGCGTGGAAATGATTACACACCAGGGCCAAATGACATTTCCTTCAAAGCGCCGAGCTGACTTAACACCTGAGAGCCAATTAATGTAATACACTGTCAGTAGATGGAGGACCAGCACGAGATGAACATCCAGGTAGATGCAGAAACCACCTCACTGCATCTCACATGATCAACACCGGATGCTTCCGCTAGCCACAGGAGGCGCCCACATGGCAGCTGCACCGAGTGCTTGGAAACGGACTGCCTTCCCCTAAGGAACAGAGCGAGATGAAGAGTCCACTGTTACATTCAGCAGTGTTCTAGAAGATCTGGACTAACCAGGAATGAGAAAGAAAAGCCGTCTAGAGCAGAAAGGAAGAGGTGAGCTTTGTCTGTTTGCAAGTCGCATGCTCTTACATGTTGGAGATCCAAAGGGACCAGTGCAACAGACACAGACCCCCACACACGTCACGGCTAGTGAATGAGCAGCAAGTTTGCAAAGCACAGGATGAATAGGTAAAATTCAGTGGTATTTCTGTACATTCAGTGAACAATCTGAAAATGAAAAGATGAAAATAATTCCATTTGTAATAACATTTTTAAAGAAGGAATACTACAGAGGCAAGTTTCAGAAGACATGCCCAACTTAAACTCTGAAAACTAGAAATCAAATGTAAAATAACTTATAGGTCTGACAGGCCCCATCAAATCCAGGCTGCCTTAAAATTCATACGGAAGTTCCAGTTCCACAAACCTAGAATAGCCAGAACGAAAGTGGAAGACTTGTGTCTTCTGGTTTAAAAGCTTACCACAGAGCCTAGTCCAGTAGCCTAGCAGCTTAAGTCCTCTCTTTGCATGTGCTGGGATCCCATTTGGGCGCTGGTTCTAATCCCAGCAGCCCTGCTTCCCATCCAGCTCCCTGCTTGTGGCCTGGGAAAGCAGTCAAGGACAGCCCAAAGCCTTGGGATCCTGCACTCATGTGGGAGACCCAGAAGAAATTCCTGGCTCCTGACTTCAGATCAGCTCAGCTCTGACCATTGTAGCCACTTTGGAAGTGAATCAACAGATGGAAGATCTTTCTTTAAGTCTCTCCTTCACTCTCTATATATGCCTTTCCGATAAAAATAAGTCTTCTAGAAAATAATAAAAGCTTCCTGCAGAGTTGTGGTTATCGACCCGGTGTGGCTGGGGCCGGAGGAGAGACACGGCTGGTGGAGGAACACCAGAGGACACCAGAGGAGCTCGGGTGGTGGGAGTGCAGTGATGGGTGACAAGGTGTGAGCTGCTAGGAAGGAGGATCTCACCAGCGGTGCTGGTGCAGCTCGGGAAGGACCGCGCATCCGAATGTATGACCAGGCGCTCGTCGGCCGCTCTGCCCATCAGCCGTGCACATCGGCATTCTTTCCTCTTCTCGGATGAGATGAATTACCCTGTGCATGATTTCATGTACATGAGTTGTATTGCTCCTCTTAAACCTGTGAGTGAGATGGCTGTGTCAAAGGGAACTAACTGTGTGTTTTAAAGAATAGCCAGGTTGTCTCCTGTGCACCTGTACTATTGAACTCTTGGGGCAAGGGGGGTAGTTGTAGTGTTGTCAGGTTAAGGCACTGCCTGCAGTGCCAGCATAGCATATGAGTACCATTGCGGGCCCTAGCTGCTCCACTTCTCACCCAGCTCCCTGCTAAAGTGCCTGGGAAAGCAGCAGAGCCTGGGTCCTTGGGCCCCTGCACCCACGTGATGAATCTGGATGAAGCTCCTGGCTCCTGATCTCTATGTCCCTGCCCTGGCATTGCGGTGATTTGGGGAGTGAACTCGAAGATGGATGCTCTCTCTGTCTCTCCCCCCACTTTTCTCTGTAACTCTTTCAAATAAATACAAGAAACCTTAAAGATTTATTCTTGGTTTTTGTTTAAGCTCTTGAGTTAGAGGTTTCTCAATGTACAGAAGCACAAACAGCCATAGAAAATAGATGGATTGGACTTAAGATGGGAAAGTTGGGTACTTCAAAGGGCACCACCAAGAATATAAAAAGATAGCTCACAGACTGGGAGAAATGATTAGCAATTCACATATCTGATAAGGATCTTAGGAATGTTTAAATATTTCTTAGAGCTTAATATTAAAAGTGATTCAATGTTGCAATGGGGAAAAGATCAGAAAATGTATTTCTGCAAAGGAAGATAAAATACTAGCTAAGTAAGTACATAAAAAGATGATCAAAGTCATTGGTCTCCAGAAAACATGCACATAAAAGCGACAGCTATAAGAGGGACAGGAACAAACAGTGCTGAAGGGAAATTGCAGCTCTGGCGGCTCTTCATGCGAATACAGTGGTCCAGACGCTGGAGAACAGCCCAGGTGCCCTGCCCGGTGTTCAGCAGCTCTCACTCCTGATAATTAGGGAAACTAAACACAGGTCTATAGAACTTACCTGGATTATTGATAATAGCCTTAAAATGGAAAGAACCCAAAAGTCCATGTGCTGTTGGGCAGGAGAAGAAGCTGGGGTATTATACCCAGGCAGCGGAGGGTGACTCAGTTACAGAAAGGAGCAAAGTAATTGCTGCTGCAGTGTTGAGTGGACCTTAGATGACCCCGGAAGAAAAGCAGGCGTTACAGGCCTCCTGTGATTCCACTGATGAGTCTAGGTGATGAATGGAATCCAGATCAATCCTCAGACAGGAAGTAGTTCAGTGGCTGGAAAGTTTGGACTAAGTGACAAGTGGCAACTAGCAAGTGGAAGGTTCCTTCTCCGGGTGCTGAAGTGTTCCAGCGGGGACGTGCTGACAGCTGTCCAACACCACTCATGTACTAACAACCACTGAATCACACACCCTACATGGATGAATTGTGTGGCTACTGAATTATAGCTTGGTGACACTTTTATTTTAAAATGCTGAATGAAAAGTTTATGACACAATACATGAACATGTTTTTTGTAGAATATCATATCCTTGAAAATCTGCAAAAGTGCGACGCAATGCCATGGCTCTCAATGGAAGCTTCTTCCTTGTTAATAAGATAGCAGCGTAGTATCCGTTGCATTCCTCATGTGCCGACTCTGCGCTCGGCTCTCGTGTGTTTTGTCATTGGCTTTTCACAGCACTCTCTGGCATCCCAAGATTTTACATTTACAAAATTGCATTATTTATCAGAGCATCAAAAACACACGGTTCGTTTGGTGGTGGCAATTGGGAGTAGCTAGAAAGATAAAATACTTTTGGTCTCTATTAGAGTTGGTTTTCATGGGAGCCTGTATGGTTTTGCGAGCACAAGGAGAAACCATCCGTGTATGTGTTTAAGTAAGCTTTTAAGTTGAACCTGAAGCATTTGATGTGTGGCCCAGTCCCAGTTTGAGGAGTAAAAGCTGCTAGCTTTTTATTTCACGACCTCCTGAATTGGAGAGATGAGTTGGCGGAGGCCATCCTGCCGACCTTACCCGGGGAGGGCATGTCCACGGGTGCTGACCATGCTGGCTTTTGTTTCTCGTTTTCAGTGTTATGTGCCAAGAACCTTGCAAAGAAGGACTTCTTCAGTAAGTAAATACTCGGTTTTGCTCTGTTTTTGCCGCATTGTTGGTCATGTGGTTCTGAAATTTGGGGCTTTTAAAAGACCGCTGTGTGTATTCTCCAAGTCTTGCTCGTTACCGAGCGGCGATCCTTGGTTTGACCAATGTCCTCTCCCGGGGGCCGCAGCCTGCCGGCTGCCTCCTCCACGCGCAGAAGTGATAGATCACGCCAGCATCCTGTGTCGCTCGCTGGCCAGCCACACGCAGCCTTCTCTGTCTCCCCTCCAGCATGGGATATTGCATTTTGCTGGGTGAAGTGTTCTTAATTCAGATACAGATGGGAATAGTTTTCTATCAGATAGCTGCATTTGACGGAAGGCGTTGATCACATTTTAGAAAGTAAGCCACGGTGAGAATGCCCCGTCATACAGAATCCTGAAGGAAGGAATTGTTGCTTAAGAAACAAGGTGGTGCCTGCAGCCTTGAGTCTGCGCACACCTCTGGTCTCCGAGGAAGGCTGCTCAGCTCCTGCGTGGCAGGATTCACACACTCCCAGCCAGAAGCGTGGGCTCTGAGGCTCTGGCTGGGTAGCTGGGAAGCCCCAGAGTGGTGGCTCACCTCCAGATCCGTCTCGCAGGCTCTGCACCTTGCCTCCTGTCGGATCCCATAAACCTGTCTGATTCCTACTCTGGCACTGAGGAGTGTTTCCTGTTAGCCTCAGGGAGCACCTGCTTGCAGCGGTGAGACCACCTGTAGGCAGGAATGTGGGGCACTAGCATAACTTCTACGTAAGAACAGCTCCAGACTCCTCTCCCTCGTGCAACTAGCCTCACTTAGTAATCATCCAGAACAGAAATTTGGAGTTAACCCTATTTCATAGTTTGCTGTTCTCTCAGTAGCTGAGTGTGCAGGCATCCTGGCTAATGACACATAGAAAGTAAATTGCTTACTTTGCCACAAGTTGGCTAACCCTTAACTGAGAGGATGAAAGGCACATGGGCCATCTTTGCCTGGAGGATCCGCAGCAGCATCCTGTCTCCTCCAGGGCTCCCCGACCCCTTTGCAAAGATCGTTGTGGACGGGTCTGGCCAGTGCCACTCAACCGACACTGTGAAGAACACGTTGGACCCCAAGTGGAACCAGCATTATGACCTGTGAGTTGAATGTTCTCCGAGTCATTTGGGCCGAGGTGGGGAAGGGAGCAAAAAACACTGTAGCTCAGGTCCCCTTCATGCTATTACCTTTTGATGAACTCTTGAACGTTGTAGTTTTTATTTTTATTTGAAAGGCAGATTTAGGGAGAGAGAAGAACAGAGAGGTCTTTCATCTGCTGGTTCACTTCCCAAATGGTTGCAGTGGTCAGAGCTGAGCCGGTGTGACACCAGTAGCTTCTTCTGAGTCTCTGTGTGACTGCAGGGACCCCAAGGACTTGGGCCAGCCTCTGCTGCTCTCCCAGGCCATAAGCAGGCCACTGGACCAGAAGTAGAGCAGCTGGGAGGCACAAAGTGGCACTCATGGAATGCTGGCGCTGGAGGAAGGAAATCAGTTTGCTATCCCACCGTGCTAGCCCCAACCACTAGTGTTTATTAAGCCTGACTGGCAGAGATTCCTGACTGTGTCACCATCCTATGGAGCTGTTATTGTATAGTAAGTCTGCTGTATGGGACCGTGATTATTACGTGGTTGTCTACACCCCGCATGCCGTTCCACCGCCAGCCCGCTGGAGCTGGTGGATGTGTATTTATGGGCTGTCTCTCACGTGACCCTCGGGGCCAGTGTTATTTTGTAAGGCTCCCGAAGTCATGTCAGCTAAGATGTCTGTGAAACCCTCGCTGAGAAGTCCCGTGAGTCAGCGGAATCTGTGCTTTGCAGGTACGTTGGGAAGACAGATTCTATAACCATCAGCGTGTGGAACCACAAGAAGATCCACAAGAAGCAGGGGGCTGGCTTCCTGGGCTGTGTGCGGCTGCTCTCCAATGCCGTCAGCAGGTTGAAAGACACCGGATGTAAGGGCGCGTAGCTTGTCTGCCTCTCAGTGCAGCCGAAGGAAGCCTCTGGGGCATTGGTTGTTGTTGAATGCCGAATACAGAATTCCTGCCTCCCTCCTTAGCTACCTTTCCTTGGGTTAAGTTTTGAATTGTTTGTTTGCAGACCAGCGTTTGGATCTATGCAAACTAAATCCCTCAGATACTGATGCAGTCCGTGGCCAAATAGTGGGTAAGAACTTTCCCATCTGTATGCAAAGATGCTTTCAGAGAACTTAACGTTGGGTTCTTGCTCTCCGAGAGGCCCCAAGTCCTGGCGATGGCGACAGAGCACGTGTCGGCCATCTCTGCCCTTCTGGGTGGTCCTTATTTTCTCTCCCTTCCTCCTGTCGTTGAAAGTGGAGTTAATGCAGAAAGATAGGGGGTTGTTTCCACTGTCACCGTAAACGCTTCTTGTAGGGTAGTTCATCTCAGGATGGCGGCCACATATGCAGGAGTTAGGCGCAGTTTCTTCCGGCAGACCTGTCTCACAGATAAAAAGCACAGACCGTTTGTGGAGACTTGCACATAGCGCCATCTGCAGTCAGAGGGTTGCACTGCTTAGAATGAAAACCTAAAACGTGTTGCCCTGACTAGCTGCGGAGAGGAACTGCCTGCTAAGCGGCTTAGCCCCCTTCCGTTGGTGTTTGAAGGTACTCAGGGTTAACCGTAGCTTTGCGAGGCGTCAAAGGCAGCAGCGTTTCAGCAGCCACTGGAATGCAGGCTCCGTGACCTCTAGGCCTTCTCTTAACTAGACTGGACCCACTACTGGACCCACGCTAGAGGAGCAGCAAGGCTGCGTCCCGGAAACCGGCGTGATTTCTTTCTGTTTTCGTGGAGGAGCGTTTGGGCAGGAGAGTGGGCAATGGAATTCAACTTTATATCTATTGTTTATGATAGAGAATTAATCTTTTGATTCTCATCTAGACTTTGCAGATGTCAAAAATGTTTCCCATGTCTTTGTTAAGCTGTAAGTCAAAGTCTATTTAAGAGACAAAGCCACTGAGACTTTTATCTATGGAGAGTGTAAGAAACACAGACCCTGTTCTCCACACTTTTTTTCTTTTTTAATGATACAGTTCCACAGGCTCGGGGATTCCACCCACCCCACCCCTTGCGCATTTGAAAAGCGTGTTCCGATTTACCCATCTGTGGTGGTGCTCGGCTGCTGAAGCTGGCTGATGCCCTTTAAAAGCCTAGGGGGGAGGGAGGGAGAGGGGTGGGGGGTGTGTGTATGCTTGAGAACATGTGCCTTATTATTTGATTCTGCCCATCAGTTGTAAATCCACAACAGCTCACTGTATTACAGTTGCAGAAACGCCACTGGATTTTAATACAAGCTGTTCTTTTCTGTTCTAGTCAGTTTACAGACTCGGGACAGGATAGGCCCCGGCGGGTCCGTGGTAGACTGCAGGGGACTGTTGGGGAATGAAGGGTAGGTATGACCATGGCGATGGGAGAGCCAGGCTCTGCTGCCTTAGGGCCAGCCTGGGTCACTCCCGGGCCTGCACCATGCAGTGGGAGCTGTGAAGGCCGCTGGGAGGGAGCCCAGAGGAGGCCAAGAATGGGATCGTATACATAATCATCTGGATTATAACTCCAGTGACACTTGGGGGACACCCATAGGCCCCCCCTTACTGGGTGGGATCACAGGTGTTAGTCCCTGTGGATTTCAGCAGAGGCACCACTCACCAGAGAGGTGAGCTCAGCTTCCCAGGTTTCCTGGGAATTCAGGGATGAGGGATAGGTCCCACAACTGCCAGCAGATGCCGTAAGCAACACCCAGCGTGGGGCACCCCTAGGGCACATGACCCACTGACCTCAGAGCCTCTGCAGGGCCTGGAGCTGCTGCTAGAGGTGTGAGAGACATGACTGCCATGAGCAGCGTGCGGACTTCACACGTGGGGCCTGACTGATGAGACACTCGGGCTGGCCCGAACCCCAACTGCCACGCGGGGACTCTGAAAGACGGTGGCAGAAGCCCTTCTGCTTTGGATGCTTCTTCTCAAATATTTCACCGAGGTGATCAGACGTTGGGATGGCCCTCCAGAGAAGCCGGCAGATGGGAGGAGTTGGGACAGCGGTCACGGTCACTCTGTCATGGGCACCGAGGTTCACGTGTTAGCCGCTCATCCCGGGTGTGGATGTAGCATTTTTTAATGTGAGAGATTTTATTTTTTAATAAAATATTTGCTTACAAGAGAAAATAGCCTTTCAGAGGCAATTGCCTTCACATTTTGAAAGCACCTGAAGCCACGGTAATATTTTAAATAACCAGGAGTCATATTAGAGAGAAAAATACAAAGGGAAACGGAGTTTTGGGGTTTAAATAAAGGACAATGCAGTGTCATCTCCCAGGCTTCTGGGGCAGAGTGGGTTTCTGTCATCACTGAGCCCTGCGCATGAGTGAGACCCTTGGCTCTTACATCTGATGCCCTGTGGCCAGGCATCCTCTAACTGGGGTGTCCTCTAACTGGGGCGTCCTCGGGGGGTGGAAGAAGGCATCCTCGGTCCTCACAGTGCTCCTTTGCCTACTGGGCTTCTCCCTCCCAGAACCGTGTACGAAGACTCGGGGCCCGGGAGGCCACTCAGCTGCTTCATGGAGGAGCCAGCCCCCTACACGGACGGCCCCGCGGCTGCCGCTGGCGGAGGGAACTGCAGGTTCGTGGAGTCCCCAGGGCAAGATCAAAGGCTTCAGGCGCAGCGACTGCGAAACCCCGAGGTGCGAGGATCGCTGCAGACGCCCCAGAACCGGCCGCACGGCCACCAGTCCCCGGAGCTGCCCGAAGGCTACGGTGAGCGAACGCCCTCTGCCTGCTCTCAGAATGTGTGTCTGACTAAGGGTGGAAGCACACACACCTCTGCTGCCGAGGTGGGTGTGGTGGCAGCAGGCAGCAGATGGTGACCGACCACCCACTCTTGAGTGCTCAGCACTTGCCGGGATTTAATGAGATCTGCTATCTTCCAAAAGAAGTAAACATTAAAGAGAACTGCAGTGGTGGGCACTGCAGCCAGGCGTCTGTCAGGGGGTGCAGCATGGGGCTTGGGGTGAGCCACGGGGAGAACTATGACAGCCGAGGCAGGGCTGATGGTCCCAGCAGGGAGAGCCAAGGACGAGCTTCATCCCAGCTGGCGGTTGTGCCTGAGGCATCCCTCCCAAGGTGGGGGCTGGTGGGGCTAGGGCACGGGCAGCTGAGACGTGCTTGATCCCTGAGATGGGCTTCAGGCTCCATGGAGACGGGCAGAGGTGAGCCGCAGCTTTTTCCTGCTCATCTTTATGGCTTTAAAGAACATTGAAAGACGCTTAGAATCTGTGGGATGGTCACCAGAGGATCATGACTTTGAACTTGTCACATTGTCTCCCCACATTTCCGGTGCAGAACAAAGGACCACGGCGCAAGGGCAGGTTTACTTTTTGCACACACAGACTGGAGTCAGCACATGGCACGACCCCCGGATACCAAGGTGGGTTTTCTGAAAGGCACTGGCGTGAGCGCTCACATTTAAAACTAAAAACATGAATGAACAAAATGCATGATGTCTGGGATTTGCCGCTGCTAAATCGGGGCAGGGGTGGGCTTGGGGGTCGTCTGTAGCAAGGTTGACCACGAGATGGTGGCTGTTGACGGGGATCACCTGGTCACACTGCTGTTTAAATGCCTGGAGTTTTCCATACTACTGAGCTGAAGAAGCAGCGTGGAAATTCCATTCTCTCTCTTCTGCTTCAGGGTACCTGTTGCCTGGTGCCTTGGAGGCCCTTGCTGGGGGAGACACAGCTTTCTCTCCAAGGCCTCCAGCTGAGCTCAGCTCAGACAGACTCGTGTCCCACTCCCCCAGGCTAGCATTTAGTAAGGCTCATCTTATTTTTAGTTGTAATTGGTTTCATCTGAGAATTGGCCTCCTGTCTGTGGTTTTCCCAGTGTATGCTGTATTTACGATTCAGCATCTATGATTAGAGTGGACATATTACCTGCAGATAGATGAAGCATGAATGAAAGCAAACGAGTGAACAAATGAGGTGTTTGCAGGACCCACTGGAGGAAAGGGTGGGCCTCTGTGCCCGTGGGAAGCTTCTTGCTCAGGAACACAGCGTGGCCATCCGACCAGGATGAAAATGCTCAACAGAAAGCCAGCTCCAAAATGAGACCCCCTTGTGCTGGTGCGGCTGCCAAGTACCAGGAGTGTTTGAGTGCCTGCTGATACGTCCCGCCTGGGCCTTGAGCTCTGCGAAAACCGAAAGACTGCGCCTTGGTCTGCGCTCTGTGCCTCCAGGCAGCTTCTCACAGCATGCAGACACTTGCCAAGGTTTGCCACACACTTTCTTACAGTGTGTGTTCCTGGAGGGACCCTGTTCCCTGCCCTCGGTCACCAGCTTGGAAAGTCCCGTTGTGGTGTTCCTCTCTGTGTCACGCAGGCCTGGGCCCTGCGGCCTCGCTGGGGACCTCTGGGCCCCAGGCACCTCATCCAGATGTTCTTCCCACAGGCTCACTTGGACAACCCTCTCTGTGTCTGTTTTGTTGTCAGAGACCTTAACAGTGTGAACTGTGATGAACTCGGACCACTGCCCCCAGGGTGGGAAGTGAGAAGTACGGTTTCAGGAAGAATATATTTTGTAGACCATAATAACCGAACAACTCAGTTTACAGACCCAAGGTTACACCACATCATGAAGTAAGACTTTTTAAAATTTTTTCCCTTTACAGTTCAGTGGTTTTCTGTGCTAATGTTTTTCTTTCTTCGCCGTATTGCAAGTTGGACAATAAACATGAGCCAAAAAAAAAAAAAAAGAAACCTCTTATTTGAAGCTCAATTGTATATTTCAGCCTTTTTTAAAAGATGTTTCTATTTCTACTTGGAAGGCAGTTAGAGAGAGGGAGACACAGAGAGATGTATCCATGGTTCACTCCAGGTGACCACAGCAGCTGGAGCTGGGCTGATCTGAGGATAGGAGCCAGAAGCTTCCAGAGATCTTCCAAGTGGGTGTAGGGACCCAGCACTTAGTGCACCCTCTGCTGCTATCCTAGGCCGTAAACAGGGGCTGGATCAGAAGTGGAGCAGCTGGGACTCGAACTGGCGCCCATGTGGGATACTGGCACTGCAGGTGGAGGTTTAGCATGTTACACCACGACGCGACTCTGGCTCAATAATTCAAAATACTGTGTTAAACTTAGTAAAGTGCTGAAATTCACAGCGTTAGGTGATGGTGTTAGGCAGCTTCCCCAGCAGCACTGTGAAGAGAGGCATGGCTGTAGCCAGAGGGAGGGTGCTCCTTAGTGTCCATAGAGCACCTTCTAGAAGGCCTGACCATAGTCAACACTGCCCATGCCAATCCCAGGTAACTCGGGGCTGGGGATGAGCTTGACCTCTGAAGGAAGCATCCCATACAGCTCCTCTAACTGGGCTGATGTGAGCAGAGCAGACGCCCCGCCCTCTGTCACTGCGCTGTCCTTTTGGAGGGTTGGTGCCTAGGGAGCAGGCTCGGGAGCTCCCGGTGAGCAGGACGAGGGTGGCCGCTGGCAGCCTGCCGCCTCCCTCTGCTCTCAATCCTGCTCCCTGCCTCCCATCGACTGCACTTCATCCCCACAGCCAAGGTACGTTTCCCAGTGCCATGGCCCATCTTGCCTGACCTAACAGGTGCAGGACAGGTGGCGGCCGTTTCCGCCTTTTTGTGTAACAACAATGGCTGTGCGAAGTGTCAGGTAGATGCAGAGCATGTCTGGATGTGGCCAGCTCCAGGTCTGTGCTCACGGGGCCGTCAGCCATTTTGGTCCATCAGGCCTCGTGATTCTGTCCTCAGAGGGAACACCCCGCTTGGGTAACAAGCTCGCTCCCTGGCCGCTCCTGGGCCACTGCTTGTGAGGTGACCTTGCCATTTCCCTCCTCTAGTCACCAGTGCCAACTCAAGGAGCCCAGCCAGCCACTGCCCTTGCCCAGCGAAGGCTCAGTAGAGGACGAGGAGCTGCCTGCCCAGAGATACGAGCGCGACCTTGTCCAGAAGCTCAAAGTCCTCCGACACGAGCTTTCGCTTCAGCAGCCCCAAGCTGGCCATTGCCGCATCGAAGTTTCCAGAGAAGAAATATTTGAGGTATGGGATGGAATGTGGGAACCATGGACATGGGCTCGGCGCTGCGGAGAGGCCTGGGCCGACGGGCGTGGACGCCTTTGTGCGTGGCGTTGTCATTTGACAGTTGAGGTGTTGGTTTTATGACACAATGAAATAGTGTGAGTCCTGGCCAGGGCCTGTGTAGAGAGGGCGGTGTCTGCAGGTCCTCCCGCGGTCACCTAGAAGGGCCGCAAGGCCAGGGGTTTGTGCAAACAGGCAGCAGCTCACAGCGGGAGCCACCTGCTCTGCACTGTGCAGGGTATGCATTCCCGCAGTCTGCCCATGTGTCCTCCAGCCAGCACACTTCCTGCCCAGGAGCCACGAACAAGCAGGTGGCTCCCAGGAAGGCCTCAGACCCTTACACAGCATCCCTGTGGCAACGGGGACCCCACAGGAATCCCTCAAGAAAAGAAGACCAGAAAATCAAACCCCTGCAGTGTTGGGCCATGACCTGCCCTTCTTGGTGGAGACGTGGGCAGAGTCTGCAGATGGGTGCTCAGGAGGTGGCCCGGGCCCTGCGGGTGCTGCCACAGCAGAGTGAGAGAAGCCAGCCAAATGCAGTGTGGTCCATTGAGTAGACTCTGATAGGAGCTGAATAATTAGGAGTTTGCTGCGGTCCTTTCTTCTCATCCCTCTCCCCTCAGGGAGGGATGTGGGTAGAATGTGGCCTCTGATAAATGTGAAACTTGGAATCTTACCTGCCTGGCCACTGAAAACACCTGCAGACCCGTGAGCAGCTTGCCCTTGGGACGCTGCGTCTATGGCAGTGTGGGCTGGCAGGAGCTGTCCCTGTCCCAGGCAGGCTGCTCTGTGTCCCCCTGAAACCTTGCCTCCCTTTTTGACTCGCTGGAAATGGGCTGGGCTTCCCAGGTTCCACACCAAAACAGGCCCCGGGATTCTGTTATCATGCGTTCTTGACTGGCGCTCTCAGCTTGGTTACAACACTTGGGCTGTCACGCACAGCGCGACGAGGAGAGAGTGCTGGCGACAGGGCGTGGCTGTCCTCGGGCCTTGGTGGTTGTGCCCGAGGCAAGGGTGAGGGAATGTGCTAGATGCCGGATAAGCCCAGGAGCCTGACAAGGCTCATCTTGTATCAAATGCTTCTCTTTAATAACGGGGCCCCATTGCCCAGAGCTTCTGGAAGGATTACTGTCCCTTGAGACTGTCTTCCTTACACAGGAGTCCTATCGGCAGATCATGAAGATGCGACCAAAAGACTTGAAAAAGCGCCTGATGGTGAAATTCCGGGGGGAGGAAGGCCTGGACTACGGTGGGGTGGCAAGGTGAGTCCTTCGTCCTGCCTCCCGTGTGGAGTTCAGTAGAACCGTGGCAGCGCCTTTCTTTTTTCAGATTTATTGAATGATTGATTGATTTGGAAGGCAGAGGGAGAGACACTGGTTCATTACTTAAATGGCCCTAGTGGCTGGATCTGGTCCAAGGCCAAAACCTGGGAACTTCATGCAGATCTCCCTTGTAGGTGCAGGGGACCAAGTCCTTGGGTTTATCCTCCACTGCTCTCCCGGGCCATCAGCAGGAAACTGAATCAGAAATAGAGCAGCTGGGACACCAACCAGTGCCCATATGGGGTGCCAGCACTGCAAGGGTTGGCTTAACTCACTATACCACAGCATTGGCCTCAATTAAGTATTTCAGAGAGGCTGTTTGCCTCTTTCTTCCTAAGTGGCTCTCACTGGGCACAGCCCAGCAATCCGTTAATGTCCCTGAGGCTGTCACAGCCTGCTGTGGGTGCTGACTTTAGCTGTTCTGGACTAAGGATTTTTTTCCAAAGATTTTATTTTATGTTTATTGAATTTACATTCCTTTGCTCAGATTTACAGAGAGAAGGAAAATAGAAAGATCTTCCATCTTCTGGTTCACTCTCCCAAGTGGCTACAACGGCTGGAGCTCAGCCAGTCCAAAGCCAGGAGCCTCTTCCAGGTCTCCCACGCAGGTGCAGGGTCCCAAAGCCTTGGGCCGTCCTCGCCTGCTTTCCCAGGCCACAGGCAGGGAGCTGGATGGGAAGTGGAGCAGCCGGGACCCGCACTGGTGCCCATGTGGGAGCCTGGCACATGCCCTCTGAGACAGCACGGCTGGCCGAGCTGCCTGCCTGCCCCAGTTATGTCTGTGGTTCTGTGGCTCCTGTTGCTTCCCTCTCTGCTTCCTCCTTTCGTGATTTCCCCTAATCAACATGATGCTGGAGTAGAGAACTGTGGGGAGGCCTTGCTAGGTCGCCTACTGTGTGGTCTGGCCACCACCCTTGTGTCTGAACAGGATTACACTTAGAATTGTAAGGGAATAAGCTTGGCACAGTGGCCTAGCAGCTAAAGTCCTCGCCTTGTACATGCTGGGATCCCGTATGGGCACCGGTTCTAATCCCGGCAGCCCCACTTCCCATCCAGCTCCCTGCCTGTGGCCTGGGAAAGCAGCCAAGGATGGCCCAAAGCCTTGGGACCCTTCGCCCATGTGGGAGACCTGGAGGAAGCTCCTGGCTCCTGGCTTTGGATCAGCACAGTTCTGGGCGTTGTGGCTGTTTAGGGAACTTCCTCTCTGTTTCTCCTCTCTGTATATCCAACTTTCCAATAAAAAAATTTTCTTTTAATCTAGAATTGTAGAGGAACTCAGATTACTTTGTACACAGTACTGCAGAAAATCTGTTCAAGTGAACTCCAAAGAAGTTTATTTTATTGCAGAAACTTTTCTACTTTTTTCTCGCACGCACTTCACATGAACGTTTTGCAGACCCCTGTGTCATGTATCTGATTGCCCATGCGCAGTGTGAGAGTCCGAGCTGGCCAGTCCTCGTGGCAGTCATTCTGTCCGTGCTCTCTTGCGTGTCTCATTAGCTCTTCCGTCATCGCATCCAGGCCGGACGGAAATGCATCCTTGCCTCACTAAGGCTCATGCCGAATGTTTGCTTGTCTTTTAATGACTTCCTGTCTAGACAGTTGTGAGTCCTTGGCTTTATTGCAAAGGTTCTTCTCCAGTCTCAGTTCTCAAACCTGGAGGGATCAGAATCCCGTGCGTGAAGACTCTCTTTCCAGCCGGGGGGCTTGGTGAGGTGGACGCAGCAGCCCTGCTCATGGCCTGCTCTGCGGCGTGAGCTGCGCAGCGTTGTGCGGGACTTGTAGCTTTGTTTTGTCCATCCTAATCCCCACGGTCTTCTTGGACAGATGGGTCTACGTTTGTGCTTCTCCTCGCCTGTTCTGTCTCATTTCTGTTTGAAAGACTAAGAATTGCAGAATAAGACTTGGGGCTGCTGTCTTGATGCTGTTTACTGACCAAACAGCATTTGCCAGTTTGAGCTGGCAGAGTGAGAGGCTGCTTGCAGATCTGGCGCTGGTGTTGTGGTACTAGCACCCCAGACCTGCCCCTCACAGCCGAACCATGCAGGCATTGAAGGACTTCAGAAAGCAGATCCAAATACTCCTAGAGTTCATGTTTTTAAGTTACCTAAGTGATCGATGTTTATGTTGGAAAAGGAATGTAACAAACAGTAAGGTGAGCACACCTTGTTTTGTGGCTCAACAGCCCTGCCACTTCTCAGACATGAAGGGTTCCACCTCATACGGAGCATTTTCCTGTAGAAAATGGTTTCTGAGCAGTGAGGTGGTGGGGGCCGTGCAGAAAGAGAGGGAGACAGAGGGGGCAGGTGAGCCCCTGCTGGCTCACTCCTCAGGTGCCCGGGACGGCTGGGGTTGGGCCAGGTGAAGCCCAGGGCTGGAAGACAGAGGATGACCAAGACCCAAGTCCTTGGGCCTTCGCCTGCTGCTTCCCAGCATCTGCGCTCACAGGAGGCTGGACTCGAACCTGAACCCAGGAAGTACAGTAGCACTCGCTAGACCAGACACTTGTCCGGTCCTGTGGAAAATTGGTAAACCACAACCAAGCAGAAGAAAGCCTCACAGTGAACCAGGAACCTCGCATGCAAGTTTGCCACTCATGTTCTCATCTCAGGCTGCCCGCTGACCACTGGGTCAGCTCAGAGCACGCCGTTAGCAGTGGCACCTGGCGCATGGCTTTGCCAAGTTCAGAGAGCAGCAGGTGCAGGTGTGGGCAGGGAGCGCGTCTCTGACTGGGGCTGCCATCCTGGTCCCACACGGCTCATCCCCGCCCACAGGTGTGGAAGGGTGGGTCACTGGGGGCAGTGGGCAGTGGGCGTGAGGGATCAGGTATTCTCAACTGGTTTCTGGGGCTTCTTCGCATTGCTGCGGGTTCCCTCTGGGCGTGTCTATGCCCTCTCTGTGCCCGCAGACTGGGGGCCCATTGCCTTTCTACCCTGGGTCTCCCAGGGCAGATGGCCAGTCCCATCAAGATGGGAAGCCAGTGTCTGCCGCGGCCCTGAGGTGTGCCTGTCTCCCTAGGGAGTGGCTTTATTTGCTGTGCCACGAAATGCTGAATCCTTACTACGGGCTCTTCCAGTACTCCACGGACAACAGCTACATGCTGCAGATCAACCCCGACTCCGCCATCAACCCCGTGAGTGCCAGGCAGGGCAGGCCTGCAGGCTGTGGGCAAGCGCCAGGGCTCTCCGTGTGCAACTCGCTTCTCGGCTGCCTCGGGCAGCCTCACCACAACCTGGAGGGTGGAGGGCGGACGGCGGACGGCGATCCGAGGCAGCATGGGGGTTCAGTGCCCAGCCGCTGACCAAGGTCTCACTGCCCGCAGTCAGTAGGGTCATGGTTCCCTCCTGGGTCATTCTGGCCACCGATGGTGGCCGGGACATGAGACCAGCATGGCAGCCTGGACTGGCTCTTGGGCCACCGTATCAGCACTGTGCCCAAGGGCACAGCCAGGTGTGTGGACATGAAGGGGTGGCCGAGGGGATTGAAATTTGCAGGGACAGGGGTCGGGGGTGATTCTTGGCTCACATTTGTTTCCTCACTCTGCACCCCCTTTTTCTCCGGGCCTCCCATTTGTCCATTGTCCTGGTGGGATGCAGGAAGATAACAGAGAAGCAGGCTTTTCGCTCCCAAGTTCTCGGAGAGCAGTGGGGAGGAGAGGCAGGGCCAGCTTCGTAGCGTGTGGCAGCACAGGGCGTGCCATCTTCTGCCCTCGTCAGCGCTCATTCATAGAAGTGTTTGAGCTAGGTACTCTGCACCAATAATAATAATAAAATAACAATAGTAACAGCCTAACCACCTATCTGTTTGTGCAAGGCCAAGTGGCAGAATTTCTTACTGCTCATTCACTCTCCAAATGCCTGCCAGCTTCTAGGTGAAACCAGAGCCAGGAGGCAGAAACTCCGGGGCTCAGATGGGAGCCCAGGCTCGTGAGCCATCGCCTGCCTCCCAGGCACTTTAGCAAGGAGCTGGGTGAGAAGTGGGGCATCTGGGACTTGAACCTACATTTTGATGTGGAATGCAGGTGCATTAAGCAGTGGCCGAGTTCACTTTGCCGCGATAGCCCCCTGGATGTCACGTTTTAACCTGCTGCGCCTCTCTAAGTTACTTAGCAATTCTGAAGAGAGGCCGAGCGCCCAGCCTGTCTTGCTGGCAAAGCTCTGCATTGTGACTGCCTCGCCGTGTTCTGTTTCATTCCCCACAAGCACAGCCCGTGCACCCCTGAGTCCATGTGTGGTTGCCTGTGGGACAGTGCTGGCGGGAGCCTGGAGAAGCCGTGGGAGGTGCGCGCCCTGACTCATTCCTGTCCTCTGGCGCCCCCTCCAGGACCACTTGTCTTACTTCCACTTTGTGGGCCGGATCATGGGCCTGGCTGTGTTCCACGGGCACTACATCAACGGGGGCTTCACGGTCCCCTTCTACAAGCAGCTGCTGGGGAAGCCCATCCAACTGTCTGACCTGGAGTCGGTGGACCCCGAGCTGCACAAGAGCCTGGTGTGGATTCTGTGAGTACCGACTCAGCTCAGCATGCTCAACTCCAAACAGGACTCTCCCACGGGAGGCAGGAACCTCTGCTGGCCAGGACCGACTCCCGTGTGGAATAGCAGCTTCCCAAGCACTGGCTCCGCTCCAGTGTGTGTGTGTGTGTGTGTGCGCGAGTGCATGTGTTCACACCTGCAATCATAATTCAGAAGGGTTGTAGGAAAACGCAGTGCAAAGATGAGAGGTTTTTGGGGGCTTGGTTTGTTCCTCATGTAAGGCATACAGGGGGCAGGGTGGGGACTTACCCCACAGAAACCTCCTCGACCCTGCCCTGTCGCCTGTGTTGGCTCCTGATGCATTGGGGGAGACTGCCCTGCTGGGTGGGGAAGGGGGTGTCTGCTGGGGCCTGCCCCCGACCTCCCTGGACTGTCCGTTCACCTATGTCATCATAAGGTAGTGGAGACAGCAAGACCTGGGCACCGTCCTCCCATCCACACCCAGCCTCGGCACCCCAAGCATCTCCCCACGCTGGGTGGTCCCGTCAGTGCTCCCCTCGCTGCCTCGAGGTGGCCGGGCCTCTCTGACCGTCTCCCCGGGCTCCTCCCACAGAGAGAATGACATCACGCCGGTCCTGGACCACACGTTCTGCGTGGAGCACAACGCCTTCGGGCGCATCCTGCAGCACGAGCTGAAGCCCGATGGCAGGAATGTGCCCGTCACCGAGGAGAACAAGAAGGAATACGTGCGGTAATGGCGGCAGGTCGCCTGTGGAGATGGCCGGGGCCGGATGGAGATGCTGCAGCTCCTGGTGGGGCCTGTGGGCGGGGAGGACCAGGTGGTGAGCCCAGGACTGAGCAGGCAGTCTGGGCGCTCAGCAGCACGCAGGCCGGGTGTGCCGTGCAGCTGCAGGTTCAGCCTGCCCTGCTTCCTGTGGGGAATCAGGAGAGCAGACTCGCTCTGCCCATGTGTGTGCCCACTGCTCTGTGTGTGTGCCCACCGCTCTGCCAGCACAGAGGGGGTTGGGGCTCTCAGCCAGCAGGGCTGCCCTATTGCAGGAAAGGCCTTGCCCGTGGTGGCTACTCGGGAGGGGACAGCTCTGACCTGTGGCTATCCCCCACAGGCTGTACGTGAACTGGAGGTTCATGCGTGGAATCGAGGCCCAGTTCCTGGCCCTGCAGAAGGGCTTCAACGAGCTCATCCCACAGCACCTCCTGAAGCCATTTGACCAGAAGGAGCTAGAGGTGCGTGTACCACACGCCCCAGTGAGGCTGCCAGGCCTGCCTCCTGCTGCCCCCGGGCGCCTTGGGAGCACTCAGACTCCTGGCAGAACGTGCCAGGCTGCAGTGCTGTGGGTATGGCGAGCATCTCTTGGCAGCAGGCAGTCTGTGGAGGTCATTCATGGTGTTGGGGGCTTCTGTCTTCAGGGTCTGGAACAGATATGGCTGTCACAGCCCTTGTGCCTCAGCCACGGTGGGAGCTCTCTTGAGCCGGGGAGCAGCCCTGGAGTAAACATTTCCAACAAGTCTTGGAGGCTGCTCCGCTGCCCCGCCCCATGGAGCTGATGGTCACCCCCTGTGACTCTGAGACCTGGGAGACCACAGGAGTGGGACCACCACCCATAGCTGGTTCTTTGATGCTCACGTTCCGCCGTGTGGGGAAGGCTGCAGCCTTGGGCTCTGACGCCACCTCTGCAGCTGCTCCCACAGTCCCCAGGCGGCAGCAGGCAGAGGCCTCGGGCTCAGGCCCTGGAACCCTGCGGCTTTCTCCCTGCCACCACACTGGGAGCCAAGGGCTCTGCTGCTCGCCTGGGCTGGGGCGTGTGCGGACGCGGGCTCAGACCGGCCACTGCTGGATCACTCAGCTCGGAACACTTTACAGCTGATCATAGGTGGCCTGGACAAAATTGACTTGAATGACTGGAAGTCCAACACGCGGCTGAAGCACTGTGTGGCCGACAGCAACATCGTGCGATGGTTCTGGCAGGCGGTGGAGACCTTCGACGAAGAGAGGCGGGCGCGGCTCTTGCAGTTCGTGACGGGATCTACGCGCGTCCCTCTCCAGGGTTTCAAGGCTTTGCAAGGTGACTGACGTGGAGGCAGGGCTGCCCAGGGACACGTTTGTGTCAGGCGAGTGGTGTCCTGGGTGTGGCGGGAAGGGCTATTGGACCGAGCTCCTCCGGGAAGCTTCCTTTTGGCACTTAGCTCTGTGGCGCCCTCACCGGGCAGGTGTCCTTCTGTAAGCAGGAGGGGGTCCCCACGACCTCCACCAAGCCGAGGAGTGACCCCGGGAGAGGCCTCATGCCTGTGGCTAGCAAGCAATGCTGGCACTAGTGGGCAGGCCTAAGTGGACTACTGCAGACCACAGCCCACCTGGCTGAACTTGGCCTAGCGTAGACAGAGAAGTCCATGGAACAGTGGAATCCAAAGTCTGACTTCCTTTTGTTGCAGAAACTGTCTTTCCATAACATGAGGGAAATGCCTATTGTGAAAAGTTGCGTGGGTTTTAGTCCCTCCTCCTCTGGCCCCACTTTCCATGGCTTTGAAGGGCCCAGCAGAGGTGTGCAGGAACCAGACACGCTGGCCTTGCAGACTCCCAAGCGGGTGGAGGGCTGTCCCAGCTCCCTGGCTTCCACAGGAGCTCTAGGAGGTTCTAGGCTTGCCCCATCTACTTGACCATCTGGCATGGGTGACGCCTGGTGACTGACCAAGTGCTTTTGTTCTTGGTCCTCTTAACCCAGCAAGCTGGCCAACTGGGCGCTCTCCTGCTTGCATGGTGGGGAAATGGGGACCCATTGGGATCATGGGACTCTATCCCTAAGGGAAAAACAGTGTGGTGGCAGCCGGGGCAGGACTCCAGAGTTTGTGGTATGATCTTTCTCATCACCTGCCTGACCTCTGAGCCTCAGCCAGCCAGCCTGCTCCCGGACCTAGCTCCCTGCGTGGGAGTGACCCTGGCAGAGAAGACAGATGCCCAGGGAGCCGTGAGCAGGGCTGTGAAGCAGGCACCCTGGAGAATGGGGCTTACAGCGTGTGACTGCTAGGATCCCTGACCACAGAGAGCCTTGAACTAGCCTCCTACCCCACGAAAGGAGGTAGGCTTGGCCTACTGCCCTCTCCTGGCCCCCAGCATTGCTGCACCAGTGTCACCAAGAATACACTCACCTTATGGTGTCATAGCTATCTCAGGTTTGTGACTGCTCTGGGATGGTCCCTTCCCAGCGACGTCAGCCAGGCAGCATCTCAGAAAGAACCTGCCCTGACTGTCCCTGTGCAGACGTGTGGGTCACGGGGTCACTGCGCCTCGGGGCCTCTCCAGCCTCCAGACCTGCAACGTTGGCAGGCGGGGATGTGCCAGAGCTAGCTCTGGCCAGGCCCGAGCAGGGAAAGGGCCCCAGTGCAGGGCGTGTTTGCCCTTGGGTATCCCCAGCTCCCGTTTGTGGTCAGGTGTGCTGAAGGATTCTAGCTGCCCCCGGGCTGTCCAGGGCAGCCTGTGGCCACCCTGGGTGTGTCGTCACACCAGGCACAGGCCTCTGTTGCCATGTGACCTCCGTGACCCTGGGGACTGGGTGTCTGCCTTGGAAGCGCAGTGACTAGAATGTTCTACTGCAAGGTTCCACAGGCGCCGCAGGGCCCCGGCTGTTCACCATCCACCTGATAGATGCCAACACGGACAACCTGCCCAAGGCACACACCTGGTAAGGACCCCGGGCCGCTCAGCCGTCTTGGGGGCGCCACTCCCACCCTGCCCTGCTGCTTTCCCATGAGCACCTTGTGTCATGTGTGTCCAAGGGGACAAGCACTCTGCCATGGGCCTGAGGACACTGTCAAAGTCAATGAGTGCGCTGTGAGGGGGCCTCCTGGTGCTGGATCCCCTGGCTTAGGTCCACGCCTGCCTCCACCGTCCAGGGCCTGCCTGGGTGCACATCCCTGTGCCCACATGCAAACTGCCGTTTGTGGCTTGGGTTTGTTGCTCTTCACCTCATCTGACACTGCGGAGTTCCCAGTTTGCATCTTGAAGACGCCCAGGTCTAATACTGCATTGCACCCGAACGTTGCGGGCTCGGGCGGGTTATCTCTCTGTGGTTCAAGAATCTCCCTGCACTTTTCCTCGGCCCCGCCAGTCTTAGAGATTGCTTTCATTGTGCGTGACTGGCACTGGCCACGGCGGGGGGAGGGGAGGGCTCCGCCCCGGGCAGGCAGCACCTGTCTGTCCTGTCCTTGCCCTCTGTGTCCTGCAGGGGCTGGCCTGGCACAGCAGTGACTTGGGCCCTTTGTTCCTATCCAGCTTTAACCGGATTGACATTCCGCCTTATGAGTCCTACGAGAAGCTGTACGAGAAACTGCTGACGGCAGTGGAGGAGACCTGCGGGTTCGCCGTGGAGTGAGAGGCAGCCAAAGGCACCGACTCTAGCTCACACCCACCAGCCCAGCCACCACGTGTGCGCCTCCCGCACAGCACGAGGCCCTGGGATTCCAGGAACCCCAAGGGACAGGGTTGTCTTTCCTCCTCCTCGCTGGGGGAGGGAGGGAGCAGGGACTTTGGTCAGTGGCTCCCACCCATCACCCCTCCTGGATAATAGTTCTCCTTTTCCCTCCATCACCCATCGAATAAAACGTGGCCAGGCTTAGCCTCCGGCCTCGGCCACACAGGATGCTCTTCGGGGGCGGCCTCCGCCACAGCGCAGGGTCAAGCCCAGCTGACTGAGGGTTTGGTAGCGGGCGCCGTTCCTTGCACAGACAGCCCGAGGCCCCTTGTCCAGCCAGCAGCCGTGGGGATGGCACCCGAGCTCGAGCCCCCATTTCTTGCCCTTGGTGGATTGCTAACTACAGTCACTGGGTGACAGATGCTTGCTGGGCGTTGGCCACACACGCGTCCCTGAGGCAAAGGTGTCTGAGCCACTGGCACCAAGGCCGGGGGTTCTCTGCAGGATGTCCTGGCTGGAAAATGTCTTGTGCAGAGTCCACTTTGCTGTGGAAGTGATCCTGGAGCCAGCCGCGGCTGGTCCTGGCGCTGTGCGTGAGCCAGCACTGACGGTGTCGCTTGAAATAGTAACGTGTGTCTGTGGTCGTTGCTGCGAGCTTAGCTAACACGATGAGGCTGTTACCATGGCTGCTGGCTTCATGCAGAGCAGCTCAAGAGCACTAATGATGATGTGGTCAGCCCGGAGGCAGTGCTTCACACAGAGTGGGGCGTGGATGTCACCTGTGTTGACTGGCTGTGATGACAGCCTCAGCTGGCCCAGCGGCAGATGGGGACAGCGACAGCTTCTACTAAGTCCACTCGCCCATGCATCTTGTGTCCACAGGACGAGCAAGGCCAAAGCCAGGCTGTCCCCTGCGTTTCTAACCCGTTTCCGATTTGCACAAAGTTCAAACAGTATTTTCTTTTAGCGAAGCGACTTGGTGTCAGCCCAACTTGCGCAGCGGACAGCAGCAGCCAGCTTCCCCTGGAAGGTTCTGTTGGCTGTTGCTTGTGAGCAGGGGTGGGGAAAAGTACAGGGTAGTTCATTAGCAAAGACATTTCACTGTTCAGTTTGAGTTTGGCACTGGGTGTGCACTGTGGGTCTGAGGCGGCTCAGGATGACCTGTGGGACAGCCACGCCTCTGTCCTGGCTGCGGGGGGACCTTCAGGCTGTGCCGGCAGCGGAGGACACTGCCTCGCAGCAGCCTTTGCAGTTCCATATGGGGAGCTGTAGTGGTTGCAGGTGCTGCACTTTCCAGGGTAGAAGGGAGCCTAGATGGGGTCTGTTGTGGAAGGTTCCATCATTCTGAAGTCTGGCCCTCTGTGGGCTCTGGTCCCAAGTTCTGCCTTGCCACAGCCAGACTCACGGTGTGTCTCACTGCGATGCCGTGCAGGTGGCCTGGAAAGTGGCTCCAGTGCCTCTGTCCATCTCCCTCGGGAGCTAGGCGGGAAGAACCTCCTGGCTGTCCCTGTGGTGGAGTCTGAAGGAAAGCAGGGTCTTGTGGTTTGATAGACGTTGAGGCAGGAATGTTGCATTTGATGCCGTTAAACTACCTGCGTGCTGTAGGGAGGAGCGGCTGGGAGGAGCTGCCGAGGTGCGGCATCCTGGGGCTCCCGGCCCGCACAAGCCTCTGGGTTTGCCACATCACCTGGCACCACTGTTGGCTGTGGGTGTGAGGCTTTTCCAGAGCTCTGGTTTACTCCTTTCCAAATAGGCCTCTGCTGGTGGCCCTGCACCTCCAGAACCTTAGATACCTACCATGGTTTGGTCCTTTCAAATCACCCCAAAGAACACACGGTGGCGAGCCACTGGTCCAAGCTCCTGGTTGCCCCCCTCGAATGGGTCCCCGTGATCTCGCCTGCTGTGCCCTTCATGGGCCCAGCCGTCCCAGTGGCCCCCTTGCCTCTGCCCAGAGCTTCCAGGCCTGGCCTACAGGCTTGCCCTCACCAGCGGTCGCCAGCCGACACTCAGGGATGCAGCGACCAGCGCTCTGCCAGCCTCTGGGTGGGGGAGGCGGCCGCTTGGGGCGGGGTGCCCGCGGTCCAGGAGCTGGAGTCCTGGGGCTCAGGATGGAGACTCTGCCCTGGGCCAGGGCGACCAGGCCAGCTCAGCCATGCGCGCCACACCCAGGGCAGGTGGTCCTCCACCGAGAGGCCAGGAAGGCAGACATCCGCCCCTCCTGCAGCCAGGTGTGTGCCCCACGGCAGCCTTCCCGAAACATAGTATGAATTTTTAAAACTTTGCTTATTTTTGTTTCTCAACCACTTTATAATGTATTTTTAATTTATTTTGTAATGTCTTGTTTTTAAGTATTGCTGCTATCCTTGTTAATCTTCCCACTGTTTTTATTGCTGATTTATTTTGTGAAAGTTGTACACTAATGTTCTGTTTTATGTCAAAATCAAAAGTATTTAAAGAAATCCTAGTTGTATTTAATGTGGTCATGGAACCAGCTGGAAACAAAGCAAGCAGTGACTGCACAGCAGGCGAGAGCCGGAGGTCAGGTTCATTTTGTTACATATGCAATAAACTCACGACTTTACACTGGCGGCTTCTGTCGTTCTGCCATGGAAATGAGAGCGCCTGCTGCAGCTGGTGGCCGGTAGAACTGGCGAGTGTCTCGGGAAAGGCGGGCGACAGAATGTAGGAGGAACAAAGAGCGGCTCTTGCCACGCCGCAGCGCGGGCCTGTGCGCACGGAGGGCGCCCGTTCCTCACGCACCATGGGCCTGTGTGCATGGAGGGCGCCCGGTCCACACGCACCACGGGCCTGTGCGCACGGAGGGCGCCCGTTCCGCACGCACCACGGGCCTGTGCGCATGGAGGGCGCCCGTTCCGCATGCACCACGGGCCTGTGCGCACGGAGGGCGCCCGTTCCGCACGCACCACGGGCCTGTGTGCACGGAGGGCGCCCGTTCCACACGCACCATGGGCCTGTGTGCACGGAGGGCGCCTGATCTGCACGCACCACGGGCCTGTGCACACGCAGGGTGCCCGTTAAGCACCACGGGCCTGTGTGCGTGGAGGGCGCCCGATCTACACGCACCACGGGCCTGTGTGCACTCAGGGCGCCCGATCTGCACGCACCACGGGCCTGAGTGCCTCACTGAGGTGATTTTTGCAGGGTGAATTCTCTGCTCCTGGATTCTTAGACTCAGCATGTCCCCGAGGCCCTCTGTGCTGGAGCATATGCAGGAACGTCCCCTTAGTTGCCCAGCCCTGCACCGATGGGCTCTTAGGGTGGTGGCTTTCTTGTGTTGGTCTGACAAGGCCCTGGTGATGGTGTTGCTGGGACATGCCAGCCCCGCCCCCAATAAGAACGGCAGGTGGCCTTCCATCTGGGGGCGAGCCCCACCAGCCCATTGCAGAGAGGACTCCTGCCTCCCGGCGGCTTCTGTTCAGGCCCCTGCCCACTGTTGCAGCCTCCCAGTTGGCTGCAGGAAGCCCTCGGAGGCCTGAGGGGAGGGAGACACGCTCCCTTCTCTAGGTAAACCCAACCTGTCACAGTGCTGGGCCAGCTGGGCCATGCTCCAGGGCTTGGCGGCACCCATGGTCTTCCTTGTCTGACATTGCTGTCCGGGTACTTCTGGCCACACGGGACAAGTCAGGAGGAGCCCTTCCTCTACATCTCTCTGGAAAAATCTGAGAACTGTGCAAATTTGTCCTGGGAGGTTGGCTAGAGTACAGGGGAGCCATATGACCCCAGCTCTGCCTGATTCAGTTTCCTTACTAGCAGCTACATCCGGGTCCTGGGAAGCATGTCTGCTCATCTGTCCATTTCCTTACCCAGTCTGCCGAATCACCTTGTTCATAGCACTCTTGGAATCCTTGTATGTCCCAGTTCCACAGAAGTGTCAGCTCACCTAGAAGAGCCAGCTGTTGCTCTTGCTAATCTCTTTGTTTTCGTGTTTTTGGAAAGGCAGATTTACAGAGAGGAGAGACAGAGAAGGCTCTTCCGTCCACTGCTTCACTCCCCAAGCGGCTGCAGTGGCCAGAGCTGAGCCAACCTGAAGCCAGGAACTAAGAGCTTCCCTGTTTCCTACATGGGTGCAGGGTTCCAAGGCTTTGGGCCGTCCTCGACTGCTTTCCCAGGCCACAAGCAGGGAGCTGGATGGGAAATGGGCTGCTGGGAGTAACCGGCATCCATATGGGAGCTTGGCACATGCAAGGCGAGGATTTAACCGTTAGGCTATTGCACTAGGCCATTGATCTGGTTTTGTACTTGCTTATTTCTGCCAGCGTTGGACTTAGTTTGTTTCCGTTTATCTAGTCCCTGAGGGGTTATATTAGACTGTGAGATTGGAGACCAGCAGTTCAGCCCTGGCCAGGCTTCAGCTGGGAACCATGACTGCTGCCTCACAGGAAAAGTGGAGGCTGGACCCGGCCCCGCCATGGGCCACACGCATCTCGGCCACTGCGCCTGCTGCCGTCCGTTCTCAGCACCGGCCCCGCCGTGGGCCACACGCATCTCGGCCGCTGCGCCTGCTGCCGTCCGTTCTCAGCACCGGCCCCGCCATGGGCCACACGCATCTCGGCCACTGCGCCTGCTGCCGTCCGTTCTCAGCACCGGCCCCGCCATGGACCACACGCATCTCGGCCGCTGCGCCTGCTGCCGTCCGTTCTCAGCATCTCTTTCCTGGCACCCGTAAGTTTGATTGTGCTTTTTCATTTTCATTCATCTCCAGGTGTTTCTAATTTTCCTTAGGATTTATTCGTTGACCTCCTGGCTGAGGGAGTCTGCTTTGATTTCCACATATCTGTGAATTTCTTAGTTTTTCTCTGTGACAGCTTTGTAGCTTCACTCCCTGTGGTTTTCAGTGAGCCGAGCTTGCTGCGTCCTCTGCTGTAGAATGCCCCCAGGTGCTGGACAACAGCGCCAGCTCGGCTCCTGCTTCTGGCTACTGTGGCCATGTGGGGAACGGGACATCTCTCCTTCTAACTCTGCCTTTCAAATTAAAAAAGAAATTTATGAATTAAAGGCCGAGAGAGAAAAGCAGAGCTGCCATAGTCCACTTGGTTCTGGAAGTTATGAACTCGGTCCTCGTGTCCCGCAGTGGTGGCAGGACCCTGTCAGAGTCCTGCCTCCCAGGCAGCAGTAACTTGGGGCGCAGCATGGACTGATGGGGTGGGGGGTGGCTGCCGGCACCCAGCCCGTGTACCACATGCCCAGCCCGTGCCATCTTAATCCACTTCTCCATGGATGCGGAAACCCCCAGGTAAGTGCTGGGTCGAGCTGGCACGCAGTGTTGCATGCTAAGGCAGTGAGCCCCTGGCACCTGTCTTGGCCTCTGCTTGCTGGAGCGTGGGAAGCTGACGTCTATACTGCACGGCTGTGCCCCGGACATCAATCCTTTTCAGGAGGGGTCTCTTAAGGTCTAAGTTTGGGTTTCTAATTCTGTATTCAAATGTGGGGTCTGCACCCATCATTTCTTCAGGTGGACCGGGGGGGAAGGGGCAGGTGGCTCACCCTGCGGGTGCACAGCTCTGACCTGACGGGCTCTGCACCGGGCTGAGACATGCACTCAGCTCCCTCTGATCATCCTCGGGCACCTGTACCCCGATTCCCACAGTGCTGAGCGTATCGAAGATAGAATTGTTCAAGTCTCGTGTCTTTGCTGCTCCAGTGTCGCTTCCTGGAGCTGAATTCTGTTCCTTTGAGCGTTTCTTCAGATTCTTTGTAATTTTGTTGTTGAAAAATATAACATTAGGAAACCGAGCCCCTCCAGCCAGTGACAAGCCAGAATCTAGCACCAGCGGCAAGCCTGTGGTCACTTAACCCTGCCCTGAGCTTCTCTTGCTTTCACTCACCCCCACATCCACAGCTGCTGCAAGTCTCAACTTCCCACGGGCTGGGACCTCGGCTGAGGCTGCAACGGGTCCATCGGTCCCGTCCTCACACCTGCCCTCTACCGTCTTGATGACTTGATTCGTCTGCACCCTAGAGGCACGAAGCTGCTTCTGTGTCCTGGGCTCTGTCAGTCTGTCGCGCATGCACGGGCATGGACCTGGGTCCCTGTTGATCTGCCTTAGTCCACTGGGCAGTGGACTGCCATCAAGTCACGTGACAGGAGCAGGGCATGTCTCCCTGGGGCCTCTGCTGTAAGCCAGTAACTCCATCCACATTTCACACCTAATCCCCTCCTCAGCCCCTTGCCCTCAGGGCTTCACAGAGCCCAGGGCTCACTTCCTACACCTGGCCCCCTGGGAGCCCTCTTGGGAAATGCAGGCAACAGGGCCTGGTGCTGGCCTGCCGTGGAGCCACAGTTGGCTCAGGGCTGGGGGAGTCGGGACCTGGCTTTGCTCACCCGCAGCATCAGATCACAGGAAGTCGTCAGGGCGCGCAGCCAGGAAGCTCCTCAGAAGCTGTGTTGATGGGTCAGTCAGCCGGGCCCTTGGGCGCTTGGCCTGGGCAGTGGTGGCAAGTAAACACAGATACAGAACTGGCAGCTTGTTGGTCCGGACAAGCCATGGTAGGCCGACCTGGAGGCATGGCAGGGCATCCTCTGGACAGAAGGGGAAGGAATGTCCAATCGGTATGGTGGTGCGGGGACCAGGCTGGGGTGCCCAGGAGGACCATGTCCATCCTCCCGCAGGGCTGGCAGGCCCCAACCCTCAAAAGCTTCCACCCCAGTGTACATCTGCTAGCCAGACCTTGTTCTGACTCACTGCTCCCAGGGCCAGTCCTGCAAGAACAGCCCCAGGTCCTGGCCCAGGTTCTGAGGGCTGGGCCCAGAACCTGGCCCAGGGTCCCTGCGGTGGGCACGTCCAGGTGTAGGCGCTGGGACTCGTGGGGGGTCCCTGGGGTGGGCGCTGGGCAGGTGGAGGTCCCTGCGGTGGGCGCTGGGCAGGTGGAGGTCCCTGGGGTGGGCATGTCCAGGTGCAGGCGCTGGGACTCGTGGGGGTCCCTGGGGTGGGCACTGGTCAGGTGGAGGTCCCTGGGGTGGGCGCTGGGCAGGTGGAGGTCCCTGGAGTGGGCACGTCCAGGTGCAGGTGCTGGGCAGGTGGAGGTCCCTGCAGCCTTACCTCTGCCCCAGTGATGCCGTTTTTCTTTCAGTGTTGTTGCTGTTCAGATACTGTGCAGGGGTTCAAGTTAGAATTTGATAACATTTTCAGAATAATGATTGTAGAATATTTATTCACTAAAATAATTCCTCAATACAGCAATAGTGTCTTCTGAGCTCATTGTGATCTTCCTGTTCCTCAACGGAAAGCTTCCGGACACTCCTGAGGACGCGCTGCTTCTCCCGCTAGCCCGATTCACTGTGCTTGACCCTGGTCTGTGTAAGAACAGCACCTTGGCTTTGTATGGCCCGAGAACAGCAGCTTCCTCTGTGAGCTGAACTCGTACACAGTCTTGCTGCTGCCACTGCCCCAACAACCACAGTGACACATCATGTGCCCTCAGATTTCAGCCAGACACCTTTGTCCACTCTGTCAATCAAGGGCAGGTCTTGGTCTCACCTGAAGACAGACTCCTCAGCGAACCGACACTGCTGAAAACCGCAACAATAGATTCCAGATGTTCCCCCAGAGCGCAGACACTGGCAGAAACATTGCTCCGGGAATCGGCTGGAGGGCCGCGCCCGCCCGGGAGATGCCTTAGCCCTGTCCTGGGCCCACTCCCCCTGGCCTGACCCCACTCCCGCTCTTCTGCGAGTCCCGTGCATGTCACGTGCTAGAGAGCGCTGGCAGCAGCCCGAGAGGGGCAGCCTGCTCTGGCACGCAGGACTGTGGATGCAGGGTGCAATGTGGCAGACACGGCGCCCCGGAGAGGGCTGGGGAACGCTCCGAGGAAAACCAAGGCCCTTTCCGGAGAGAGCCGGGGAGGAGGGAGTGAGTTCTGCGGTGGCATGAGCAGCACTCAGGCTGGCATCCCAGCGGGCGGTGCTTGCCCAGCTCTGCCTCAGCCCTGGCTTGTGGGCCCGGGAGCTCAAGCCTTCACGCTGGGCTGACTGGAGGATGTAGCTGCTCTTCAACAGGTCACAGGACACACAAGGAAACAAGAACGCAAAGTCCACTCACCGCCAGGACCAAAATACCGCCGACAGCGCTGCTTCGAGTCCCGGCTGTTCCACTTCCAATCCAGCTCCCTGCTACTGAGCCTGGGAGAGCAGTGGAGGGGGGCTCAAGTGCTCCTTACCCATTGACAGACCCAGATGAAGCTCCTGGCTTCGGCCAGGCCCAGAGCCGACCGCTGGAGCCATTTAGGAATGCACCAGTGGCTGGAAGACCTCTAAATAAGCCTTAGGTTACCTAGGTTCAGTTATCCCATAATAACCAGTTATTCTGTAATGAGCAACAATGTTGTACATGATATATAATTTTATCTGCCATTTTTTGTACATCTTAAAAATGCAAAAAGAACCAAAGGGAAATATGAAAAACCAACTCGAGGAAATGGGAAAACATGGTGAATGCGTGGAGGGCAGAGGAATCGGTGAGCGTAAAGACAGTTCATGCAGAATCCAGAGCAAGAGGCACAGGAGGGAAGAACGGGCAGGGTCGGGCAGGGCTCCTGGGATGCCGACGTGACCAACGCGTGTGCTGTGGCCGGCGGGCGAAGCGACAGAGCAAGGGGCAGGAGGGCATGAAGACCCCAGCATCACAGTGGGAGGGAGCACGGATCCACACTGCAGGAGGGAGGCAGAGGCCCAGGGGAAGCCAGAGGCCCACGGCAGGAGGCATTACAAAGTGCTGGGGAGAGACCACCGAGAGCAGCACACAGGGAGCCACCAGGAGCATCCACACGGGGGAGCGCCCACACCGGGGAGCCACCAGGAGTGACCCACCAGGAGCGTGCACACGGGTGACCCACCAGGACCGTCCACACAGGAGTCCCACGAGGAGCCCTGGGGCCGCGGCCCTGCTGCAGTGCTCAGAAAGGCTGGCTGAGAATCGTGCACCTCGAAACACTGTCTGCTAAGGTGAGGAAGCAGTGAAGACATTCCCGGGGAAGTAGAACTCGGAGCAGTTCACTTCCGCTGGAGCTGCTCCGCACTGCGCCGCGGGGGGTGGGGCACAGCGGTCAGTGACCCCATCACGCACCAAAGCCTCATTGCCTGGCGAAGGCTCAGCAAGCAGCGGCACAGACTGAAGTCAGGGCAGCTTTGGCTCCTAAGTCCACCAGTGATATTCTACGCGGTTTAAAAGACAAACGCACAGAAGTAGTTACCCACATGTATTTTTTAAAAGATTTCTTTTTATTGCAAAGTCAGATATACAAAGAGGGGAGAGGGAGGAAGCTCTCTCTTTGGGCCGTCCTCCGCTGCTTTCCCAGGATACCAGCAGGGAGCTGGAGGGCAAGTGGGGCCGCTGGGATTAGAACAAGCACCCATATGGGATTCTGGCACTCTAAAGGTGAGGACTTTAGCTACTAGGTCACCACACTGGGCCCTGCTGGCATGATGGTACAGCACACTAATCCTGCGTTGGCATCCCTTATGGGTACTGGTTCGAGTTCTGGCTGCTCCACTTCCCATCCAGCTCCCTGCTTGTGGCCTGGGAAAGCAGTCGAGGACGGCCCAAAGCCTTCGGACTCTGCACCTGTGTGGGAGACCCGGAAGAGGCTCCGGGCTCTTGGCTTCGGATCATCTCAGCTCTAGCTGCAACTTGGGAGTGAATCAAGGGATGGAAGATCTTCCTCTTTGTCTCTCCTCATCTCTGTATATCTGAATTTTGAATAAATATTTTAAAATTTAAAATAAAAAAACACAGTCTAAGGGATGGAACTGAAGGGAGGAAAAACTACACCCAGGACCATAATCCTTGCTGGGCACAAGGACGCTCCCTCCAGGGCTGACTGAGAGCTGCACCTGCTGCTGTCCCCTGTGCCTCAAGCGAGAATTGCACTCATTACCTGCAGCAGGGAGCGGGAGTCCATAGTACTGCACACCTTTGGCTTCCAAACCGTCACACCGTCAGCCACAAATTAAACCACTGTGAGTGGGGGCCAACTGGAACCATTTCTCTCAAGAGCCTACGGAGGGCCCGGCGCTGTGGCCTAGTGGTTAAAGTCCTCACCTTAAACGCGCCGGGATCCCATACACGCACTGGTTCTAATCCCAGCAGTCCTGCTTCCCGTCCAGCTCCCTGCTTGTGGCCTGGGAAAGTAGTCAAGGACGGCACGAAGTCTTGGTTCCCTGCACCCGTGTGGGAGACCTGGAGGAGGTTCCTGGCTCCTGGCTTCAGATCAGCGCAGCACCAGCCATTGCGCTCACTTGGGGAGTGAATCATTGGATGGAAGATCTTCCTGTCTCTCCTCTGTATATCTGACTTTCCAATAAAAATAAATACATCTTTTTAAAAAACGAGTCTATGGAATATTCTCCAGAATCTGTGTAGCCTGTGTTAAAGCTACAAAACAAGTACTAACAATACATTTTAAAGTGTTGCACTCACACAATGCTTTTTCCAGCTGCAATGCAAGAACTAGAAGCCAATTAACAAAACGAAGGAAAACTGGAAAGTCTGCAGATGTGAAAACCGGTTATAGATACCCTCAAAACCGGACAGGTGCAGTCAGCAAAATCAGTCCGTCAGCCGGCGGGCAGCACAGCTCGGAAACCTGCCTAAGGAGAGGAAGCTGCTAACCGGAACGCAAGGACCCAGAGCCAAAGGAGAGGGACATGGCAAAGACCACTGCCGCCTGTCACCAGGAGCCGGCTGTGCCGACCCAGCTCCGCCTGTCACCAGGAGCCGGCTGTGCCGACCACAGCTCACTGCGACATCAGGGAGACCGGCTCAGGGAGAAAAAAACAAAAAGCTGAAAGAGGAACTGAGTCGAGCCAAGAAAAGTATTCAAGAATGGACACTATTGAAATGCTGAATATTAGAGTTATATTAGAATATGGGAGTTCCAGAAGGCACAAAGAGAAACTGGGTTTAAAGATGTATTCAGGGCCCGGCGCGGTGGCGCAGTGGTTAAGGTCCTCGCCTTGCACGCCCGGGATCCCATATGGGCGCCGGTTCTAATCCCGGCAGCCCCGCTTCCCTTCCAGCTCCCTGCCTGTGGCCTGGGAAAGCAGTCGAGGGACCCTGCACCTGCATGGGAGACCTGGAGGAGGTTCCAGGCTCCTGGCTTCAGATCAGCGCAGCACCAGGCATTGCAGCTGCTTGGGAAATGAGTCATCGGAAGGAAAATCTTCCTCTGTCTCTCCTCCTCTCTGTATATCTGACTTTGCAATATACGTAAGTAAGTAAGTAAATAAATAAATAAAATGTATTCCATGGGCCAGGTGCAGTAGCCTAGCGGCACCTGGGATATGCTGGGATCCCTTATGGGCACCGGTTCTAATCCCGGCACCTTGGTTCCCATGCAGATCCAGCTCCCTGCTTGCGGCCTGTGAGCCCTGAAGCCTGGGACAGCCGGGGTCCAGCGGATGGCAGGGACTGCTGGTCTGGGTGTGGTGGCCCAGCTGAGCGCCCGACAGCCAAGCACAGCGCTGGCCTCCTCATGAAGCCCAGCACGGCCCAGCAGGCCAGACCTCTCAAACTCAAAGTCCTTCCACCTGCTGCCGCTCAAGAGTGCCTGAGGACTGTGCCCACGCCCCCGCAGGACCAGACACGCACAAGGTACCCGCCAGCTGCCCTGGGCCGCTCTTCCTGGCCTCACCCAGTGTCCCTCGGGGGAGACCTGGGGGGCACCCCCGCAGCTGCAGGGCTGAGCAAGCTGCAGCAGGGGGACCCTCCCAAATAAGACACAGCAGACCCTTTTATAAAATATTTATTCTAAAAAAAATCACACTGTACAAATTTAGATAGAACATTCTTGATACTCAAGATTTATAAAAACGTGAACTTAACAGAAGGACTAGTTAACAAACTTGTCTCTTTTCTTTTAAATTAGGGAGGAAAGTGGTCCATGAGGCACTGACTGCCTACGAAACAGCCAAGAGCCGCGCAGGCGGCCGGGGCTGGCGTGGGCTCCGCTGGGCCGAGTCCACAACAGTGAAGGCTGGTGCTGCCCACGGAGAGCACAGCGCCGCTGGCCCACGCTGCCGCACGGCGAGAGCCCGAGGCCAGCTCGCCCGGCGGCAGCAGGCTGTCCCCACGCCCTGCTGCCGGACGCCACGGTGGCTTCCTGCGGCTGTAGCAGGGCCACGGCGGCCGTTATTTCTCAAAGGGTTTTCAAAACACATATATGTGCAACCCGCAACCCCACATGGGGAGGAACACCATAAAAAGAGCCACAGAGCGGCTCCAGGCGGGAAGCCCCACTCCCCGGGGCGGCCACGGCCCCGTCACTCCTCAGGACACGGCGCTGTGACCGTGCAGCTGCTCCCCTCGCGGCTCCAGGGGAGCGAGTGAGCAGGCCAGGGCTCCGACCATCCAGTGAGCCACAGCAGGCTGGGAGCCGGGGTGGTCACAGCCACGGGTGCCAGGCAGGGTCCATGCGACACAGGTTGTCCAGGCTGTTGGCAGCGGCCACCAGGGTGTTCACCTTGCTCTCCCCGCCCTCGAACTGGGCCAGGTTGTGCAGGCGGGTCATGACCGCCGTGACGGCTTTCTGCACCAGGGAGACCAGCTGCTGGCTGTCCATGCTCTCGGGCTGCCCTGCGGCCGACAGGGGCGACGACGTGTCCTCCTGCGTCTTCTTGTGCCACGCGATGATCTCGTCACGGAGCACCGTCTTGAGAATGCCGTCCACCTGGGGGAGGGAGACACGACATGGCCCAGGTGGAGCCAGGGGGCACCCAGAGGGGCTCCCCACTGCAGGACGGGGCAGCAGGCGGCCCCAACAGCACCAGCCCCTCACCGTGGGGCCTCCTGTGCGCCGCCCAACAGCCACTTCCACAAGCACGGTGTCAGACAATGCTCACGGAACACACAATTCCAGGGTACGTGTGCTTTGTGCACGACGGTGCAGGCACTGCCAGGCTCACACAGCGGAGCCCTGCGCCGCCATGCTCACCCCAACGTGCATTTCCCATGAAGCCCCGCTCGAGGACCACGAGCTAACACTTGTGCCTCCACAAGAACGGCAGATTCATACAGGGGCAGAGGCGAGGACCGACAGCCTGGACTGCTGCCTGGGACCCAGCTCCTGACCCGCTCCGACAGGCTTGTCACTGGAGAGCCAGGCCTGCTGTGAAGCCAAGGGCTCTGTGGAGGATGCTCAGCATGGCAGGGCACTGCACGGGATGCCCACGGCCTGCACTGGACTGCTCCACTCGGGAGCCCTGGGCAGCAGCTGCTGGCTCCAGAACCTGGGTCCCTGTCAGGGCAGCCCAGTCTGAGCTCCGGGCTCCTGGCTTGAGCCAGGCCAGTACCAGACCCCAGTGGCATCAGAAGCATACACTGGTAGATGGAAGACTCTCTGCCTGTCACTCTTTGCCTTTCCAGTAAAAATAAATAAAACTTTAAAAGGATTTAAAGGGGACTGGCATGGTGAAATAGCATGCTAATCCCCTGCCTGCAGTGCCGGCATTAGCATCTGCTCCTGTCCTAGCTGCTTCAATTCCGATCCCTCCCTGCCTGAGGCTTGGGAAAGCAGCAGATGACAGCTCCAAGCCTGCGGACCCTGCACCTGTGTGGGAGACCTGGAAGAAGCTCCTGGCTCCTGGCTTTGGATTGGCGCAGCTCTAGCCATTGTGGCCACTTGAGGAGTGAACCAGTGGTGAAGGGTCTCTCTTTCTCTCTCCCTCTCTCTGTAAATCTGCCTTTCAAATAAAAATAAATAAATCTTAAAAAAAAAAAAAGGAGGGTTGGTTTAAAGACTGTCAAACTTTGTGGAGAAGCACTGGTTTCTGATGCCTCTCCTGGACGTGGGTCATGGGAATACACGGATATTGTCTCCAGAGTGCGGGCCTCCGGCCGTGAGCAATGAGACTCGAACCCCAGCCCGTGTCCTGCCACACCTAAAGAGGCAGCCCACCCCGAGCCTCTGCGAGTCAGGCAGTGTGATGAGAGCAGCCAGGGCAGCGCCAGGCAGACAGCGTGTGGGCAGCCCCGTGCTAACCGGGGCATCCAGGGCACGTGGCCTTGTACTGCGTACACCTCCGCTCCCTGTGCGGCTCGCCACGGCCCAGACATGCAGCAGCAAGCACTGGGGACATCAACCTGGCAGAAACTTCTAGATCCCTTAACCCAAGGAGCGGATGCCCGGAGCCCAGCGCCAGCCTGCGCCTGCCTCTCACTGACACGGTCAGCCCCGCAGCCCCACTCGCTCTGTAACGGTGCTGCCGTGACCCACCTTGAAGTTGGGCTGGGCGAAGCACCGTGCCACGGCGATCATGGAGGCAGTCAGCGGGCCAGACACCCCGATGGTGGTCAGGAACTCGGAGACGTTGGGGGTGAGGCGGAAAGGGACCGGGCGGTTGGCGTCTAGGTCTCCGGTCGCATCGTTGATGTCAAATCGGAAGTAGGCAACGTTGAGCTTTCCGGTGTCCTAACGTGCCAGAGAGACGTCTCAGAGGTGCCGGCCGCAGGACGCAGCCGTGGCAGGGGCACAGCCAGCTGCAGGACGCAGCCGTGGCAGGGGCATGGCCGGCCGCACAGGCCACTCACCTGAGCGATCTGCAGCATCTCGGGGTTGAGTCTGTTGAGGTGCAGGACGAACTCGGCAAAGCCGATGAGTGCGAGCTGGATGGTGAACATCTTGCGGAAGGTCCAGTAGTCGGTGGCGTTCGGGAAGGTGTGCAGCGCCCACTCCTTGAGCATGCTGCGTGGCACCATGTTGCTTTGCACCTCCTTGAGGATGTCTCGGAGGACCTGCAACACGCACAACCTTGCAGCCCCCTGCAAGCGCTGGGGGCGTGCTGCCGCTGCCTGAGCCCACATGATTATACAAGAGCCCTCCAGCCTCTCTTGGGCCATCCCAAGCCTGGGCTGCATTGGGGGGGAGCCCATCTGACAGAAGCACCCAGGGAAGCCACATGACCAACACCAGCAGCTCTGCCTCCAAGCCAGGCCGTGGGACACAAATGCTGCCTGAGCTGCCCGGAGGCAGACAGACCCAAAGCCGAGCTCCACCCCAGGACCTGCGCGGCTGGCCAGCACCACAGGCTTAGCAAGCCTCACAGGAGCTCACGCAGTTAGCTGGGCCCCCAGCCAGCCAACAGGACAGGCTCAAGGTGGACACCACCAACTGGCTGCACATCACCACGGGATCCCCGCTGCCTGCCTCTCTCACTCATGGAGACGGCAGAGAATACCCCATCCACTCCTACAGCAGCCACGCATGTGCCCATGGACACCTGCTAAGGCCCCGGACTTGCCCCCCAGCTGCACACTGCCCACCCAGGCATCTCCCACACACAACAGGTGCAGGCTAACTCTGCCGCTAAACGGACCATGCTGGGTCTTCACAGCACACAGCCAGGAAAGCCAGAGAACAGAGCGACAGATCCGGAGAGAACCCTGACGGGCAGACCTGCCTGGCTCTGTTAGTCACGCTAACAAATCAGGAAAACATGGCTGGTACACAGTTCCTGGCAGTCAGGTCTATCAAGAATTCTTGGAACTGACAAGACAAACCATCCAAATTAAAGATGAGTAAAAGGTTTGCGTGAACATTTTCCAAAGGAAACGCACAGCCAGGCAGGAAGCACAGGCCACGCCTCTCACGACTGCTCCCACGTGACTGGCAGGCCAGCGCCTTCCACACCTAGCACGCCATCCTCAGAAGATGCTCAGAGTCACCATGAACTCCTGGACCCATGTCCAAGGGAAAGGCAAGCACGGACTCACACACCGGCAGCATCAACCACGACTCATCCCCAGTTGCCTAGGGGACCGACCCAATGTGCATATCTATGCATCAGGATCCTGATGTGCTCTGCAGACAGACGGGCCTCCTTCCTCTGCAGGAGAGGCAGCCCCGGCACTAGCATGAGCACATCCCTGTCTGTCTCTGCAGAGAGGACCAGGGAGTAGCCGGCCTCAGGCCATGTCTTCCTCTCTGCAGGGTGGAGAGGGCTACACAACTCCGGATGTAGCAACACCAGGGAATGAAAGCCTAACGCAGAGCAGGACGAGGCCTGAGGTGCCAACGTTGCCGGGCCACCCTGGCTGGCCCCGCAGCCCCTGGCATGCCTCACACTAGGGAACGCTGTGCTCTGTCAGCGGAACCAGAGAGGGCTGTGCAGGCAGTGTGCACTGCAGCCTGCCGAGGACTCCCTCAAAGCCGCCGGGCCACCAGGACCAGGCCACAGCCCGAGCCACACAGGAGCCCGCCCCAGGTCCTAGTCAGAACATGGGGAACACAGCACGCGCAGGCAGTGCTGTGGCGGGGACACAGCCCCCGGGACCCAGATGAAGGGAAGTGGACCCCAGCTAATGTGAGGCTCATTCTCTGTGCTTGCTTCCTCTCAGGGTGCAGAGGACCACGTGGCAGCGACTCAGCTGGTCTGCAGAACCTGGAGGCCCCTCTGTCCAGACGTGCCTGGCTGCAGTGAGCCCATCACAAACTTTCCCACTCTATTCCTGAGCACAGGATAGATGTGCCCTGGCTGGAGGACTTCCAGGCGACCCTTCCACTCAGCCACTGTAACACCTGCCAGCTCATGGGGGAGCCGTGACTAAAGCAGTGGGTGCCCGCAGCCACGCCTGCTGCCTTCAGGCCCAGTGGTACCTGATGGCTGGCCTGGGTGCCCCGCGCCTGCACGGTGGCCAGCCGGTCGTAGTAGCGGGAGATGGGGTTGTCGTGCTCAATGCCCTTCTTGGCACAGCGCTGCTTGTAGATCTCCACGAGTGACAGAGAGGAGGGGTTGTCCTCGACGAGGCGCATCTGCGGGGACACAGCCACGACCCGGGGCACTGCGGAGAGAAGCCGCAGGTCAGTACCGCCTCCAAATGCCAGGCACCCGCATGTGTCGAGGGGTGAAGCTCGTGTGGTCCCACAGTCACAGCCCCGCACGCTCAGCAGACAGGTGCATCGCCTGTGTTCAGACAAGCAGGCTCAAGGCACAAAGAGCAGCCAACGCCCTCCCACTGCGGGCCGCAGGCCCTGCCTCCTGCTGGGAGCCTGTGACTGGTCTCCCCTACAGCAAGGTCCACTGTGGTGCTCTCCAGCTCTGGAAAGCAGGGGACACTTTGCTCGGGTTCTGTGGCACAGGTAAGCAGAACCAGGGTGGCCCCGAGAACTACCCAGCATCCCCGCAACGGACTCACAGCCCATTCCCACTCTAGTTTACCCACAATGGCAGGCACCCCTGGCACAGTTCAGCCTTGGGGAGAGGCACCTGCCCCCACCTCCTGAGCCTGCCTTCCTAGTGACATCTCTTGGCTAACTGCTGGGGTCCGTGTGATGGGTGTGGAAGACAGGAAGGTGTGAAGAGTATTGTTCCATTGCAGGCAGGGCCGCAAGGGACTTCCTGCTGTGTGGCAGGGCTGGGCGGATGTCTCTACGACCACCTGAATGCAGCTCCGCCTCCCTTTGCATGGACACTGGACAACCCCGCTGAGAATTCCATAATCTATTTGGGCATCGTCTGCCTCTGCAGAGTTAATGTTTAGTATCACTGTGAGCTTGGAAGCTGATGTTGCTGATACGGTTGACAATCTGCTGATCAAGGGTGCTCACTCCCCTTGGATCCTATGCTAATCAAGGGTGTTCCGTCCCCAGGTGTAGTGGGAATCTATTCTTTCCCTCCTTCTTTGATCTTTATGTCCCTCCTTCTGTGATGCATTTCCTCCCTTATCTGACACAAGACTAAGCTGTAGAATGAAGATCGTAGTAGGACCGTGTTACTGATTGATATGCACCATCTATTGAGAACTTCCTGACCACGGCGCCAGGATGGATAACATCCTGCCTTACGTGAAGCAAACCGCAGAATTATCCTTAGAAACACCCACTCGACCATGACGTAAAAAGCCTGAGCCAGAGTTTGACTGGTTCTGTATAAATAAAGCGGACAGCTTTACTGCACTGTCCACAATGATCATGCAATCTTAGTGGTCCGTCTCTCTTCGCACCTCATCCACGCACCCTTCTCGAGTTCCAAACTCCGCTGGAGCGGGACTCTGGCAGCCAACGTTGCCAAACTTGGGTGAACTTTACTTCATTTAAAAATGGGGTGACAGTACCTACCCCTGGGGCTGTTTGCGGGTTAAATGACACTGAGCGAGCAGGTGAAGGCATTAAGCCATCTGCCAAAGAAAAGCTGGAGGAAGCAAAGATTTTCTTGCTGTGAGGCGGGGTCCCATTGCCACCTGCCCGGTGGGCCTCCAGCCATGGCGACCCCTGCACCGGAGTTTGGTGTCAGTGTAGCCCACACAGGCAAACCTGACTACGACGAACAAAGGTGGCATCAGCTAAACCAGGGCTGCTATATCAGTCTGTCAATTTAAAGGTCAGAGCTCTTAGGCCACAGAGGCGGACACGTCCCAGCAATAACCATCTCCGGGAACACCTCAAGTGTGACCCGTGCCCGTTACAAACAGAAGTAGGTCACTGCCAGCCTGGTCCCTGGCAACTCCACTCCGGGTCGTCACTCATCAGCTACTTGTGCCACGACAGTGTCGTGTGCCTCCCACCCTCCCAAGCCCCGCACCTGGCCCCCAGGCAAACTCAGACTGTGGGTATGCAGGCCAGGAGGCGCAGAGCCCAGACAGGGGCCAGAGGAGCAGGGTGACAGGCACATGGGTACGGCCCCCAGTGCAGCGTGGGCAGCTGGGATCCGCAGTCCCCTGCCGAGCAGCCTGCTCCTGAACAAGGACTACCACGGGCCTGCCCCAACACCAACGCAGGTGCAGCTGCAGCCAGCACATGGCTCACATACCTGTGAAAAACAGGTGCCTCTTGGTGGTCTCTTTCCTCTTCTCCAGGCAGGGGTTCAGCAGGCGCAGCAGCTGCAGCACACGCTCCTCTCGCCGTGACTCGGTGAGGCAGGCGTCGTTCATGACCAGGTATGGGTAGATCTTGCCGTTGTGCCCACGGATGTACAGCCTCCTGGCTGCCGTGTTGTGTTTCTGCACGATTTCCACCCTGGGCATAAACCTGCCGGGGCAGACAGACAATGGTAGCCTCCCGACTCGAGCCCAGCCTTTCTCGAGGTAGCTGCTGCGGCGTTCAGCCTGTCGGGTCAGCTGGTCTCCCAGACAGGCAGCCACAGCAGGACCATGTCAGGCGCAGACGGGTCTAAGCTCTGAACACAGTGCAAGGAGAGCAAGGTGGGGCTGCATGTGATCCAGACAGAACACCAAGACAACCGTCCCAGACCGTGGGGCACAACGCACAAGCAGCACGCATGCCCAGTGGCTCCCCAGCAGTCCCTTCCGTTCGACACAGAACTTTCTTTCCCCAGCCTAAGGTGATTCAGCAGGGGTGCTGTGGAATGCAGACTCAAGCTTCACTCAAGATAGCTGACCCAGTGGTGAGAGCAGACCCTTGGGGACACAGCAGCCCCCAACCACCTCCCACCTTAGGTCACCGATGTCCGACACGTGCATGGTGTGTACTCCGAGCTCTGCCCCCACCCCTTGCCCAACCCACCAGCTCACTCACCGCGCGATTTTGATGTAATAATGCGTTGGCTTGGGCATCAGAAACTCCCCTGGAATTTCCACTTCAGCAGTCTGTGCTGAGAAATTGCTCAGGAAGCGACACTTTTCTTCTATGAGGAAGAATTTGGGAAGCTGCTTGGTTTTGGCCTCCAGGATCTTGATCCACTTTTTCAACTTAGAAATCAGATTATGAAGCTTCATGGAGCCTGGAACACTGAAGTCAAAATCTGTAAGACAGAAGTCAATATTAAAATGCATCTCCAATTAAAAAGCTCAGTCCACTCCCTCCGTAATTCACAGTAAGGGGTCAAGCGTCGGGATGCTCCTGACCACTGTGGTTGAGAGGTAGGGACCCTGGAGGGGCAGGTGTGTGACATTCAGGAAACGCGGGCAGCCATGAGACCACCATGGGGGTTCCCGCGTCTCTCCAGCGTCCTCCTGCACCCTCATTTGCTCAGTGTTTCAGATGCGACGCCCACAGGCCCAGGCCCTCCTCCCTCCTGCAGGCAACCGGGCCTATCAAGAGAAGCCACCGGGCACATACAGTCGTGTGTGCTTGCATGCCCCCAGCCCCCCACCCAGGCTGAAACTCTTGGGGTGACTGTGGTCAGTGTCCACTCTGGAGCCCAGTTCCGGGGAACATGAGGCAGGTGGAGCCTCCTTGACACTGGAGTCTCTTGTGGCTAACAGGAATCTCCATTTTGTATTACTTCAACCTATTTAGCAGATGTTCTTAACTGCATTAAGAAAATACAGCGACGGGCCCGGCGTGGTGGTGCAAGTGGTTAAAGGTCCTCGCCTTGCATGCCCGGGATCCCATATGGGCACCGGTTCTAATCCCGGCAGCCCCGCTTCCCTTCCAGCTCCCTGCCTGTGGCCTGGGAAAGCAGCAGAGGACGGCCCAAAGCCTTGGGACCCTGCATCTGTGTGGGAGACCCGGAAGAGGCTCCTGGCTTCGGATCGGCATAGTATCGGCCGGTTGCGCTCACTTGGGGAGTGAATCATCGGACGGAAGATCTTCCTCTCTGTCTCTCCTCTCTGTATATCTGCCTTTCCAATAAGAAATAATAATAATAAAAATAAATCTTAAAAAATAAAAAGAAAATACAGCGAGTCTTTTTAAAAGATACACTATCTGGGTCAGTGTTGTGGTATGCTGGGTAAATCTGCCTCCTCTGAGGTTGGCATCTCGTACGGGTACCAGTCTCAGCTGCTCACTTCTGATTCAGTTCCCTAGAGGCCTGTGAAAAGCAGCAGAAGTAGCAAGTCCCTGGGCCCTTTCACCCACACAGGAGACTCAGATGAAGCGCCTGGCCCAGCCCTCTCAACGTGGCCACTGTGGCTATCTGAGGGGTGAAGCAACAGGTGGAAGATCTCTGTCTGTCTCTCCCTAACTCTGACTTTCAAAACAAATTCTAAATCTTAAAACAACATGTTTTCTACAAATGGGAACCACCCCTATTCCTAGGAATAACCCATCAATCAGTGAGGAAAGAGTTTTAAACATGTTTAAAGAAAGGTTACAAAAGCAGTAATTAAACTGAAATGTTTTAACCCTGGCAAACAGCTGCACAAATGTTTCCACATGGTAATAACTCGTGTGTGTGTGTGTGTGTACACATGCATGCCCCGGGTGGGGCGGAATTCCCAATGTGACCTATCAAGACACCCGGGCCATGCAATACCAGGCAGACGCAGCACTCCGCTCGCATGGGGTCTGGGGAACACGCTGCCTCGACCAAGGACCAAGCAGGAAAGCAAACAACCTCTCAGTTTGCTCCCAGGATGCACGGCCGCTCTGCGCCCTGAAGCATTAAATCCCATCACCTCACCTTCTGATGCTCCCCCCAAATCAACTGAAGGCAGGGCCCCAGGAAGGGGAGGGCAGCTGGGCCTGAGCCCCATTTCCAGCTGGCAGCTCTTGCTGCAGACGCAACAGCAGCAGGCGGGCTCAGGCACGCATGTGGCCTGGGTTCTGAAGCTGGTCCTTCCCACAGAGGCGCACGGGCACCCAACACAGAGCTGTGATGACCCACCGAGCTGCTAACTACAAATGTTTCCCATCCCAGGAAACGGGCGGCGGGACTCACCGGTCGTGAACTGGCCCTTGAGCTTCTGGAAGACGGGGTCCTGGGCAGTGGCCTGTGCCCGCCTGGCCAGAGACTCGGAGGCGGCGCTGGAGAACATGGTGGAGACGTTGGACACGTTCTCCAGGCCCACCCCAAACGTGCTCACCAGCTTCTTGACGAAGTTGAGTGTGTGGGGTGTGATTTTGGCATCAGACACAGCTCCGCTCTTCTCAAATGCCACCGAGTAGCACTTGGCCAGGCCCTGCTGCAGCTGCCGGAGGACCTGGGGTACGAGGGATGGAGTCAGGCTGAGGCAGAGCCTCTGCCCCAGGCAGCAGCCGGCCCCCCCACGTGGGCTCTTTCTAGACCCACTCAGGACCCAGAAGAGGCGAAGTCTCTCTGTCGGGTGCTGCACACCCTGGAGGTTGTTTCATCTTCAACCTCGGATGCCCACACTGCACGGCCCAGTGGCACGTGGGGCTGCCAGGTAAGCCAAGGACGCAAACAGCTGGGCCTCGGCATGCAGCATTCTATCAGCAGCCAGACAACGCCATCAAGGGGGTGGCCCAGCTGCTGCAAAGACCCGCAAGACACCGAGTCCCACCCCAGGAAAGCGCGCTCACGTGCCCGCTTGGGTAACTGTGACCACAGCGGTGACCCGAGTCAGCGTTTAACAAAGACCCGGCTTTCTGTTTTGCTGCTTCTGCCTGCTGCTTCTAGCAGACACGACTTGCCTAGTCCAAGGCTAAATTCAGCAAGGCATCATGCAAAGAGCACAGGGCCACACGAGCACACAGAAGGATACACGCACTTCTCGGGCAAGGGCACAGTCAAGTACCTCCTCGTGCCAGTTTTCTCGGAACCAGACCATCTGATCGACGATGCCTTCCAGGGAAGACAGAAGGGTGGGGTGGAGCTCTCGCTGCATGTGCATGATTCGGCTGCAGCGCCACATTGGTGCTGTCGCTCTTATGGGCCCTGGATCTGATGCAGAATGGGACTGGTTACCCACTGAACTTGGCTGCTGCTGTCCAGAATCTGAGAGCAACACACACAACGCCAACGTCAGCGCAGAACCGACCCACGCCGGAGCTCGGGGCTATACAGAACCCCCTGGCCAAGGAACGCCGGTTCCTGCCGGTGTGGGAGTCATCACCATCCCTGGCCCCAGGGGCTGCGTTCTAAGGACAGGTGCACCGAGGGATTCAGGGACAGAGAGCGCAGCCGTCTGCTACCTGCCTCCAGAGGATTAAGTTCATGGAGAGAAAGCAGATGTGACAAAGAGGACAGTGATGAGTCTGGGGAGGGGCAGGGGGTCCCTCTGAGCACCTTCTTTGCCTCCTACAAGTTTCCTCAAGTCATTTTAAAAATGAAATGTTGGGAAAATTCTTGACTGCTGAAGATGAGCGCAGTTAAGTAAGGCTACATTTTTTTTTCCATCCAGAAGAGCCAAATCATACAGTAAAGATGCTTTAAAAGTCCCTTTCTTCATGAGAAATACACCATAAGACCCTCAGTGCCCGTTCGTCTGGCGTTGGCTCACGGATCTGGCCAGGCAGAGCCTAGGCTGAGTCTGAAATGGGCCATGCATCCCGAGTCCACCCCACTCTACCAGGCACCTGCAGGCCATGCCTGTGGGCATCTACACCCTGTGAAGCAGGTGGGCACTGCGGTCAACGTGTAGGCGACACCAAATGAGTCGTTCTGCATACACTCTAGGGCCGTTCCAAGCCTGTGTCTCAAGTCACTTTTCACAAACAACTGGTAATGCTGACTGACCAGACAGCTGAAGATGCTCCTTAACCCTGAGCACCACGCAGTGACAGGCACTGCACTGCGTCCACAGGGACGCTGAGTGCGGGGCAAGGCGGACTCCACCCAGCTCTCTAGGCATGGCTCGGTAGCTTGGGTGGAGGCGGAGCGGCCTGACACGTTAGGGCGGAGGCTCCCTCACGACCCCGTGTCCCTCCCGGGCCAGGGGTGTCCCCAGCAGCCCCCGTGCAGGAGGCCCGCTCCCAGGACTTACCGCTCTTATAGCGCTCCCGCTGCTCTATTTTCAGGGTCAGGTACAGGGTCCGGATGGGGAAGTAGACGGCTTGGGGGTACACACGTCCAACCTGCACAGAGACACAGGCCGTCAACAGCACTGCTCCCCGCTAACAGCTGTCAGGTCTGCCTGCACAAGGAAGCAGGGCTGCGGCAACAACCCAACACACAGCCTGAAGACCCACGCCAGGCTACCATCTGTATCTCATCAACCCAGCAGAATTTTCCATCTCCTCACTGGAGACAGAAATGCCCGAGGAAGGCACCTGGATATTCCTCAGGCAAACAAAGCCACAAACAAGCTCATCTTTCTATGAGAAACAGTTCCCTGCAGGCGTGAGCTATGCTGACTGGTGGTCCATCAGCAGTGACGGCCCTGCACAGCAGGGGGAAGGGGAGCCCACGTGGGGCCTGAGCAGACGGCCGCACGCCCCCGGTCCTTCGCCACCACTACTGGGCAGCTAGTGAACCTGCACCAGGAGACGTGAGAGAAGCGAGCACAGGAAACACACGGACTCCACATCCTGACGGGTGAACCACAGCAAGCCACAGCACAGGCATCGGCTGGACTCTGGGTGAGTGTGCGGTGCTGCGGGGCGACTCCCGAGGCTGACAGCATCACAGTTCCTTGCTGTGGTGTCCCTCGGCCTTTACACAGGCACACACACTCTGCAACCACTCTCCAAGGAAGATGGGACAGTCTCTCTTCGGGAGCCAGGCCTGCCAGATCCCTCAGCCCCACGCCAGGGCTGAGCTGCGTGCCGGGTACTAAAGCTGCTGACTGCAGGCTGACTCGGACGTGCACCCGGCACGGGGCAGCAGTCAGCTGTGAAATCCTGCTTGGCCACACAGCACTGCCAGTCCTACCCTCCTCTGGCAGGAGCACGTGACATCCAAGAGACATAGCACACCTTCAGTACTTTGTATTTCCCTCCAACGCTGACACATTCTGCAGTGACTTTTCAGAATGGTCTCTATTAATAGGGCTCTAAATGCCTTTGACCTTCTCATGTCTTGGATTTATTTTTAACACTTTAAGTATTCAAATCTGCTTTCTGGGAAAAAAAAAAAAAAAAAAGAGCTCAAAGCAAAGACACAGCTTGGAGCTGGTCCACAGACCTGGCTGATGAGGTTCAGAAGCAGCTTGCCCTCGGAGCCCACCAGGCAGGTGAGCAGCTGGGGGATCCAGGCCAGCCACTGGATGGGGGGCACCCCAATGCAGTACTTGTCCACGGCGTCTGCCAGGGTGTTTTTGTCATCATCAAAACTCAAAAGCCACAACACCTAGGAAAGGAAGAATGGAGGAAAGGCTTGAAATTGAATGGCTGTTCTGAGGAACTTCAAACCCGGGGCCTCTGTTCCAACACTGGAACTCTAGCGCAGTGGCTCCACTGGTCAGCTCAATGCTGGCCCTGCAGCACAGGGCATTAAGTCCCTGCTACTGATGCCGCCACCCCACGCTGCAGTGTTCTAGTCCTGACTGCTCCAATACCATTTCTACTCCCTGTTAGAACACTTGGGAAAGCAGTGGAGATGGCCCAAGTGCCCATGCCCCCAGCCACACCCATGTAGGATCCCCTTCAAGCACATGGGATCCCAGGGCTTGAAGGGCAAGGGTTGAGCTATTGCACTGGACTCTCCCAACCACTTGGTTTCGCTTTGACGACAATTAGTGATGGAGCCAGTCTGCCCGTGAGCGGCAGGCGGTGGCAATAAGGAAGCAAGGGACGAGGGCCAGGACTGCCAGCATGCGCATCTTCCATATGTGTGCCCTCAACCAGCAAGACAGGTTTCTGCTAAAATCTAAGAGGATGGGGTCCCTACCACCAGGCAGGCCATATGCCGGTACCCTGGGGTCCACTGATGTCAGAACTAGTGGCAGTGCTTAGGTAGTATTTCCGTGTCAGCTGGTTTCTCTATGCTGGTTGTAACCACCATGTACTGAGGGGGCATGTTGCGAATTTTCTTATTAAATCAAGGAATCCTAAAAAGCCAAGCATTTTGTGAGCAAAATGGAAAATAACAACTTATTCTTAAGTGTTCTGCAAGAATTCTTCTAAGTTTTATGTATGCCTGAGGCTCAGGGCAGAGACCCCCGTGAGCAGCAAAGGACAGCAGCTCACTGCAGGTCGCCAGCTGCCCTCTGGGGCACTGGTCTACCCTCAGTGACCCACACCTCGGCCCAGGAGCCCCGAGAAGAGGAACCTTGGCATCTTAGCCTTACAAGCAGCTGGAAAGGTACCTCGAGGGTGACGGGATGAGGCTGGAATCGAGCCTCACGCCCAGCACGGATCGGCGGCTACACACCCGTGGCCTCACCTTGGCAAGGTATTTCCTTGACTTGCTCTCGTTCTGATGGCGACAGGCATGCAGGTAACAGGTGATGGCAGACACCCCGAGATGCAGCTGGCGCTCCTTCACGAAGATGTTCTCCAGGTAGTCGCCCCACATGGCCCACGCCTTCACCAACACGTCATGCATCTGCACGGCCGCCGAGAAGGCCTTGTTGGCTTCCTCAGACCTGCCGGGAGACACGTTCTGCATGAAGCTGGACTGCACGCCCCACAAACCAGCTCCGTGCAGGGACCGAACACGCCATTGCAATGTTTCCACTGTGTGCAACTTCCGTGTGCTTGCACGGCTGCCCACTGTAAATCAACCCTGCCTGGTCAAGTGTCTGCTCCTGACCTTTCGGCTGTGTTGCTGAAAGGATGTGGAACTGCCAGCCTGTTTTCCACAGCAGTTACGGCATTTCATTATCCCACCAACAATGTCACAAGCTATGGCCAGGACACCAAAAAACATGATGTAACAATAGAAGCTGGCCCTCAGCAACAGCCAGCAGCAGGCCAACTCCAAGGGTGTCCCTGCCACCTGGGAGTCCGTCCTACAGGAGAAAAGCCATGCGACACATCACATTAACAAGACAAAGCTAAAAAGCCCACAGCGCCCTGACCCACACAGAGCTACCCGGCAAAACCGAACACCAGAGAAAGCACAGGTCCCAGCTGACACCTCACTCACCAGCGAGGACTGAATGCGCCAAGAACAGGAAAGGCTCTAAGAAGCTCAGCAGCCAATTCAACAGCACAGAGCCCAGGACAGCTGGGCCAGAAATACAAACAAGAAGCACCTCATTGGTAGATGACATGAGCCTTCATGCAGAAAACCCTCAGGAATCCACAAACGGAGCCAAAAGATCGAAACCTGTTCAGATCTTTATACAAAAATCAACGAACTGTCTGCAAATGAAACCAAAACAATTCCATTTGCAGGATCATCAAAAGAAATAAAACTATTTAGGAACAACTGTATCATGAAGTGCAGGACTTGCAGTTACAACTCTAACACATATTGAAAGCAACGGAAGATCTAAATTAATGGAAAGATGCATCACCGAATGGCTAGACACCCCCTAGGTTAACATACAGATTCAACACAAAGATTAGTTACTCCTCACTAGGGTATTGAAGATTTCTCTGCACACCCCTCCTAAAACTGTTCACCTAAACTGTTGACATATGTCTTGTTACAGTTATAGAGTTAGACTACCCGAAAAACAGCCATGCAAAATCATGCTTCAACGCTATGAACTGCTAAATACTAAAATTAAAATAGACATGAGACAGCTGAATAGTAATCTACACCCATTTTAAGGTGTATAGAACCCAGCTGTATATAAACTAATACTTGAAATCTCAATGTAGAAGTCATAGGATGTGGTTCAGAACTTGTACTCTTTTTTTTTTTCCCCTCTCTCTCTCTTTGAACATGCTGGATACACAATACCATGTCAACTAATTCCATTACGTTATAAATTGTTACTGATGCAATGTCGGGGCTTTTAATTGATTGGGATGATACTCTTTTGGCTGTACCTTCAGACCAGAGACTGTTTCCCCATGAAACTGTTGAACTTATCTGCACAATAAGATGCTGGACTCTATGCTTTGTAGATGCTTGCAAGGAAAGAATCTCAACTGAATTTGACCTGTGGTAATGCAACAAGATGGAAGAATCCACCATGGGGGGCGGAGCGGGTTTCGGGGAGGTGAGGGGGGAATCCCAGTGCCTATAAAACTGTGTCACATAATGCAATGTAATCAATTTTAAAAATTAAAAAAAAAAAATAAAATACAGATTCAATGTAATTCCTATTACAATTATAACTGGCCGCCTCCCCTTTACGCAGAAATGGAAGACCCGTATGGAAAAAAGGCACGGGTGTAAGGCACAGCAGTTCAGAAGCTGCTGGGGAAGCCTAGGTTTGAGTCCTGGCTGGTTCAGATTCCAGCTTCTTGCTAACGTGCACCCTGGGAGGCAGCAAATAATAGCACAAGTACTCAAGCCTCCACGGCCGAGAGGCCAGAGCCTCCTCCACCAATGAGAGAACAGAGCCTCCATCACCCATATGAGAGGCCAGCCTCTTCCACCACCAATATGAGAGCCCAGAGCCCAGCATCAATGACAGCCCAGAGTCTCTACCACCAATATGAGATGTCAGAGCCTCCCTCCACCACCCACATGAGAGGCCAGAGCCTCCACCACCAATGTGATAACCCAGAGCCTCCACCACCCCCAGGAGAGGCCAGAACCTCCACCACCAGGGTGAGAGGCCAGGTTTGACATCCAGGTCCCTGGCTTTGCCCAGCCTTGGCTGAGACAGTCATTTTGGAAGGAAGTCAGTAAATGAAAGATCTCAAGTAAGTAAAAATTAACAAAGTAAGGGACTCTAAGGACTCCAAGAGCAGATCAATGGGTAGAGTCCAGAAGTAAATCCATACACAGTAAATGGGCTTTTAAAAAAATTTTGGAAATGTATTGGTAAAAAGAGCTCCTATCTACTAATTCATCTCAAAATGGCCACAATGTTAAAGCTGGAAGACAAGAACTCAGTCTACGTCTCTGAAGTAGATGGCAGAGGCCCAACAACTTGAGCCATCGGCCACTGCCTTCCAGAGTCCTGCAGCAGGAACAAGCTAGCGTCCGGAGTGGAGCTGGGTACTGACTAAACCCAGGCACTCCAATATGGGACGGGGCAGCTTAACTGCAAGGCAACAACTGCTCCTGGTCAACTGACCTTCACCAAAGATGCCACTTGAGGGAGGGTGAATGACCTCATCAAATGCTAGGACAACTCAACAAACAGGGACATGTATCCCACACCACATGCAAACTGCTCAGAAAGGATCAAAGGCCTAAGGGTAAGAGCTCAACCTGTAAAACTGACAAAATAGCTGACCTCAGTTTAAACCACAGATTTTTTTTTTAATATTTATTTATTTAAAGGTGGTTACTGAAAGAGGAGAGGGAGAGGCAGAGACAGAGAAAGATTGATCTTTTATCCACTGATTCACTCCCTGAATGGCGACAACGGCCACGCTGACCCAAGCAGAAGCCAGGAGCTTCCACCGGGTATCCCACATGGACACAGCGGCCCAAACACTGGTGTCATCTTCTGCTGCTTCTGCATTAGCAGGTAGCTGGACCAAAACGGAGCAGTCGGCACACAAATGGCACCCATCCGGGATGCCGGCATTGCAGGTGGTAGTCAAGCCAGCTATGCCTCGATACTGGTCCTGATCATAAATTCTTAGATGTCACCAGAAGTAGATGCCAAAAAAATTATATAAATTGGACATTAGCAACATTTAAAACCTGTTGCAGTAGAGGACGCCATCAAGAAGGTGAAAAGAAGACACAAAGAAAATATTTGCATAGCACGCATCGCAAGGAGATAGAAGGGGCTGTAAGTCAAAGAGCAAGAAAGCAAGCACTGGTGAGGAAACGTTACAACTGCAAAGCTCCAGCATCACTGGCCAGAACAGAGGCTGGTGCAACCACCATGGGAGGCTCTGGCCGCTCCTCAAATACCTCCCGTGACCCAGCAGTCCCCTCCAAGAGGGAACAGGAAATGCTCTCCACCAGCCAATGACACGAATGCTCCTGGCAGCACTGTTCCTAGCAGATGCCAAGTGGAGCTAACGCAGAGGTTGGACACACAGATGAGCGACGCAGAGTCACCTGACCCCGGGAAGGAGCAGTCCCTGTGTGGGACACAACTTGGACAAGCCCCGCAAACGTCCCGACTGGAAGCCACCAGGCAGAGATGCTCACTTGGGCGATGCCATCTACAGGAAAAGCCCTGCGCAGGCAAGTCGCTAGCCGCCTAGTGGTTCTCCAGAACAATGGGAGAGGTCAAAGCAACTGCCAAGAGATACAGCTGCCTTTCGAGGATGATGGGAATGTTCTGGAACCTATCAGCGGAGATGGCCACACAACACAGCAAGTCAAATCCACCTAAGTGCGCACTTCCAAAGGGAGCGTCTTAAAATACCACAACCTTGACAATACAGCCTCCTTACTTAAAGGCAACGTAAACACACAATCCCTGGGGCCTGGTGGCTAGTGGCAGCCTAGTGGCTCAAGTCCTTGCCTCGCATATGCCAGCATCCCGTATGGGCGCCAGTTCGTATCCCAGCTGTTCCACTCCAACAAGCTCCCCGGTTATGGCCTGGGAAAGCAATGGCAGACAACCCAAGGCCTTGGGACCCTATACCCATATGGAGGACCCAGAAGAAGCTTGAAGCTCCTGGTTCCTGACTTTGGATTGGCTCAGCCGGGAGCTTTGACCTTATCTCTGTAAATCTGACTTTCCAATAAAAACAAATAATTAAAAAACAAAACAAGCAAACACAAAACAAAAACCACCTCCTGCATTGGGGAACACGTGACGTGAGCTCCAGCACTGTGCTGTGTGCCACCAGCACCTGCTACGAACATCTTACTTCCAGCTGCTCCCCACAAGAGCCTGACTTCTCTCCAACAGGACAGGGCTCTGAGGAGCACAAAACTTCTGCCACCCCAAGCCAGCAGCAACAGTCCACATGGAGGGCAACTGTGTGCCAACACAGCACTGATTCTGACAACCTGATGCTGGCTCCCGCGCTAACCCTGCAATCAGCTGTGCTCCAGGGGGGTGCATAGGACACGGGTGCAGGCAGGCAGCTCAGCAGGCAGCACACACCGCAACAAGTCACAAAGGGACACCAGCTAGGCAGCCACGCCTTGCACCGTCTCCACCTCCCGCCCACCTCCAGCTGACTCCATGGGCCCCACATAGGCTTTGTGTCATAATGAGACAAGTCCCCCTCCTGGCAGGGCCTTTACTATTGTCCCCTCCCACTGCCACACACATACTTGTTGATCTGGGCCAAAAACATCCCCTTCAGTGCGTAAAACTCGGCTGTCATCTCTTTGGTGAAGTATTTTAAGTTTGTAGACTCGATAACTTCAAGGCCCTGTTCAGAAGAGAGACAAATGAATAGGGAAAAACGTCCTGACACTGACAGGACACAGAACACCTGCAGTGCCTCAGGAAGCGCACTGGAAGTGAACAGCATCAACGCCCATCTGTTAGCAGACACAGGTTTTACCCTGAAACTGAGAAGCGAACGGAAGCCGAGACACTGAGCCTTGCTTCCCTGTTGTCATTACTATTCCCCTGAGCACAGCCCAGTCCACCCTATCCCCCTGACAGTTCCGTGTTGCTGCCTGCCTGACCCAATCACTGTGTGTGTAGCACAACAGCCTGCAAGTGTGGGAGACACGGAAGCGGCTGCCCTCCACTGTCCTCCTGCCATGCTGAGGCCGTCACCACGCAGGTTGACACCCCTCACCCTTGTCCTCTGAACCACGCGGGTTCCCGTCCTCCACCCCGCCATCCTCTGAGGCAGGGGCTCTCTGGATGATCCCCACGTGGGGGTAGGGACAGGGTCCTGTCACCTGCATGCACTCGTTTTTGCCCATCACTCCTGCCAGCTGCAGGTAGCACTTGACTTGCTGTCGAATCTTCTGGAAGCAGTCCACTATGGGAACGGTCGGAATGGTGTGAATGCGACTCAGTATATCCAGAGCTACATTGACCAATCCTTGTTTCCGGGCAATCTTCCCATACTGGATGATGGCTGAAGCTGATGCGTGAACCCCAAGCATGGCGTTATTTGAACTCGGATCATGCTGGGAACTATTTTCATAAGCTGTTACAATAGCTAGAGGGTGAAGAAATGAAGCATGAGTCATGTCAAACACGTTCAAAGTGCACCACAAGGAGGCCTAAATAACAAATGAAACACACACAGCTCGAGGGGAGGGACGGCTCGGCAGCTACCTCCGTGACTTCTCTTTGGCTTTTACCTCGGGAGCAAACCACGAAGACACTGCCTACCGGGCGAACCACGAAGGCCCCCCTCAACCCAAGGCCGGCTGGCGGCTTCACGAGCAGACAGAAGGACAGAAAAGCAGGGGCCACCACAGGAAGCCCCCAGGACCAGAGCTTCAACGCCAGGATCCAGTGCCCTGCACGCCACAGGCCGTGCCTGCAAGAAACCCTCTCGGGGAGAAGCTCTGTCCTCTGCCCTCCCCGTGACTACTGCCACCCGGCAGCCCCCCATCGCCCCCCACCACCCCCTACCGCCCAAAGAAACCCTGGGCAAAGGAGAGAAAAGGGAACAGACATGAGAGCAGCGGGGCAGGGCGTCTGGGAAATTACATGATGGATGCATGCCGGACCAGGTCGGTTTACCCTGGTAATGGTGCTGCCGCCACATGAAGATGCTGCTCCAGTGCGACAAGTCATCTGACACGATGGGCAGCCGGTTCCTCCAGGTCTTCACCACCGTCTTCATGTCGTGCAGGCTGTTGTTCCTGCCCAGGTTGCTCGGCTGCAGACCAGCATTTATTTGAGCAGCTTCCTGCAGTTCAATGATTTGCTGGGCTGCCTAGTGGCCAACAAGAGAGGTTGCACAGTAAGCATCACTAGGAAGTCGGGGCAGAAGAGCAAACCATTACCAGAAACCTGACGACTGTCAAGTGTAACACCAAGGTGAATGCCCTCAATGGGCCCACTCAGGCCACGCGGGCCCACTCAGGTAACACGGGCCCACTCAGGCCACGCGGGCCCACTCAGGCAACACGGGCCCACTCAGGCAACACGCGGGCCCACTCAGGCCACGCGAGCCCACTCAGGCAACACGGGCCCACTCAGGCAACACGCGGGCCCACTCAGGCAACACGGGCCCACTCAGGCAACACGGGCCCACTCAGGCCACACGGGCCCATTCAGGCCACACGGGCCCACTCAGGCAACACAGGCCCACTCAGGCAACACGCGGGCCCACTCAGGCCACGCGAGCCCACTCAGGCAACACGGGCCCACTCAGGCAACACGCGGGCCCACTCAGGCCACGCGGGCCCACTCAGGCAACACGGGCCCACTCAGGCAACACGGGCCCACTCAGGCCACGCGGGCCCACTCAGGTAACACGGGCCCTCTCAGGCCACGCGGGCCCACTCAGGCAACACGGGCCCACTCAGGCAACACGCGGGCCCACTCAGGCAACACGGGCCCATTCAGGCCACACGGGCCCACTCAGGCAACACGGGCCCATTCAGGCCACACGGGCCCACTCAGGCAACACGGGCCCACTCAGGCCACATGGGCCCTCTCAGGCCACACCGGCCCACTCAGGCCACACGGGCCCACTCAGGTAACACGGGCCCTCTCAGGCCATACCGGCCCTCTCAGGCCACAAGGGCCCTCTCAGGCCACGCTTTAGTTCATGGCGCCATCAAAGTCACAACAGCCCCTGACACGCTCTCCACCCCAACACGATGCCTTGCACGAATCCAATTTTGGAGCCTTCTCCACGGAGACCAGCGCAGGCACTAATGCTTGCTAATGGGAAAACCCCAAATCACTCCTTCTCCTCCCCCCTCCTCTGCATGGCGCTGTGGCTGCCAGGGTGTAATACCAGCCTCACCCCCTTTCCCATGATCCAGTCCAAATCCCAAAGCTTGGTTCTGGCAGGCTCTGAGGGCTCATGAGCACCATCTGATTGGCACCATTTACTAGTCTGTCTGTCTTATTCTCCCTAAACCCCAGATACCCATTGGTGAACGCCCTACCCGGCCCTTGCAGCCATCACCACTAACAACAGCTGTCATGTCCCCTCAAGGAGCCCCCACCAGCAGCCACGCTCCATTCTCAAGCCCTGAACCCTGATGGTTACTGTTCTTTGTCCCAGTCCTTTTGTGGACATTTCACAAGAATGAGATCACGAGAGGTGTGGCCTTCTGGGACTGGCTCATTGAGCACGCTCTCGAGGTAACCGTGCTGCAACGTGGACGTGGCACTCAGGTCTCCTACGGCTAAATCCAGCGGAGGCATCGACTTCTCCAGCTTGCCTCCATATTTTGGCTGCTGTGACCGGTGTGCTACAAACGTTCCTGTACAGGTTTATGCGGCTCCACTTCAGTTTATCTTAGTGAGCAAGGACCAGGGGAGCGTCACACTCACCTGCAGAAGAGGCGTGTGTACGTGGGACACGACGTGGGGCAGCCGACGCCACTCGCGAATGGCCAGGCTGCTGGCCATCTCCACCAGGCGCTCGATGAAGCTGAGCTGCTGCTCCTCAGGGTGGCAGATGGCCAGGTATCCTCGGTACATGTTGACTTTCCAAGCCATTTCTTTCGGGCAGCTTACTTCCACCTAAGATACAGAATGTTACACAAGAAGTGATGGCCATTCATCTCGGTTCAAGGGTCAAACAATACAGAGACCTCTTTTTGTCATCAATTACACAGAGCAATAAAGAGACACCAGGCTCCTTAGGGGTCACCCCAACTAGGTCGCAGCACCCGCTGCTGTGCGTGAAGGCTGGGTCTGTGGCAGGCTTGCTGGGCTGGAACCTATCAGCTCGTGGGAAATACGGTTGGACATGTTCCTGGGTCTGTGGATGCACTAGGTGGACTCCGTCAACCAGCAGACCTCGGAAAAGATTTTCTCAACTCAGGAGCAACAAAACTGACAATGTCTCAGGGCTATTGAAACCGCTGAAGTAACAGCCCTGGAACATTCTTCTCCACAACAGTGTCTCCAGGGCATCAGCAAAGGACTGTCCCCCATCCCCTGGGGCAATGTACTATAATCAGCAAGGAGCAGCCCTCTCCCCTCCTCCTCCACAGACACACGTGTGTCCCACCCACCTTCCTCCACACCTGACCCTTCCCACCCTCGTCAGAAGCCCACAGGGGCAGGCATCACTCTCAACTATGTAAGCAACATTAAAAAAGAAAATTGAAGATTAGAAAAACAACAACAACAAAATTAGAGGAAAAATGAAACAACAACAAAACAACAAGCTCTAAACACAGACTTTCTTAGTGGACTCACTCACGTAAGGCTACCCGTCCTTCCCTTGCTAATGGCACACCAGCCATTAGGTAGTTCCCCAGAAAGAAAAGCGACAGGTCAAGTGAACAGAACCACTCTGCTCTAGCGAGCTGGTGTGCTTGGAAAGTACCAGAAACACGCTGATTTCCAGAATGAGAAGAACTGGAATAATTCTGAATCGCTTCCAGCTCACGATGTTATTCTGAGGAATTAATCAAGCTCGTTCAGGAACTAATAAAAGCGTACAAGAACCACAGGTGTTTAAAGAGTTTACTGCTGTCACGTGAAAGCCAGGCATCATTATCCACTAGGACATGGCCCCTGGATGACGGTTCTCTGCCGTGAAGGGGACAAGCCTGGCCCAGTGCTGCTGCTGTAGCCGGGCCGTGGGGCCACATGCACACACAGGCTTCATTCCTGCCCCCGAGAGCCGCTCACTCTCAACTTTAAAAAATGTATTTATGGGCCCGGCACGGTGGCGCAAGTGGTTAAGGTCATCGCCTTGCACGCCTGGGATCCCATATGGGAACCGGTTCTAATCCCGGCAGCCCCGCTTCCCTTCCAGCTCCCTGCCTGTGGCCTGGGAAAGCAGTCGAGGACAGCCCAAAGCTTTGGGACCCTGCACCCGTGTGGGAGACCCGGAGGAAGTTCCTGGCTCCTGGCTTCGGATCGGCATAGCATCAGCCATTGCGCTCACTTGGGGAGTGAATCATCGGACGGAAGATCTTCCTCTCTGTCTCTCCTCTCTGTATATCCGCCTTTCCAATAAGAAATAACAAAAATAAATCTTTCAAAAAATGTATTTATTTGAAAGATCGGGGAGAGATCTTGTACGCACTGGATTCACTGCATATATGGGCACAGTGGCTGGGCTGGGCTGGATCACCCTGTGGGTGCAGGGCCCAAGCACTGGAGCCATCTTCCGCTGCTTTCCCAAGCCATTAGTAGGGAGGTGGGTGGGGAGCGCAGTAGCCAAGGGCTGAACAGGCACTCACATGGTCTGCCAGCGTCACAGGTGGCAGCTGCAGTCTGTTGTGCCAGCACTGACTCCTCTGAGCCCTTCTGGACGGTTAACCCTTCGCACGATTACATCCTGCCAGTCTCTTCCAAAGCATTTATAAATGCAAGTGATGACAGACCCAAGCTTTCAAACACAGCGCTGACTGAACAGATGCCAGCACGTGTGGGTGAAAGGAGACCCCCGAGACACTTTGCCAGGACCCTGGAAAAGCACCTCCAGTGGCACCCTCGGGGGCACAGGGTACCCCAAAACCACAGATTATAGTACAGGCCGGGTTTCTGACACGGCACACCCTCGCTCTCCCCCAAGCACTGCCTGACTGCAACAGTGAGGAAACTCAGCAATGCCAACCCCCCAGCGGCGCACCAACTGCACGCCCCCTGCAGCACTGCGATGTGATTCAACAGCCCAGGGTCCTGCCCATCACCACCACCCCCTGCCAGGACTCCAGGAACAGAGGCAGCACCTGCACTTTCTCCTCCTGGAAAGATACCAGTGAAGGAGTCATGCCAAGCCACACAGCAACAGCAGCACACAGCCACTGTGACAGTGACCAGGGTATGTGCAGAGCTGCCAGGTCAGCTCACTGCTCAGCCTGAGGGACAGTGAGAAGCGCTGACACACACTTTCTCTACCCGCCTGTGGCCAACAGGTACCCTATCAGACCCTGGGGTGCAGGTCAAGCCCTGGGCCCGTTTCCACCTGCAAGTAACACTGTCCTACATCTCTGCTGCCCAGCGCTCTACACTGCCTAAGAAGTATGCATGGCCGCTGCAACACAAACCAGCACCTGAGGCTCGAGGAGAGGCAGCCCAGCCCTGTCCCAGTGTGTCACTGCTGAGGCTCGAGGTGAGGGAGCCCGGCCCGGCCCAGTGTCACTGCTGAGGCTCATGGAGAGGAAGCCCGGCCCGGCCCAGTGTCACTGCTGAGGCTCGAGGTGAGGGAGCCCGGCCCGGCCCAGCATCACTGCTGAGGCTCATGGAGAGGAAGCCCACCCTGGCCCAGTGTCACTGCTGTTCAGTTCCTTGTACATCCTCCACTGAAACTGAGGGTGACAGCATTTCCTGCCCTTAACCTCCACGATGACAGCACCATACAGATGACCAGGAAGGGGCCGATGCAGAGGCACCGGGAGAAATCCCAAAAGGCAGTCTCAGGAGTATCTGTGCTTCCTCTAAATTCTTCAGACAACTTAGATGGAACTCCCCAGCCAGGGATGAAGCAGAAATGCCCAAGAGTACTCCTGGGTATGTGGAAACACTGGGTGGTCCCAGGGCAGAAGAAGGGAAAAGCACAGAGCAGGCATGCCAGGCATGGGGTCCGCAGAGCAGACAGCACCGCGTCATGTCGGTGCCCCCGCACAGCGTCAATGCCTCCGTAACTGAAAGGATGCGCTGAGCCCCGGCCTCCCACCGCGCACTCATTCCTGGGGAAAGCTGACAAGAAAGCAAAGGACAGATGAACCTCACTCCCACTGAGCTGTCAGCAGGTGGGTCACACGCACAGGCGCTTCACTTCACTCAAGAGGCTTCTGCCGACCACCTGCAGCTCCCGGGAGCCCAGCCTGTGCCTGGGACCCAGCAGTGCTTCTGCCACCTCGCTCCTCTGATGGCCCCGCCTGACAGGCCTCCACAGCCACATGGAGATCATAACTGAACGAGGACCCAACCCTGGTGACTAGGGGGTCAGACTCAGGACAGGTGTCTGAGCTAAGCACAGAGTACGCGTCCTTCCCATAAGCTGCTTCCTAGAGCTTAGTCAAGGCCTGCTCTGAAAGAGCGAAACTCCCAGCAGACACTGGCTCTGCAGTCAAGGGAATGCAGGGGGCTTCCATGCCAGGGGACAGGGCGGGGGCGTCTCACCTGCACCAGTGCCTCCTTCATGGCAGTCCAGTTGGACACACGCCACGCGCACTCCAGGACCAGGTAGGGGTTGATGTGTCCTTTGGACTGGCCATACTCCGTCAAGGCCTCCCACTGGTTCAACTCCTTCGAGCACCTATGAGTTCAGTTCGTCAGGGAAAGGAGGGCTCAGTTCTCAACTCACAGGTGCAGCCAGGTTGCCATTTGCTGGACGGAAGGGACTTCCTAGCCTCAGGTTCACTCCCCACACACATGTGATGCCAAGAGGGGCTGAGGCCAGAGACTGGAACACAGTCTGGGTCTACCATGTGGGCAGCAGAAACCCACCCACTAGAGCCACCCCCGTTTCCTCACAGGGTCATCCTAAGCTGGGAGCTGCAGTGAGAAGCGAACCCAGGCCCCTGGATGGGGAAATGGACACTTAAACCGGTGACTCAAGTCCTCCTATGGAAGACGGCAGGCACAGCATGGGTGCTGGGCAGGGATCCCACTGCAGGAACCCACCTGCTTCCAGCAGCCCAGGCAGCCCACCCCCAGCGAGGGCCCAGGAGCCTGCAGCATTGCAGCTGTGGCTGACTCCTGCTCCTTCTGTGCGGCCAGAGAGCAGTCCCCTCTGATGTCTCCCACGACTGTCAAGGTGGACCATGGCTCACCGGATCCAGTGGTCCTCCCAGAGCTGGTACTCGGGGAAGACGGCCGGGGACGCGTTACTCCGCTCGTGTTCCTTCTTGGCTTTATCCATTGCCTTTTCGTACGACTCCTGTGCCTAAAAAACACAACAGACGCTCTCAACCCACTGTTGAGAAACTGCAGCTGTTTTCTGATTGTTTTTACTGCCTTGGCTCAACTGTTTGGGACAAGTCAGGTCAGTGCTGGAAGCACCTCCTCTCTCAGTCCACATGACCCCTGTACCCTTCTGCACGCGACCCCATGTGGCATGGGACAGAACCACTTCTTCAGGTTTCATCAGGGCGGGGGCTCGGTGCCATGCCTGTATGTCCAAGGCTGTGTCCCGCATGCTGCTGAGTGCCACGTTTTGAACAGTGGCCCATGCTCAGGGAACAGACAGATCTGAGGATTCACACTCTTAGGGGCCAAATGCAGTCTCCCTTCTGGTTCAAACCAAACAGCAGCTGCAGGTGGTAACAACCACACTAACATCTAGGGCTACAGAATCTGGGATGGTTTTAAAGATGCATGTCATATATAACTTTCTCCAAAACTGAGACTTCAACCAAAGAGCCTTTATGTGCAGGATTTATTGCATATTTGGTTTTATTTATATGAAAGGGAGAGGCACACAGATCAGATCTTTCTTCTGCTGGTCTACCCCGCAAATGCCCGCAACTGCTAGGGCTGGAACTCCACCTCGGGCTATCACCTAAGGTCAGGACTTTAAGGCTTTGAGCTGTGACCTGAGCCGAGGCCACTCCGCTGGAACGTGACTCAGCAACCATCAGAGACCGCACCACCTGCCGTCCCGCCCACCGCGGATACCTGCTCAAAGAAGCCGTGCTGCTCGTAAGCGATGGCCGTGGCCGTCTCCGAGTACTTGCAGCGCTTCTGCCACAGGCCAGCCCACATGTCCTCCTCCTGCAGCAGGGAGTAGAGCTCGGCAAGGGAATCCAGGATCTCCTGAAAGCACACACCATGGTCCTAAGCACACGGGACCCCAAAACGATGGCTGTCCAACGGGACAACACCACGGTTCTGGGTTCCAAGCGCAACGTTCCCATCAAGGAGGATACAACCGACACACCTGCTGGGGCGGCGTGATGCTCTCCTGCTCATAGAACTCGGCCGTCTGCTTCGGCTTCATCTGCAGGCTCAGGCCCTTCTCGAAGGCCTGGTGCTCCAGCATGAGTGTGGACCGCAGCCACAGGTTGTGCGTCTTGCCCAGGTACTTGAGGACGCAGGGCCTGATGGGGATTGGGGGCACGCACTGGGACATGGCCTCCACAAAGCAGTTGAGCGCGCTGGGCTGACAGTCACGCTGCACCTGGTGGCTGCCGCTGCACAGGAACGGGCTGATCTCCCCTGCCAGAGCCTGCAACCAGACAACACGTGGGTTTAGGGGTCAGCTCAAACACTGCCAGGCACTGCCTCTCTCACGCCTCTTGGGTTTCACTCCTAGGTCACAGAGCGAAGATTCCTCCTTCGAAGCTGCAGACTGCATGCTGTCAGAATCCTTATCAAACACTGCACCGCCACTCTCCCGGATCAGGGCTGAGAACACACTCACGTGCTGCTGCCTGTCAGAGAGGATCTTCCACAGTCTGGGGAACAGCTGGATCCAGGTCTTCTCAGCCAGCGTGGTGGAGATGTGACACAGCTGAACAAAGGCGCTGAGCAGCGCCCCGGTCTACAGATAGACAGAGTCGAGCTCAGCACCCCATTCCTCTCGTCCCCCTCCCCCTCTTGACGAGAAACACCCCCTGTTCAAACAGTCACACTTCCGAGTGAGCGTCCCACAGTGCACGTGGCACCCAACACAGACGGGCGCTTTGGCCCCTCAGGGCCCTAATACATGCTTGAGGCTTTTTTTTAAGATTTATTTTTATTGGAAAGTCAGATTAGATAGATAGAGAGAGACAGAGAGGAAGATCTTCTGTTTGTTGATTCACTCCCCAAGCGGCCACAATGGCCGGAGCTGAGCCAATCTGAAGCCAGGAGCCAGGAGCTTCTCCTGAGTCTCCCATGTGGGTACAGGGTCCCAAGGTTTTGGGCCGTCCTCGACTGCTTTCCCAGGCCACAGGCAGGGAGATGGATGGGAAGTGGAGCTGCCGGGACATGTTACCATGCCAGGCCCAACACGTGCTTGAGTCTTCGGGTTTCTCCTGACACTACTGACTTGATCATCAGAAAACAAAAGAGGGCCCGGCGGCGTGGCCTAGCGGCTAAAGTCCTCACCTTGAACACACCAAGATCCCATACGGGCACAGGTTCTAATCCTGGCAGCTCCACTTCCCATCCAGCTCCCTGATTGTGGCTTGGAAAAGCAGTCGAGGACAGCCCAAAGCTTTGGGACCCTGCACCCGCGTGGGAGACCCGGAAGAGGCTCCTGGCTTCGGATCGTCATAGCATCGGCCGTTGAGCTCACTTGGGGAGTGAATCATCAGATGGAAGATCTTCCTCTCTGTCTCTCCTCCTCTCTGTATATCTGACTTTGTAATAAATAAATAAATAAATCTTTTTAAAAAAAAAAGAAAGAAAGAAAACAAAAGAACTGACAACCCTGAAATCCCGAGTAAGAGGGCCACGGACATGAGCAGGGCAGGGCCCTGCAGACATGAGAGCTGAAGCAGACGTGAGCACAGGCCCCGGAGGCATATGGCTCTGATGTGCCCATCAGTATACATCCAGTGCAGTCTGCAAAGGAGCTAGACGAGACAGGACGAAGTGACAGGAAAGGACCAGAACCAAGCGGACTAAACTGGAATGGAACATCCAGGCAGACGGGAGACGCATACGTGTGACTGTCCATAGGCGGCCCCTGCCAAGGTTTCTCAGCGACAGCCAGATTTCCGTGCTGCCTGGAGCTGACCTGGCTCCAGGGCATCAGGCAACAGCTTACATCCTGGCTGCGCAGTGCCTAGGACACGCATGTCACAGTTATGTTCTCATTTCTCGCCTAGCAAACCCAAGAAGAGAAACCACTCTTGTGTTCCTGTTTCTCTCAAAATACAGAAGCCAAAGACACAAACACTTCAAACAGGGAAAGCACGAAGCACAGGAGATTCTAGTGCCTGGTATGAGGCTGGCCCCAAAGGGCGACAGTGACGGGGGGGCCTGGCTCCCGCACATGGCTGTGATTCACCCTGCCTCTGGTTCAGAGGCCAAGACTTGTGGTTTAAGGCACAGAGACTGGCAAAGCATCATTCTGCTCAGGCTGGCAGCGGGCACTCCATGGCTCTCCACTTGCGTCTGATTCACGCAGGTGCAGAGATCAGAGCACATGGATGTGGGTGCTGTGGTCTCTCCGTGCATGAGCGCCCTGGGACAGGCCACAGAGAGACTAGGACACAGAGGCCAGCCCAGGAATGACAACTACGGGCAGAAGCCTTGATGCTCGCAATCCCATCTCACCCAGGGAAAAGCATAATGTAACTCTGGCTCAGGAATGACAAAGCAGTGACCTCCAGGCTGAACTCTCCAACCCTGCATCCCTGCTGCCTGTGTCCACAGCACTCAACTTGCTCCTAATTCACTTCTTTATTACATTAAAAATACATATATTTGCTTCTTTGATAAGGTAACACCTAGAGAGGGGTAGAGACATAAAGAGACCTCTCCTAGGTGGCTCATTTCCAAATGACCACAATGGCCAGGGCTGAACTGGGATGAAGGGGTCGGTGCATCAGCAGGGAGCTGGATTGGAAGCACAACAACCCGGACTCGCACCTACACCCATATGGAAAGCTGGCATTGCAGGAAGCAACTTTACCTACTAGGCCACAGCAAATCCCTAACTCTGACATGGACTGAATTCATCGCTGCCTCTCTAAGACTCTGCAAACGTATCTCAGGATCTGAAGCCTTAGTGGCTTCTCAACCTCTAAGCAGAAACAATGCATCACACTCCGGCAGCAACGACAGAGACCCTGAGTTCCTATCTGTGTGGACGTGGCAGCGGTGTAGACCCCCGAGTTCCTATCTGTGTGGACGTGGCAGCGGTGTAGACCCAGAGTTCCTATCTGTGTGGACACGGCAGCAGTGTAGACCCAGAGTTCCTATCTGTGTGGACGTCGCAGCGGTGTAGACCCCAAAACCAGTTGGACTGCTCCCACACAGCACCTGACTGACCACATTTATCCAGTCTCCTTTCCCTCACTGCACGTGACAAACCACGCAAGCACTATGCCCCACTACTTTCTTGGTAAACACCTCTCCAAAGGACAGTAATGGGCAAATCGACCTGTTTCTATTATTTCCCCACATAAGACACAGCAGCTGCCTCCTCAAATCCACATGGCACACAGCTACTTCAGAGCTGAAGGGCTGCGATGGTTTCAGCAGACAGCAGGGGGCTGCAGGGCTGAACAAGGAGAGTTCCCGCTGCTGTGCGGTTCCCTGCTAACGGTCAGACGGGGTGGGAGGAGACGGCGGGGGTCCCGACCATCCCTGCAGTCATGCACACAGACCTTCACCTCCCGCAGGGTATCAAGAAACTTGTCGTGTCTGTTGGTCAACATATGCAACTGGTTCCCAATGTCCTTTTCGGAGAGTTCTTTGGTTTTGGGCGTGCTGGTCTGATCTCCAGGAGCCAGTTCAATATCTATCTCCACATCCTGTAAAACAAAAGCCAACAGGCCAAAGAATTAAAGAGGGTTTCTCGTGACAAGTTTCCTGAAAATCTGTCAAGTATTTACATAATCTTGAATTCTGAAATAAAAACGGGACTAACCAGACCAGACGTAGCTCTTTTAAAAAAAAAAAGATTATCAAGGCATTTGCACTCTGATTTTGTATTTGGGTTATGGGAAGCAAAATAAAGAGCACCAACTCTGAACAATAAAAACAATAAAGATGACGAGGAACTATTCAGTCCCTCACTCCTCAAGCTGCCTCGTGCACCAGGCTGAGGACACCACTGCGCCATGCTGAGAGCACGGCTGGGGAGAGCTGGGAGCCTCATTTCCGCTGCAGGTGTCAGGAAGCCAACTGGGTCATCACACACAGCCATCAACTCCTGTGTGCGCCCGTAAACAAACACGTAAGACTCTCCTCAAAGCTGGCAGATCTCACTGAGCTCGGGCCACACGCTCCACCCCCAGGCAGAGATGGCCCTGACACCTGCCCCTGTCCTAAACACATCAAAGACTGCAGATGGGCCGGCAGAGACGGGTCCTGCCTACGGGGCCAGGCCTCACCTCCTCTTTGGACTCGCTGTTCTCCCGTTCCCGAGGCTCCTGCTTGACGTGTGTGACCATGGCGAACGCGGCTCGGTCATGACTGTCGGCCAGGTTGATGACGTTGGTGATGGCCGGGAGCATGGCCCCCTGGCAGCTGGTACCAATGGGCGTGCTTTTCTCACACACGGCCAGGAGGAGCTGCAGAGGCAGGGACAAAGATGAGCCTAAAGCAGACACCAGTTGCCAGGGTGTGTGGACACAGTTACTACCGAACAGCTTAACTCACACGCAGGTGACAAGGGAGCCCACAGCTCCCACCTACAGCTCTCCCAGAGGTCGGGTGGCGTCTGGGCATCCCTTCTGCCCACCCCTGGCTCAGGCTCCCAACTCAGCAGGCCCAGCTTCCTGTCCCCTCAGAAGCCATGGGGACCTCTGCTGCATTCCTTCAGCCTCCTCCTGACAGCCCAGATCACAGCCAGATCACAGCCGCACCCTCCCCGCACTCCTCCCCAGGTCTCACCCACCATCTTCCTCACAGCTGGCTCCCCGCCCTCCCACAGCCTCAGGGCCCAGGGCAGCTCTCAGGAGGTGCTGTGTCCTGACTCCGCCCTCTGTATCCAGGCCACTCCCCACCAGCACGTGCTGCTGGTCAGTCATCTTCTACCCGAGTGTTCCACAAGCCCTCTACTGGCACTGGTGTGGCAGCAGCCACGCCTGCAATCCAAGGCACCAGGGGCTGAGGGCTCAGGAGGGCCAGTGCTCAGCTCCCCAGACCTGTGTCTGCCCTCTCAGAGCTGAAGGACAAGAGCAGGCCGGTGCCCACTGTGATGCTGAGGCCAAGGAACGGGTGCGTGCCACACGTCGACCCGAATGGCCTATTCAAGTACATGCAGAGCCGAGGACGCCACATCTCGGATGCCAGTGGCAGCGCTTCAGCCCCTGCACCCGGATGGGAAAATCAGATCAAGTTCCTGGCTCCTGGTTTCAGCCTGGCTGTGCGGCCATTTGGGGAGTGAACCAGTGGATGGAAGATTCTGTCTCTTTCAAACAAACAAACCAGGAGTGTGGTTCCTGGTTTCTCCCAGGAGAACAGGTAAGAGTTACTTGCTCAGCAGGAAAACCTAAGCCTCCTGGAGCTTTATGTTGACGAGTAAATTGAAGAATGAAGTATGTTAGAGGCCAAGAACTGGCAGGCAAGAGGAATGCCTGTCCGTTGAAATGTCACCGCCCCCCAGGACCTCCACCCCTGCCAAGGGCTGCACGTCCCCACGTCGTGACAGTTGGGGGTTCACATGTGACAGTGTCATGGCCCCCAATCTCTCAAAGCAAGGAGTCGAGATGGTCCACCAGGCTGTGCTCCCCCGATGCAAGACTGAGAGTTGGCTTGGGGTTTCCAGTGTATGTGCATGAATTCAAACAGGTTTTGTTTCAAGAGAAATGAAGCTTGGCCCAAAAACTAAGAAGCGATTCCAGCTTCTGATAAAGGGTTTAACTCAGCCAAAAGCCTTGAGGCAACCAGTTGACCCTAGGTCTTTATTTCTCCCTAGAGAGACAAAGTGGGGTTACATTGGGAGACTCCTCGGCAAGTGTGAGCACCTCCTGGCCCCCCTGCAAACCTCTGGCTGATCCAGCCACAGCCCGAATGCCAGCTTTGCCTTACCTCAATGCACTGCTTGATCCAAAAATGGTTTCCCATGGCCTCCCAGTTCTGGGAGCAGGTCACGTAGAGCAGACGCTCATAGACCCGACGCTTCATCGAGCTGTCAAAGACCTCAAAGAACTTGGCCCGGATGAGAGGCTGGGCACATCGCAGCCCGGAAAGGAAGGCAGGCTCGAGCTTGGCAGTCAACTCGCTGCCTGACAGCGTCTCGTCCCTGAAACCCAGAGTCACAGCCAGAGCTTAGCGTGGGCAAGACAGCGGGCTCCCCAAGCCGCACACAAGCCCTCAGGAAATGGGTGGCACCAACGTCCTGTGTGTGGCACGTTAGCATCTGCGGGCTCAGGGAGCTCAGCAGTGACGGGCCCACTGCCAACGCGGCACATGCATCCGTCAGTGTCTCAGGCATCAGCGGTTAGCACTCAAGGCACTCAGCAGAGGACCACAGACACAGGCAGAGGTCACGGGTGAAGCCACCGTACACTGCTTGTCATAGTCTACGGTATGGCCCAAAACACACAGAAGCCTTGGCCAACTGCGGTAATTACCTGTACACATAATTAACAAGGTCTAAAAACTGGGCATTTAACTCCAGGTCTTCTGGAAAGCGTTTTTCTATGTAGGTCATCATTTTCACAAGCAGAATGGACTTCTCCCGGAGCGTTGGTGTCTAGATAAAATTGGATTTTGAAAAGAAAATGCCAGTTACTTCTATGCGAACAAAAGCAATTGTTCTGCTACTTAAGTACAGTTAAGACAAGGTAATTTCTAAGCAAAAAAAAAAATCAAAGATGGTTAAGGTTTATCATTGGATGCTGAAAATGAAGACATAAAAATAGAATTTTCCTAGAAACAGGCTACAAAATTGTACCAGAAGTCTGCAAGCATTCCTCTAAGTTAGGCCCCCTCTCGTTACTGTCATGTGGTGTGTCTTCACCACCATGAAAGCATTTGAACAGAGGTAAAACCACAGTCGTGACCACAGAATCTCTAGTTTCTATGCAAAACCTGTCAAGCACAATGAGAAAGATCCAGTTGGAGAAAAGGCATCAGGAATGCCAGCACAGGACAGGATGACTTCTTTGTAATCAAGATTAGATTCTCCCAATCAAGATTTCCCAATCAGGAGCAGGAGGCTGACGCCCGGCCCACGCTTCACCTGGTTGGCTGCCACTGGGGAGCTGCTCTTGACCCACTCCTCCACGATCTTCACCACGGCGCGGAGGATCTTGGCGTCAGGCGACTTCTCAATGAGCGACGTGAGGATGGCCTGGATGAAGTTCTTGCGCATTTCCATGCTCATCACAGCCAGGCGTGTCTTCACCAGCTCCAGGCTCAGCATCACCAGCTCGCTCGTCCCTGCCCGTGTCGGTAAGAGACCAAGTCCCCAAGGCGGCTTTAAACACTGCAGTGTCAAACTGCACGTGTTGGCTTCTCCCACTTTCCCCAACGCTCCCCCAGTAGCCACAGCAGCCTGGCACTTCGTTGCCATCACTCTCGGCCCTACAGGTGCCTCCCAAAGGCCAATGAGGTCAGTCCAGGCCTCCCCAGGTCACATTCAGGATGCTTGGGTTCTGCAGTGTGTGCAGCAGCCAGCACCTGGATTCCTGGAGCCCCGAGCTGGGCCTGCAACCCATGACTCCGTGCTTCAGTGCAGTGCAGCAGGCACAGCGAGTGCTCACGCCACGGCGGCTGAGTACCAAGGCCCAGCACTGCGCTCACCTGAGGCTGCATCTGTGCTCCCCGCCGCCGTCTGTGGACTAAGATGCTCTCGCACCATCTTCTGCAGGGAGCGCATGAACACCGAGATCAGCCTGTCTATGTAGCTCGGGTTGTTGCTGCAGGCGGACTTGAGGATCATGAGAGTCCCTGCGGTGGGCAAAGGCCAATTCTCTCACAGAAGAGCAGCAACAGGCGACCAGCAGGAAGATGCAATCTAACATACGACTCCCCAGTCCCTTCTCTGAGCTCTCTTCCTGAGGCTTTAGCTAGCTAAGTTCTGAGAATGCAGAAAATCCCAGAAATAAGCAATCCAGTTTAACCATGCCATCCCAAGAGCATGATGAAATCCCATGCTGCCCACCTGACAGTGAGCCCTCCCTGGCCCTTGTCCAGTGTACGCACACCCATCACAGCTGCACTGATCAGTGCTACGGTGATGTGACACTTCCCCATCCAAGTCACCTTCCTGGTGGCCTCAGGGCACAAGAAGAACGTTGCTGGTAACTGGGCTAAGCCAGTAAGGTGCACAAGGCTCCCTTTAGAGCTCAGCCGCTTAAGGGGCCAGCACTGTAGGGCAGTGAGTGAAGCCACCTCCTGAGACACTGGCATTCATGAACACCAGTTCAAGCCCTGGACGTAACTTATGATGCAGCTCCCTGGGAAACCAGCGGAGGACGGCCTGAAGGCTGGCGTCGCTACACCCACATGGAAGACCTACATGAGAGTCCAGGCTTCTGGCCTTACTCTGGCACAGCCCTGGCCGTGGTGGCTGTTTTGGAGAGTAAACCAGAGAACCAAAGAGGTCCGTCTCTCTGCTTCTCTCTCTGTAGCTCTTCCAAAGAAATAAATCTCAAAAAGAAAAAAAAAAGAGAGAGAATGTTTTTCAAAGGAAAAAAAAAGTCCTATGCCGAGGCTGAGCTTTTACAGTATGAAAGGCTCCTCTATTACACAAGTGTCAGAAAGATCCATGAGTCCATGTTAGTTTTTCTGCCCCACTTTTCAAGGTGCAAAAATTAGAGCAACAGCACCTAGTCAAGATGGAAAAGGCACTGAACACGTAGTTGGCATCCAGGACTACTTATTGCAGAGGTACATACGGGGGATAAAGTACAGCTAAACCCAAGTGCCAACACCACACCTGGCATGACACGCCCACTCCTGACGTGTACCTCTGCCAACACGGCCACACCAAACAATGGCCTCACATTACCTTCAGCTTAAAATTCAGCTTTCTGTACGCTACGGCGAACCAGCCTGAGTGAGGCTTTTTATCTGAGAACACAGTTGGGAGCGAGGGAAAGACCACCTGTTTCTCCTTACCCAGCCTATGTGAACATGACAAGAGTTCTGAGAGGGAGGGTACTGTGGCACAGCACCCTAAGCCAACACTCGGGATCCCCCATCTCCTGCAGAAGCCTGGGATCCACTCCTTCCTGCTTCTGATGAAGTTTTCTGCTGCTGTGAATCCCCGGAGGCAGCAGGTGATGGCTCAAGCACCAGTCCCCGCTACCCGCGTGAGGGACCCGGATGGAGTTCAGGCTCCTACTGCAGCCTGGGACAAGCCTGTCTCTTGTGTGTACGTGGAGAGTGAATCATCCAATAAAGACTCTTCCTTCCTCTCTGTCTTTAAATTTTCATTGGAAAGGCAGATTTATAGATACGAGAGACAGAGAAAGCTCTTCCACCCAATCGACCGCAGCAGACAGAGCGGAGCCGACCTGAAGCCAGGAGCCAGGAGCTTCCGTGGGAATCCTACGTAGGTGCAGGATCCCAAGGCCGTGGGCCATACACCACTGTTTTCCCATGTCAGAAGCAAAGAGCTGGATAGAAAGTGGAGCAGCCAGGACACCAACTCGTGCCCATATGGGTTGTTGGTGCTGCAAGATGGAGGATTAGGCAGTTGAGTTATAGTACTGGCCTCATAAATATTTAAAAAAAAAATTTTTTTTTCTCATTTCATGAGATCAATGAAAATTAACAAAGCTCAAGCTGGAACATGAACAGGCAGCATATTACACAGCTGGCATTTTCAGTCATCCTGACCTTGACCTGCAGATGAAATTCAGTACTTGACCCCATCACATGCATCAGACAAGGACACCTGCCATCTACAGGTACGCCAGCCCAGGCACACCCGGTCAGGCCTGCAAACCCACCACTCCACGTGTGGCCAGCCCGACTTTGTGAGGACAGCCACCAGCATGCTGCATCATGGTGCCCCCACCTGCTGTGCTCTGCTCCCCCAAGCCAGATGTGGCTCTAACACAGGGAGAAGAGCCATGGCCAACTCCCGAGCCCCAGCTCACCCCACAGCTGCTCCTCCACAAAGGAGGGAGACAGGGCCAGCGGAGGCCAGCTCTTCAAAAACTGGATCCTTTGAAGAATGAACAAGGAGCAAAGATAGAAGCAAGGATCTAGAGGACCCCACTTACAGTCACAAAAGCACTCCTTACTCTCCAGGCCTGCCTGGTTGCAGAAGTGAGCTCTGGGGCACAACGTGTGCAAACTCATCTGGCTGAATCTCAGAGCAGGCAGTCAGTTTGAAGTATACACCATCTGCCTCAAAGTAACTCACAAATTCCCCAAATTTGCAAGCATTTGCAAAACAAGGACTACTCTGCAAGTGTCTATACGCAGGTGACTTTTAGTCTTTACACAATGGATATTAAATAAAAGAAAAGCAATCCAAAGTCTGATTGCAACCAAAGCCATATTTCCAAAGCTGACTACGGCGAGCTGGTGTTCAATGTGTCCAGCAGCCCCAGATACCTAGAAAATCAACTTCTGTTCCACCTGCACCAGCCAGTGTCACGACACATGGGGACAAGCCCCCTGTGAGCAGCCCATGGGCAGGAGTGACATCAGCGGTCCCACTCCACCACAACTGGACACTGAGTTGAGACAGCTCTCAAAATCAAAGCCTACAGCAGAAGCCAAGATGAGGGAACAGGATGGGTTGGGGAGAAGAGTCCAGGAGATGGGGGCCTCAGGGGCACCCACACCACACAGACCCTGAGCAGTCCTCCCAGCACCCTGAGCCCAAGCCCGTCCCAGACTTTTCTGTGGGAGCACAGCAGACGCCCATCCACTCACCGAAGAGCTGCGAGGGGTTAGCACTGGCAGCCTTCTCGTAGCTGGTGAGCCCCTCATAGATGACCTTCCCAACAGCTGCATACAGACACTCGAGCTCTTCGTACTTGGAGGCCACGCTGGAAGTACCTACAACACCAGTTGGGGACCCGGGCGCTGCAGGAGGGGCTCCTCACGCTAGTGACTGAGCTCTAGTTTGCGCCAACTGACCCTAGAACTGGACGCACCGCTGGCCCGCCTCCCACCTCGCCCTCCCCCGCCTCCCAGCACGTCAAGCTCTGACATGCCCAGGTGTTAGACACCTGCTACGACACTGTAACCTCACTTAGCTCTAACATCTTAAGGGAAAAGCAATGCATTTCCAAAGCCAAAAAAAACCAAAGCAGTGACTCTAACGGAAAGGTTGAGAGGGCGTGCAGGGGTGGGAAGGGCACGTACTCGGCTCTGTCGGGAAGATGCTCATGAGGCGTGAGAGGAGGCTGTGCACGGCTCGCAGCACCTTGGTGCTGCCGCACGCCATGCAGGCAGCAATCCCGCGCTGCAGGGGCTTAAAGCTGCTGAGGATGGCAGACGACTGCAACACGGTCAGCAGGAAGCTCAGCAGCTCCAGCCCCGTGCAAACGTTCCCGTAGTTCACCTGATTTGGCTGCTCCTGCAATGGGAGACACAGACAGTCAGGGCAGCAAACTGCAGAAAACACGGAAAGCTAGACACCACCAAGTCTTCGGAAGGTAACTACAAAGATGGGGAAAAATGCATCATGTGCATAAAAACAGGCAGGAATCACACAGGATCGCCTAAAAATGCTTCCGCTATAAATTTGCTTTAAACACTTTGTCAAAATCCCTTTTAAAAGGCTCATTAGGTCCCGACGTGGTGGCCTAGTGTCTCATCTTGAACATGCCGGGATCCCATATGGGCGCTGGTTCTAATTCCAGCAGCCCCACTTCCCATCCAGCTTCCTGCTTATGGCTTGGGAAAGCAGTCGAGGACGGGCCTAAAGCCTTGGGACCCTGCACCCGTGTGGGAGACCTGGAAGAAGCTTCTGGCTCCTGGCTTCAAATTGGCTCAGCTCCAGCCATTGTGGTCACTTGCGAAATCAATCAACGGATGGGAGATCTTCCTCTCTGTCTCTTCTCTCTCTATATATCTGACTTAACAATAAAAATTAAAAAATGTTAAAAAAACGCTCACTAAAACTATAGATATTCAATGATACTATTTTAAAAGTCACTAAGATTTGCCCTAAAAAGGAAGCTACTGTAACAATTTTCCTTTTATTTTTTTATTTTTTTTTTTTTAAAGATTTATTTTTATTATTATTTTTTCATTGGAAAGGCGGATATACAGAGAGGAGAGACAGAGAGGAAGATCTTCCATCCGATGATTCACTCCCCAAGTGAGCGCAACGGGCCGATACTATGCCGATCCGGAGCCAGGAGCCTCTTCCGGGTCTCCCACGCGGGTGCAGGGTCCCAAAGCTTTGGGCCGTCCTCGACTGCTTTCCCAGGCCACAAGCAGGGAGCTGGAAGGGAAGCGGGGCTGCCGGGATTAGAACCGGCGCCCATATGGGATCCCGGGCGTGCAAGGCGAGGACTTAACCACTTGCGCCACCGCACCGGGCCCTTTTCCTTTTATTTTTAAAGATGTATTTACTTTTATTGGAAAGGCAGATTTACACAGAGGAGGAGAGACAGAGAGGAAGATCTGACATCAGCTGGAGCCAAGTCAATCGAGAAGAAGCTGGGAGTATCTTCCAGGTCTCCCACACGGATGCAGGGTCCCGAGGCTTTGGGCCGTCCTCAGCTGCTTCCCCAGGCCACAGGCAGGGAGCTGGATGGGAAGTGGAGCAGGAGTGGGTGCCCATACAGGACCCCAACATTTGTAAGGGGACGATTTGCTAATTGAGTCACTGTAAACCAACAATGTTTTAAAATTAATTTTTCTTCTCATGTCAATTTGAGGACAGAGAGAAACAGAAAGAAGAAGTGAGCTCCCCTATTCACTGCTTTATTCCCCCCAAAATGCCCACAACAGACAGGACTAGGCCAGACAAAGCTGGGCACCTGCAACTCCGGCAGGGTCTGCCATGTGGGCGGCAGGTACCCAGCACTTGAGTCATTGCCTGAAGCCAGGAAGCTGGACCCAAGAGCCAAGCACTTCAGACCTGAGCCAGTAACCCAATGTGGGATGCAGGTGTCCCAAGCGGCAAGCTAACTGCTGGGCCAATCACCTAGCCCTTCCTGTTTAGGTTCTGGTTTTAGTTAAAATACAACTTGATGTTTCAGATTGTGCATCAAGGTGTTAATCTAATAAATGATGGCAGAACCAGAAATCCAGAACAGAGGGAGCAGGGCTGGCAGACTGTGTGCTGGGCTCCCAGGCTACGCAATCAAGGCAGCACAGCCCGCCACTTCAAGACGGCATCAGACCTCTGATGGGCAGACTGTCCACACGGCTGCACTTCCCACTGGCCGCCACTGCCAGGAGCCATTCCAGTCTGCCACGGGGACAAAGTGTGCAGACAATTTAGTGCCTACCCACCTTGCTGGACTCAAGGCCATGCTGCAGCCGCAGGGCCGTGGACCACCCTGGGCAACCATTCCCCAAACCCAGGAAGCCTGTTAGCCTCTGCAGGCTCCAGTAACAACCACTCATAGATGACAAATTCCATCACAGAATTAGAGAAACGGAACCTGTGACACAATGAAATGAAATACAGCAAGACAAAGTGGCTTTTGCTAGCACCAGAATGCAACGGGTGTAAAGTTTTTTTTTTTGTTTTTTAAGATCTATTTTATTTTTATTGAAAAGTCAGATATACAGAGAGGAAGATCTTCCGTCTACTGATGCACTCCCCAAACGGTCACAACGGCTGGGGCTGTGCCAACTTGAAGCCAGGAGCCCGGAGCTTCTTCCAGTTCTCCAACGCGAATGCAGGGTCCCAAGGCTTTGGGCCATCCTCCACTGCTTTCCCAGGCCACAAGCAGGGAGCTGCATGGGAAACGGGGCCGCCGGGATTAGAAGCAGCGCCCATGAGGTCGGGGACACGTTCAAGGCGAGGACTTTAGCTGCTAGGCTACTGTGCTGGACCCCAAGCTTAAAGTTTTAATAGAAATGATAAGACAGGACCCGCAACACCAGCATCTCATATGGGCACTAGCTCATATCCTGGCCGCTCCACTTCCTCCTCAGCTCTCTGCTTATGACCTGGAAAGGCAGTGGAGGATGACCCATGTGCGTGGGCCCCTGCACCTGCTGGAGGGGATCTGGAGAAAAGCTACTGGCTTCAGATCAGCTCAGCTTAGCTCAGGCCTTCATGGCCATTTGGGGGTTGAATCAGCGGATGTTAAAACTGTGTCTTGGGCCCAGCGCGGTGGCGCAAGTGGTTAAGGTCCTCGCCTTGCACGCCCGGGATCCCATATGGGCGCCGCTTCTATCCCGGCAGCCCCGCTTCCCTTCCAGCTCCCTGCCTGTGGCCTGCGAAAGCAGTCCAGGACGGCCCAAGGCTTTGGGACCCTGCACCCGCATGGGAGACCCGCAAGAGGCTCCTGGCTTCGGATCGGCATAGCATCGGCCGTTGCGCTCACTTGGGGAGTGAATCATCGGACGGAAGATCTTCATCTCTGTCTCTCCTCTCTGTGTATCCGCCTTTCCAATAAAAAAAATAATAAAAATAAATCTTTAAAAAAAAAACTGTGTCTTTTCTCTATAAAAATATGCTTTTGTCTTCTGAATAAAAATAATAAATCAAACGTTAAAAGAAAAAAAAAAAAACAAGAAAAGAAAATAGTAAGACAGCCAAGTAATCAGCATGGGGGCCAGCCCTTCCCAGTATGACACAGTGATCCGCAACCAATTACACGTTCAACTTTCGACAGCCATGTGAAAAATCCAAGCTCACGTTACAGGCTGTTTCCAGAAATCAACTCAAGAGCTTGTCCCAACCAGCTGGTCTGGGCAAACCTGCCCAGATGAAAAGGCGCTGCTGAGCGGAGGCCGGACACCGTTCTCAGGGAGACCAGCAGCTCCCCAGCAGCAGGAGCCAGCAGAGAGCATGGCGTGAAGAGGCCACGATGGGCAGCGCACGTGGGAGATTTCAGGTATCAGCACCAGGCCAGGATTCACACGCACCCAGCCCGAGCCCAGGCCACAGTACCCACGTGGTGGCCATGGTGGCCTGCCGGCACCTACCACAGTCATCAGCAGCTTGTCGAACCACTGCAGCTTAAGTTCAGACTTGGACCACATGTCTGGGCGCAAGGCGGTCTTGAGGAGATTGACGCATCGGCGAGACAGCACCTCCCCAGGGGACCCAGCCGTGTTGGTGTTGTCATTGACCTGCAAATGCGTTCCCCTTCACTGAGTACCAGCTTGGCCAAGAACGCCGTTTCCTGGCCAGGCCCAGGCCCTTGCCTGTCCCCCACGGGCCTCTCCCTCTCACTGTGTGCCCATGGCATGCACCTCGACGTGAGGCCTTTCTCACCGGCTGGACCCGGAGCAGATGCTCAGCCCTCAACAGCATCACCCCGCCAACAAGGTACACTGTTCTACCCAGCACTGATTTCCCACCCCAGCAAGAGACTTGGGAAATTTCACTAAGTGCTTGAAACATTCAAATGCACTTCAGCAGTGGATTCTCAACAACTCCACAGAAACACACATTGAGAAGGAGGGACTCCAATATAAAGACTGAAACACCAGGTGTGGGCCACTTTACACAGCTGCAGGCAGGAGCCCCACCCCACCCCAGCTGCCTTCATCAGCACCAACACGCTGCTGACTCAGGCACCGGGACCTTCCTGCCCGACAGCAGAGCTGCCTCTCTCAGTGTCAACGGCACACACGGGCACACTTGTCAAACAGCAGGCTGTGGCAGACAAGGGGTAGAGCCGGCTCTCGGGCCCTGGCTCCAGACTCCCACGCTCGTACCTGACAGGCCACACGGATGAGGAAGTTCACCACGGTGTCCGTGTGCTGCTTGTCAATGGGCTTGGACAGAAGACAGTCAGCTCCTGGCAACGACTGGCTCCGCCCGAACACCTAGGGACAGGCATGGGCTCGGCAAGTCCCCAGCACGGCAGCTGCTCGTTTCGCCACCACTGGGTGCAAGGGGATGGACACTCCCTGGGATGGACACCCCCTGGGATGGACACTCCTCGGGCTGGGATGTTGGGGACAGGCCTGGCACGTGTGCAGCTGAGCAACACACAAGGCAGCCACAAGGAAGCAAAGGCTCATGCAACGCGGAGGGCCAGCACTAACCCTGAGGACAGCTTGACTGCAGCAGCTGCCCTCAAGGGAAGAGAAGCAGGAAAGGCAGGAGGGAGGATGGACCGAGGAGCCAACGCATACACGCTGGGCGAGCACCCCAGGGTGCTTGCACAGCATGGGGATGCGGGGAGTGCACTGTGAGAAGGTGCCAGGGACACAGTCTTCAGGGAAAAGGTCTTTTTTCCAACTGCCAGTTTTGAAAACAACGATAGGAAGTCACAGATTCCAAGAAGAGAACAGAAGCCTTTACCCAGGAACTTAAGCTTTTGGAACGCCAAGTACTTTGTAAAAACCTGAGAAAATGGGGTGAAAGTGGGTGCAGGGAAAGAGTGGGAGGAGAGAGGCGTGGGCCCTGACGGTGGAGACAGGCCTGCGTGACTGGATGGCGGGGGTGCTGGCAGCCAGACGAGCAGCGGGAGGGTAATGCCACGATTCTCAGAGCTTAGCGGGGCCCCAGAGCCATAGGCGGTGGGGGCACACTGAGGGCGGAGTTCAAGGACAGAAAGCAGTAAGCAGGGCTAGCCAAGCCACGGAACTCGGGGCTCCCAGGACTACCACCTCACCAGGGCTGTGAGCCTGATGCCCATCACAGGCCCAGCTGCCTTTAAGAAAAAAAAAAAAAAAAAAAACACAGGCAGCACTGCTGGCACAACTCACAGTGTGGTACTGCGGGAAGCCCACTGCTGGGCATAGCCCTGCTGCGGCCTCGCCGCTCAGCCCCCGCTCAGCACAGGCGCACTCAGGGCACACACGGTGCCCATGCACGGTGCCCACAGGACGGCCCCGGCTCTTACCGCGCTGATGGCGCCAGTAGCCGTCCGGAAGCGCTTCACTTCCTGTGCAGAGTCCACTGACAGGCCCCTCTTGATGGACGACGACACCGACGTGACACCTTCTCCACTGGAACTGGGGTCCACATCTGAATCCGGCTTAACACACACACTGGACTTTAGTGACTCATCGCTGGGGAACGGATGAGGAGTGCGACTGGGGACAGCAGGAGGTGCCCCGTGACCCACCTCCCCCCTACCTGCTGGTCCTTGATCCTCTGGAGCTCCCACTTGATGAGAACCTCCGACAGGTCCACGGCCAGCCTCCTCTGCTCGATGGTGACGCTGGGTGTGAAGCCAAGCCTCTGCATGGCGCTCACCATGTGCTGTACCAGGTGGTGGCGCACCGGGTAGTACACCTGTGGGCACACATCCACACACAACCCACTTCAGCCCCGTCCCCACACCACCCAAGCTCCTGCTCACAAAGTCCGAAGCGTCACTTCGTGGAAGAACTACTGGTGTGGATCTCCTCCCTTCCTCTGCCTTTCATACCACCTCACACGCAGCCAGACCAAGCCCTCTTCACACATGTCAGATATCACACCTTGTAACAGTTTAAAACATACTGAGAAGCAAATTTCCAACACTGAAAGAGCTGGATGGGGAAGAACTGGCTTAATGCACTCCACTATGCAAAATCTCCAAGAAATATTTAAATAAACTGTACACAGAAGGTCATCTGGCTATGAAGAGGGGACTGCAGCGTAACTCTTCAAGCAAACCTACCAAAATCTCTTAAGAGCTCACCACCTAGACTGTCTTCCTGACAGCCATCTGCATCTGAGTGCACCGAGCCTTACAACGAATGTAGCCTGACAGAGCAGCACACCCCTGGGCCACACCCCTACCCTACAAACACCTCCACACACACAAACACACACGACCCAAATGCTGGGCGGCAGGCAGCTTTCCCAACAGGTGAAGGACCACCTGACCACTCAAGGAAAAGACAGGCAAACATCCAAAGTCAATGCCAGAGGCCACTCAGCATAGCAGCCGACTCTCCCTACACACCTTAAAGTGCTGAACTATCAAGTGCAGGATGTGAACAAGCTGTGGAACCGTGTGCCCCTCTTCCACAATGATCTTCCGGGTCCAGTGGGTCAGCATCTGGTGTCCGTCCTCCATCCGGGCAGGCACCGCAGGCGTCAAAATGGCCATCGCTTGTCTGACAATGGCGCGTGCTTCCATGGCATGGGCCTTGAGCAGACTGTGGAACACCTACAGGAAGCAGAAATTCTCATGGAGGAGGAAAATAGTGGCTCTAAAAATGAGTCAAAGCACCACCTGGAGCGAAGACATGTCTGTTTTTCTGTGAAACAGTTTTTAATAACGTCCTCAGGATTCTCTTAATAGAAAACAACTTCACTGCCTTCTCTCTCATGCCTTATATAAACAAATATGCTGACTCTCACACCTGTTATGTGCCCATGTCAAGTGTGACCCCAGCATCAGGAAACGAGAATGGCCTGAGGACCCCCTTCCTCTGGCTGCAGTGAGGAAAACGGAGTCAAAGAGGCTAGGGTCAAGGACCACAACCAACAGCAACTACAATGTCTGGGTCGGAAGCAAAGGCCTAACATAGGGCCACAAGGACAATAAACATGACCTGACCAGGGACCGAGGGGACAGGAAGCCAGTGCCTGGGCCATGGGGAAAGTGAGCCTGAGGATGCAGGGTGACAACTGGGTTTACCTGAGGCCTGGAACTCAGCACCCTGCTAGCTCTCAAAGAGGAAGTGGTCAGGGAGTAACTGCCAAGGCACCCCTTCACTGATCCAAAGGCCGCAGAAGAATGAAATGGACGCAAGCGCATCCTGGTGCCAAGCATTTTTGCACCACTGCGTTCCACCTTTCTATAACCCCCGTTTCCAGAAACTTCTTGAAGATCCTAAGCTGGGCTTCTGAGTCTAACACGGATATTAACTTGCTCAGGAGCACAGGACACTCAAGTGGAGGAAACAAAACTCAAGCCAGTTCTGCCTGACGTCAAAGCCGCCACTGAAGGGCAGCTCAGGAAGAAGTCCCAGAGGAGTGGGTGGGCTGGGATCTGGACAGAAACAATCAAGTCAGAATCAGAAGCCAGAATCCCAGCCGGATGAGTGGGAGACAGGAAAACAAAGCCAGGCTACAAGGCAGCAGAGGGCAAGGCACGGGAAAAAAGGGAGGACAGAGGCATTGGGAGGCTAGTAGAACACACCCAGAACCATGTGAGTGACAGTGGGTGCAGCAACCCTCCTCTCCCAGCTGGAACTCCACCCACACTCAACAGCACCTCCTCCCCTTCGTCCAGCTCCATTAACACCACTTGGCCTGTGAGTCTGACCATCCTATGCAGGACCACACGGCAGCAGGGCTTTCAGGTCTCACAAGACGGCAGGTAGAGGGGAACATTTCCAATGGCCACGGGAAGGGAGGCTGTGGAGGGAGCCTTGCCAGGTACCTGAAGGACAATTTTCTTGTGTATTGCAAACTTGGCAATGATGTGTGCCAGCAGCAAGTGTCCGCTGTACTTGCAGGCAGGATCCACGCAGGCCTTGGAGAGCAGGCAGGGCCACGCGAAGGTCATGAGGCGACGCAGCTTGCTGTTGCGGTTCTTGTTGTTGTCATGGATGTGGTGCGGGGCGTGCTCCACCAACAGCGTAGCGTACTGCAGCAGGTAGATCCTCAGTGAGTCCAGCATGTCCGCCTGCTTCTCTGGGTCGAGGACCTGCCGGCAAAGATGAGAAGGAGGGAACTCAGTTCCAGTTCTGAACTACTTTGCCCACCCAGGCTCATCCAAGTTTAAACGCTACACACACCCTCACAGTCCACTTTTCACTTTCCCCTTCCACACACAGAAGTGTTAACCCTACACATTGCTAAGGGAGTGAGAGATTCAATATTAGCATTACTTCTTTTACACACATGGACCACAAAGTCACTCACTCATTTCAGTGCGTTTTTTTTTGGGGGGGGGCGGTGAATGGGATTTGGGAGGGGCGTGACCTTGGGCCTGGGAATCTAAACTTCCAGCAGCTTTGAAGACTGGTCTACCTGGCTATTCACTCAAGCATCATGACTCCATTCTTCAACTCAATCAACTTTCTCTCCACTGACGTGTCAGACTATGAAAAGCAGACCGTGTTCTCTTTTAGGCCCATGTGGACCCCCAAAGGCCCCTTTTCTCAGATCGGCTCCTTCTCAGCAGCCCTTCACTGCACTGCGATCCAACTGCCCATCTGATACCCTCAAAGTGCTCACTCTTGCCTGGTCCCACAGCAGAGACCCCAGCCCAGCAGACAGGCAAGGCCAGTATCCACTCATGGACCAAGAATAAATCCCCAGGCTCAGCTCTCAGGGTAGAACCAAAACGGCAGGCAGGAGGAGGCAGCAAGGATGGGCCATCTATCAACTGCGTCCTCCGGCCTCATCCCAGGTGAACCGTGTGAGAGGAGCCCCACTGCAGGTGTGGCAGCTCCCTCCCGAGACTACTCAGCCACACACAGATGAGGGACAACATGACAGCAAGCGCAGAAGCCCACCCAACAAGGCCCCTGGGACAGCTGCAAGCACTTCTTTACAGATGCAGAGACGCAGAACCTACTGACCTCAGGCAGCCCGCCCAACCCACTGTGCTTCCCTGACCTCAGAGAAACGGAACCAGGTGAGGATTTTCACTGACTTGCAGCAGAATCTGTTATAAAGCTGCAAACAACCCAACATCAAAGTTCTGCTGTGCAGAAAGCTGGATGTTTTCCCACAGTAACCGCCTGGGGTTTGAATTTTTACCGAGGTATAATGTTTGTGACTGCAATCTGCTGATAGAGAGAGCATGAGACTCCTGAGAAATCCACCTGTCAGCACAGCAATGCAATGTCCTTCTAAGAACACAATCAGGAATAAAAGCTGTAGGGAGGACAAGCCCCACTCCCCCAGCAGCCTGCCAGAGACAGCACCTTGGTGATGAACACACTGGTGATACTCTCTGGGTTGTCTCCCTCTGGGTTGGGAGGTCCCAGGAGCTGCTCTCCTTCCCCCTTCTCAAAGCTGTACAAGAAAGCCGGATTCAAGATATGCTGCAGAACCTACAAAAAAACGAGAAGATACACAGAAATAAGGCCAAGGTGCTCAGTGGCCGAGTAAGCTGGGGAGGCTAAGCAGCTGGACCACACGGCACTGTGAGGTCAGAACAGAGCCGAGGACACCATCACCGGCTGTGAGCTCTGTCCCTCAGCAACCTGGACGCCTACCTCCTGCAGGACACCCAGGGCCTGACAGGAAAGGGTCCAGCCCCTGATCCCCACCCTGCCCCAGCACCTGCAGCCTCCCGCTGCTGCACAGGTACTCACCTTGGCCTTCAGTTCATCGCCAAAGTTGGGGTCGTTGAAGTCTACAAAGCGAAAAAACAGGGCACGTTTCTGGGCGATGCTATAATTTTTGGGAATCTCTTCCTCCATATACTCTTTTAGGAATGTCATGTTGCAGAGAAAACGGCCAGTGAAGGCTCGCAGCAACTGGAACAGCAGTTCTATGTCTCCGTAGTTCCGTCTGAGGGGTCAAGACGAGACGACAGGTTAGCCCATGGTCAAGTTCATCCACAGCAGCACCTGAGAGCCCTCCACCAGCCCAGGGTCAAGGCCCAGCCCCTTCGACAGATGCCAGGCCCCAGAGCAGCTCAGTGAATGCATATGCTAAGATCACAGGGGCACCCACTTGCAGTAGTTGAGCAGACAATATGCCAGCAGCTTTGGCTCCTTCCAGTTGGTGGCCGCCATGTTCTCTTTGCGGTGTCTTTCCTGAAAGGCCTCACTGATCCAGACGCGACGCAGCTGGCTCACCAGAGAATGCTGATTGGCCAGCCAAGAGTCATCATTCTTAACTATGATGCTTATGATCTGTCAGAGAAGAGACAGTCTGGGGACTGTGTCTGGAGCAGATGTGGGGGATCCCAGGGCCCTGTCAAGGCAGCTACCTTGATTGCCTGGAACTGGAGGTCCAGGCGCATGGTGCTGGGCGAGCCGGGGCGCACGGCTGTCTGTGCGCCGCCCGGCAGCAGCAGTGTGATGAACCTGTTGGGGTTAGCAGCCAGCACATCCCGCAGGGGCTTGGCATCCTTGTGCTTCAAGAAACTCTGGAAGCAGAAGACAGGAAAGCCGCTTTAAGCTAACTCCACACACAAAATGTTGGAGGACATGAGTTCTAAGGCTCCTTCCAAAGCTCTCTCGCTGGCATCCTTCGGAAATGCTTTTCAAGGCGATCTCACTTTATGATCTTACAGCCCCGGCAGCATACCCCACCCAGTGTGACCCCAGGACCTGAGCATTTCCTCTGTCCAAAGACCTGGGAGAGGAGCTCAGCCCTCACCATGAACATCCTGCTCCACTGTGGGTCATTCAGGGTGGCTTCCATCATGAACAGCTCCACCGTCTGCGAAGGGTGCCGAGTCAGGAACTTGATCAAGGGCTCTCGGAAAGGACTGCCTGCCTGCAACACATGTGGGGAGCCCTGTGTTCCCACACTGCTCTTCCAGGCCTAGAGGCCAGCCCTGCCCACTACCCCACCCACCAGGAACACCCCTTCCCCAGGGGCAGTGCCTTGGCGGCCCGAAGGCAGTGTCTGCACGGGTGTGCTGTCAGATCGGGCACCTCAGACAGCACAGAATGAGAATCAGCCTTTCGGCAGCAGAGAGGAGGACCAGGAAACATCGCTGTGGACAACCCTACCTCAATTAACATGGCCCGCTCCGTTTTCATGACAACCTCTAACAGAGGCTTCACCAGGGTCTGAGGCGCAGCTGGGATCAGGTGGAAAAGGTTGATAATGGCCGAACAGATCTTCATCTCCTGATAAAGAAAACCAGAGTTCAGCGAGGGCCATGGGTGCTGCTGGCCAGACAGGGCACTGTCACTAGGGCCTAGTACAGCCTAACTGGCCAACGAAGCAGAGGGGACATGGACAAAGCCACAGCGAACCTGCCTCACACGGCACCGGGTGGGTCCTGAGGGAGGGCCCTGTCGAGTCCCTCTGTCATGGGGTCTTCAAACACACCGACAGGGTGGCTGGTGTGGTGTGTGGCACCTATGCCGGCCCCCTCACTAAGGCAGGGACAGCAGGCCTGAGAGCATGGAGATCACCCCGTTTTGCTGTGGCATCGTGGGGTCCTCCTGGTTCATTAAGTTCTCAGGACACAGACTTCTTCGGCTTTTAAAACCCAGCAGAGAAAAGCTCCTCAAAAAATGTTCAAGTATTGCCCTTGGAAGCCAATTATCAAAGTGAATGGACAACTGATGCTAGCCCAAAGCACCGTCAGCCAGGCCTGAAAACAAGGCTGACGACTGAGGCCCCACATCCTGGGAGACACGTGTTCTCTGAGAAGCTGGTGGCCTGGCAGGCGCTGCTGGGCGCTCACTCCACCTTCACAAGCTGCGTCCGCAGCGCTGCCTCGGCCATCACCCTCCATGCGGCCTTGGGAAGACATCGCCCTGCATGAGGGCCAGACGGGGTAAAATGGGGATGATTAACAGCGGTCCAAGGGCCCGAGGTCAGCAGCCTGGGTCTGGGGGTGCTTCTCAGAAGGTCTCTTAAGACCAAACTAAGAACAAGCAGCTCTGGGTCACCCCTCCCGCCATCAGCGTTGTCCTCTACAGAACTGAAGGCTTCAGATGAAGGAGCACTGTCCCAACAGCGCAGCCCTCTAACCTGGTTCCTTCACTCCGTGGTTTTTCTGTTCCCAAGTGCTGTTAATCAACGTCACAGCACTCAAGGCAGAAGGGAACGTTATCATCCTCATTTCACAGAGGAAGGAGGCCCAGAGAGCTGAGGCTGCACTGTGGTGCACCCACATCCGGGTGTGTGTGTGTGCACATGTGCATACTTGAACGAGAGGTATAAAGGGCCAAGGTGTTAAGCCGAGGCAGAAAAGTCAAGGGTTCCCCAGTTCTAACAGGGCTCATACATTCTTTGCGGAGCTTCCTCTCGGAAGGCTGCTGGCTGGCTGAGTTCACGCTATGAACACCCCAAGAGGTTTGGGAGAGGGGCATTCTGACATGGAGCAAACAGGGAACTTTGGGTCTGGCTTCCCGTGCCCTAACTGGAAACATGCGTGGCACCCAGACAAGTCACAGCAATGATACTAGGACGACTCTGCCACAGACAGACGAACAGGTCACCGCACTCAAAGGCACAACGCACCGTCCAGTACAGAACCACAGCACAACTAACGAGTCACAGCAAAACCAGTACGACAACGACCCCTCCTGCACTTCCACTGAAATTCTCACCTCTACCCCTTCCATGGCAGGCTGAACCAAAACAAAAATTACAGCATGAAAAAAGGCAACAGAAAGGTCGAAAAGAAAAGAAAGGAAAAGGGTAAACTGTTCTTCACATTGCAAATCATAAACTGACTTTAATCGGTTGTTCTCACCTCAAACTGACAGAATGGAGACAAGGAACACCTCCCGCACTCTGAAATGCTTTCCTGAGGATGGGGAGGAAAGTCAGCTTTTCTATTGGTGTTATTTGCAGAGAAACTTCCAGACACGCCGACACAGTCAGATGATTGGGGTTAACAGGACAGTGAAGACACACAGTCAGAGACACAGACTTAACGGAAGCTCGACAGCCACAGAGGAAGAGTGGCTCACAGCGGGCCTCGCCCCTTGCTCTCACATCAGCAAGATGATGCATCATCTAAGGGGGGCTTCAGAGGGTGGTCTAAGGGGAGAACCTGTAGGACCCTGCCGCATGCCAACGCACTCGCACACAATCTCCTGGGGAATAATTCAAGATTGCACGCGAGTGTTAAGCCACTTAAACAAATGGCAAAAAACCACCCCTTTCCCCACTGTCTCCAAAAGAGGACGACCCAACTGGGGCTCGTGAGGATGCCACACCCAGGCCATGACAGCCCCACACTCCATCCAGTAGGGTCATCCTGTGAAGTGACACAGTCTATGTGACACTAGCTGGGGGGAGGGTTGTGCACTCACACGCACACATGTGTGCACACAGACCTGAGGGGGGGAGGGTTGTGCACTCACACGCACACATGTGTGCACACAGACCTGAGGGGGGAGGGTTGTGCACTCACAGGCGCACATGTGTGCACATAGACCTGAGGTTAAGCAGATCAGACCTCCGCAAACTGGACCTCCTCAACACAGTGACGGCTGAGAGCTTTGATCACCAGGGGTACAGAAAGTCATCAATTTAACAGCTCTGCAATTACAGTTTCTCTAGTAAGCAATGATACGTGGGGATTCTTCCAAACAGGTTCAAAATAATGTCTATGAGGCATTTGTCACCCAGAAAAAAACGAGCAGAGCTTGACAGCTAAACCCAGCCTGGCCCAGGCCCTGAGTGACGAGGCCAAGCCCCATCTCTCCCTCTGGATGCCGTGGCTCCTTGAATGGTGCACAGGGCGATTAGAGTGACACTCCCGGGCCCAACTCCAATCCCTCCACAACTGCCCCCGCCTCCACATCACTGCTGGTAAGGTTTAGGAGATCTTTCTGATTTGGTGGAAGTCATCTAGCTACCTAGCAGTTCCGTTCTGACAGGCTGATGAGAGCTGGCAGGGAGTGGTGAGACCCGCGGCCACTCCCAGGGCGGACACACCCAGGAGGCCCTCGTGGTCCACACCCTCTCTGGGCTCTTTCTCAACCATTTCAAATGCTGTTCTAATTTTGCTTAGTTGGCTGCTCAGAGGCAGGAGGAAATGAGGCTAAATAGCACACCTAGACATAGAATGGTGAAAAAAAAAAGAAGAAGAAAGGAAAGCATAATAAAGCCAGAAAAACTTAGAAAGAAACCCAAGTTGGGATGAAAAGTAGCATTCCACAAACAGGCACCAGAAGATAGAAAAGCCATGTGAGGGACGCTTCTGAGGAATTAGGAGGGATTCCCTACTGGGGCCGCTGCTACACCGGTCACCAGGTGTCACTTCCACCGGCAGGACAGCATCAAGGTACAAAACACTTGTAAAATTGACACATACACACAGTGTTAGATTGAAAACAGCAGGGAGTATACGTTTTTTAGGAGACAAAAGTCATGATAACCAACATCAGCTACTTAGAAAAGATGTGAGTATACCGGCTTTTCCCTCAAAACCATACAGATGTGCTTTGCGGGGGCCGCTGATTGTCTGGCAGACCATCAGGACGGGGGTGTAGCCTAGGATACACCCAGGCCGGTGCTTCTGTGATGTTTCATGACAGTCTCCTGAACGCTTTGTCAAGTCCTGAGAAAGCTCTAGTTGGCTCTGTCAGGCAATGACAATCACACACAGACGTTACCGACCACCCAGGGATGAAAAGCAACGGACACAACAGCTGGGGGACGCACCACCACGTCAACAGCAGCTGCCAACATCTAGAAAACACACCGGGTAAGGCAAAACCAGTCAGGTGGAAACACTAACATTGCAAGCTTCCCCCAGTTCTCATCAGCGGCAATGTGATTCAAGTGAGCACATGGGAGATTTTAAACATGGAAAGGAATGTTCAGCAATTCAGAGACAGAAAGCAAAATGCAATGCCAACACGTGGGTTTTAACAATTCACATGGACTGCAATGACATGAACTGATCTGACCGGCTCCGGCGTGAACACGAGCCCAGCGGCGCGGCCGGGGGCCCTGCTCAGAAACAAGCAAGTCACTCACGTTTCCCTCGCTCCTCTGGCCCCCTTTATGGGTGATGACAACCACCTCCATCCACTTGCGCAGATGTTGCTGTGGAAAGAGCACAGGCTTAGATGACGCGGCCCGCACGGCAGGTGCACCCAGCTCCCAGGGCACTGCCCTAGGTCACTCAGTCCCCCTGCGCCTCGTGTCCCCGTTACTGAGACGGTCCAAGCATCAAGTAAAGGACATAAGTAAGCAGCATCTGTTCACATTCTGTCAATTAGCAGGCACGCTGTCCTGATACAACGGAGGGCATGCTGAAACTCGTCCAGCCCTACTCCAGTCCCCGCTGCTTCCTCCATGGCCACTGTGCTCCCCAAGCACACGGATGCCCTGGGTGCAGGACGGAGAAGGGACCACAGCCTGAAGCCAGGAAGGAGGTGGCCACCGTAGCTGAGGAGCAGCAGATGGCTGCTCAGACAAGCAGAGCACCCAGCTGGGCAGCAATTCCAGCTGACTGGCACGCAGAGATGCCGCGTTGGGAGCAGGTGCCCTGCCGTCAGTCAGTGCCAGCCCTCATTTGGACAAAGTAAACAGACAAGCAGTCGAGCCTAAAGCAGTCAGGAACACACGGGTCTTCAACGTCACGTGTGCTCCTCCAGACACTCATGTCACAAGGGCAGTCAGCATGTCCGAGGAACACATACCTAGAAAGATACAGAGCACTAGCCATTCCTTCAGAGTATCAAACTTGTAACATTTTACCAACAAAAGCCCCGAAGGGGATTTAATCACTGAATGAAACCTGTACCTATCTGGACGGCTGTTTATACAGACGCCAACAAGGATGACAGAACTAGAGGTGGAGACAATGGCCAGATCCATCACTGTTTCTTCTGCTTTTAGATTTCCTAAAGGAGAACCTTGACACCAACTGGCATAAAAAATTCACTTTTTGGGCCTGGCACAGGGGTAGTCTAGCGGCTGAAGTCCTCGCCTTGAACGTACACTGGCATCCCATATGAGCGCTGGTTCTATCCCGGCAGCCCTGCTTCCCATCCAGCTCCCTGCCTGTGGCCTGGGAAAGCAATGGCGGACAGCCCAAAGCCTTCGGGACTCTGCACCCGTGTGGGAGACCCGGAAGAGGCTCCGGACTCCTGGCTTTGAATTGGTGCAGCTCCGGCTGTTGTGGCCACTTGGGGAGTGAGTCAGCAGATGGAGTATCTTTTCCTGTCGCTCCTCCTTTCTGTGTATCTGACTTTCCAACAAGAATAAAATAAATCTTTAGGAAAAAAATTCACTTTTAGTTGAACAAAAGTGACTTCAGGAGCGACTTCAGGAGCCAAGCGTCTCAAGTGTGAACTCAGGACTGGGTACCACATGCAAGAGGACAGGGTGGGGCCCGGCGCGGAGGCGCAAGTGGTTAAGGTCCTCAACTTGCATGCCCGGAATACCATATGGGCGCCGGTTCTATCCCGGCAGCCCCGCTTCCCATCCAGCTCCCTGCCTGTGGCCTGGGAAAGCAGTCGAGGACGGCCCGAAGCTTTGGGACCCTGCACCCGTGTGGGAGACCCGGAGGAAGTTCCTGGCTCCTGGCTTCGGATCGGCATAGCATTGGCCCGTTGCGCTCACTTGGGGAGTGAATCATCGGACGGAAGATCTTCCTCTCTGTCTCTCCTCTCTATATATCCGCCTTTCCAATAAAAAATAATAAAAATAAATCTTAAAAAAAAAAAAAGAGGACAGGGTGGCTGCTCTGTCTCAGTACAAACACTCACAACAGTTCAGAGACCTAAACTTAGGAGCTAAGCCTACAAACTCGGAAGGAAAGGAACATTTTCAGAAATGCTAAAAGAAAGCTGATGCCTCGAGCCGGCAACCACAAGAGCACGCCATGCAAGACAAAGCTCCACCAGTGACCACGCTGGATCCTGAAGAGCTGATGTGTGCTTGAGCACAGCCAGCTCAGGCTAAGTCAGGACGGCCCTGGCAGCAGAGGCAAAAGCTGTGCCACCCCGAGCACAGGCAGGCCTCAGAGCACTGGCTGGGCGCCCGAGGAAACGTCTGGGTAAGCAGGACCCACACCATTCCTTGTCCAAGCACACTGACGCTCTGCTGTTGTGGCATTTTACAACTACCCACAAAAGGGCAACAATACTAGTCAAAGTGCAAAAAAAACCCCAAACCAACAAAAACAACCTTAAAAGCACTCAGCTGTCTTCAGGGAAGGATGCCTGGCCTCAGGGCACTCAGGACAGACACAGACCACACAGGGAGGCACAAACAATGCTCAGTGTCATTTCCCTCTCTGACCCTTCCTGAAGGTCTCAGCCCCAACACTGCAGCTGCGTACCTGCGTTATGTGTGACCCTAGCAGGTGTGCAGGTGTCACGTGTGTCCCCGGCAGGCCTGTGATGTGTGTCCCTAAGAGCTGTGTGTGCATGTCATGTGTGACCCTAGCAGCTGTGTGTCCCTGGCAGGTACGTAGGTGTGTCACGTGTGCCCCTGGCACCTGTATAGGTGTGTCACATGTGTCCCTGGCAGTGCATAGGTGTGTCACGTGTGTCCCTGGCACCTGTACAGGTGTGTCACATGTGTCCCTGGCAGGTGTGCAGGTGTCACATGTGTCCCCGGCAGGCCTGTGATGTGTGTCCCTAAGAGCTGTGTGTGCATGTCATGTGTGACCCTAGCAGCTGTGTGTCCCTGGCAGGTACGTAGGTGTGTCACGTGTGCCCCTGGCACCTGTATAGGTGTGTCACGTGTGTCCCTGGCAGCTGTATAGGCGTGTCACGTGTGTCCCTGGCAGGTGTGTCCTGTATGTCCCTGGCACCTGTACAGGTGTGTCATGTGTGTCCCTGGCAGCTGTATAGGCGTGTCACGTGTGTCCCTGGCAGGTGTGTCCTGTGTGTCCCGGGCACCTGTACAGGTGTGTCACGCGTGTCCCTGGCAGCTGTGTAGAGGTGTTACGTACGACCCTAGGAGGTGTGTAGGTGTGTGGGTGCACTCCATGACTTAGGAGCTCAAGAGGAAGGAGTTTCCAACTTGGAAAACTCACCTTCAGAGAACACCTTACGTCCTCGTTACGATCTAATATTTGGGCACTGGTGATAATTTCAGTGTTTGGTCATTTACTAGTCACTCCGTGTCTGCAGGAATGGAGAAAGCATGACGTATGTGAAGTACATAGCTGTGTGCTCCGCACCTAAGGCTACGTCATAAGTGTATGAGAAATGTTTTGAACAACAACCAAAAAAAAAGAATCGGAAATGCATGCATCATTTTTCCACGAGCTTTCTGAAGTAACTTCATATGTGAGATATGTAGCTTCATTCCCCTGAAAATGCACCTACATCCACAGCTCCTTCCAGCACTAACTGCTCTCCAGAGCTGGCGGAAGTATACCCCAAACTGAAACTGGCCGGCACTTAAAAATGTCAGAATGGTCAAAGGTCACTTGGGAAACAGGAGTATGAACAACACCGTCCTATTTATAGGATGCACCAGGAAATCCTAAGTGACAAACCCTAAATGCATACTGAGGTACCTCCCTCACACTGGGAAGCAGCGGGGGTCAGCAGCAACACCTCAGTTACAAACACTGTCAAACACATTTTGTCTGCTTAAACACTTCTGAAGATTCTTAAAACCCCAAGAGTTTTTAAATCTACTCATTGTATACGGAAGGGGGGGGCAGCCTCATCTATGTTGTAGGACAGAGGGAAAATTGATTGAAACAAAAAAATCTTGGGCCCGGTGAGGTACCCTAGTGGCTAAAGTCCTCACCTTGCACACACCAGGATCCCATATGGGTGCCAGTTTGTAAACCAGCTGCTCTACTTCCCATCCAGCTCCCTGCCTGTGGCCTGGGAAAGCAGTCGAGGATGGCACAAAGCCTTGGGACCCTGCACCTGCGTGGGAGACCCAGAAGGACGCTTTTGGCTTTAGATTGGCTCAACTCTGGTTCTTGCAGGCATTTAAGGAGTGAACCAGCAGATGGAAGATCTTTCTAACTGCATTTCAAATAAAAACAAGTCTTTCCTTTTTTAAAGTATATGTATGTATACTTTAAGAAGCAGCTCCAGATTCCCGGCTTCAGACTGGCTCAGCTCAGCTCCAGCTACTGCAGCCACTTGGGAAGTATATCAGCAGACAGAACATCTTTCTCCCTGTCCTTCTCTGTATATCTTACTTTCCAATTAAAATAAATAAATCTTTTTAAAAAAAATCTCTTCAGAAGCAACATGACAATGCATCCAAGATGCATCACTTCTCCTAGAGATGAGCACGCATGTGAAACCATACACAACTTCACTGTATCAATGCGCATGAGAACAAAGAACTAGGAGCAGACTAAACCTCTTCAGGGCAGCGCTCAAGGATGGGAACTCCACAGAGTGAGAGCAGAAAGACTCCAGAGCCAGGCAGCCCTCCGAACGCGGGGAAGGCGAGCTGAAGCCAGGCAGCCCTTTGAACACGGGAAAGGCGAGCTGAAGCCAGGCAGCCCTCTGAACGCAGGGAAGGCGAGCTGAAGCCAGGCAGCCCTTTGAACGCGGGGAAGGCGAGCACTGGCTTCGGGAACTCCTCCCTTCGGAGCCCAGGGAGCCTGTCCGTGTCCAGCTGCAGGCACCTCTTCGCGGGGGTGTCTGCGAAGGGACACTGGGACCCGCAGGACACTGCAGATGCCCGACACCTTCTGAAGCTTAAGCCATGTGAATGGAATGCTTGCTAGCTTGAAAACAAACTTAGGCTCACATGTCCCAGTGTGTCGCACAACGGCTTACCATCATCTGATCACAAAACTTATCATTGAAGGAGTTTGGGAAGAGCCTCGTGACGGACGTCAGCCGATTCACAACATTCAGAGTGAGGCTTCTGTAATCTCCCAGCATCATCAACAGAGGGCGCATGTGGGTGTGAATCTGATCCACTTCTATGGTCGCGCCTTCTAGAAACTGTGAAACAGTAAAGTTATAAAGAGACAGACGATACAGAGTGAAACTTTCGTGAGACTCTGGCACCACATCTGCCTCTCCTTGGGAAACTAGGATACCGCTCACATATTTCACAAGTGTGTGACAGCTTTACTTTTAACATTTGAAAAAACTCAGACTATGAAACAAGCAAGAGACTTATTACAGCCTCACGTGAGGCGTGCCTGGGCGTACAGACACACGCACACGCACGCACGCACACACACGCACGCACAGCCACCTTTCTCATGCAGGCTTCCCCGGCCTCCTGCAGCTCGCTGTTGGTGGAATTGAGGGCCTTGAACAGCGCAGCGATGATCTTCTCTCTGGACTGAGGAAGGTAGTTGCAGGCTGCGAGCGCATCTTGGGAGAGAGAGATCAATGCAATTTCATTATGAAAACCAGAAACATACCTCAACAATTTCTCAACCTCTCGCCCGTTTTCTTACCATATGCTCCCAGGAAAAGTGGCTGACATTACCCAGGAGGGATGTCAACAGCCAACCACAAAGGCTACAATGGAGGCGGATGTGTGGGCTGGCAGCTGAGACCCCGAGGAGTGTCCGGCTTCCAGTCCCAGCCCTGCTCACATCTGCACCTTCCCACCAGCGCCTAAGCTGGCAGGCAGTGGTGGTGGCTCAAGGAGTTGTGCTCCACCACTCAACTCGGAACCCTGGACCAAATCCCAGACTGCCAGCTTCAGTCTGGCCATTAGGGGTATTTGAGAAGTGACCCACCAGATAGGAGATTTTTCTTTCTGTTTCTACCTTTCAGATTAAAGAGAAAGAAAGGGGGGGGGGGGGGAAAGGCCACGAGAGAAACCCCACACCTTATGAAAGGAGGAAGAAAAGTTGGAGGACGGGGAGGAGGGGCCTGCCATCGATCTGTCCCCAGGTTATCCTCAGCCACAGCAGTCACCTCAGAGCCGCTGTCGAGCGAACTGACACACAGCTTCTCCCCACCGCCCCTGTCTACTCGGGCGGCCCCCACCGCATTTGGGGATTAAGCTCTAAGTGTCTGTAAGCACATTCTTTGGAGAGGAGACACTCCACAATGGCTAACTAAGGGCAGTGAGTGGCCCTGGGATGCACGGCGGCGAGTCCCCAGCCACGCCCTCCACACGCACTTGCTACATGGTGTTCCCGCCAGTCGAGTGTCCCTGGCCTCGCCTTGTCTCATCTTACCGATTGGCTTCTCAGTAAACTCACCTCTCACTCAGAGAGGATTCTGGCAACATTTTACTAAGTGCACAATAATAATGAAGCAAGAGGCAAGTTGAAAAGCTTGTTCCGGTTGCTCATCCGCACACTGTCAGTATGCACTTTGCACAATTCTTATGTGTAGTGACTCAAGCTGCGGCAGCAGCAGACTTCAGGACTCTAACCCCCGACCCACCAGGTGCACAAGAGCTGCAGGCCCCCTTTCTGCTGACTCTACAGGACACTTCTTACACACCTGAGTCACAACTACAGAACACACAGCTACTACACAGAAAGAATTCTTACATTCTACTCATGCCCACAGTCTCCTGACATCGCATCATGCAGTTCAGGAAACAAATCAACTTGTTGATCCCACCTAAAGATCACAAATATCGGAAGGATCAGATAGTGGCCAGCAGCAAAGCTGTTTTTCTTTTTAAAGATGTGTTTGTTTCTTTGAAAAGACAGCATCACGGAGAAGTCCGTCATCTGCTGACTCACTCCCCCTAGGCTGCAACAGCTGGGGCTGAGCTAGCTTTCTCCGAGTCCTGCATGTGGATGGCAGAGGCCCAAGCGCCTTCCCAGGCACATCAGGGAGCTGAACTGGAAGCAGAGCAGCCAGGACTAGAGCTGGTGCTCATATGGTTCATGAGCACTGCAGGCAGCAGCTTAACCCACACCTCCAACACCTGCCGCCCATCTCCGATGCGCATGAACTCACTGAGGGCTGCGATTCGCAGGGGTACAAGCGACGGGAGGCTTTTGTAACAAGGCAGCTTTGTCAGAGCAGAGTCCTCGGCCTCACACAGGTTCAGCAGCTGGAAGACACAATGATGACATTTAGCCCACCGATCCTGTAAAGGCATGCTAACCTTGCAAGTACCACAGCACAGCAATCTTCCACACACACACAGCAACTCAACCAGCAACAGACAAACTGCACCCCAATCCTGAAGCACTCAAGTATCCAGATGAACTGAGCTTCCTCACTCACGGCAGCCGAGGCCGTCAGCACCGCCAGCCTCTGCCCTTAGCTGAGGGGCAGCTTATAACGCACCTGGACTTCAGACAGGCCAAGGGACGCTGTCCGCCCACCTCCCAGGAGCTCTGGGTCCTGCCTACGCCAGAAGCATGTCACTGACACCAGGGCCCTAACAAGAGCTGGACCACGTGACCACAGAATGCACACTGAAGCAGAAAGCACAGGATTCAGAGACCAGGAAGGACAGCTTCCTAACCGGAAACTCAGACTCAGAGGGGGCCAAGGCCTCCTGCTTGCTTCCACCTCAGCTTCCCCCGACAACTCCTACAGAGAAGTGAGTGCTAACCCAAAACTTTCAAATGGGCACTGGTCACTAGCTCACCACAGGACTCGACTGCCTCCACGGTCTGACTTCTGTCCATCACTGTCTAATATCACCACACTGGAACGTTTCCGGGGACAAACATTTGCAACGGGAACCAGCACCGTCGCACAGCAGGCTAAAGCTTCACTTGTGGTGCCAGCATCCCATATGAGCACTGGTTTATATCCTGGCTGCCCCACTTTTGATGCAGCTCCCTGCTTATGGCCTGGAAAAGCAGCAAAGGCTGGCTCAAGTTGTTGGGCCCATGCACCCACATGGGAGACCTGGAGAAAGCTCCTGGCTCCTAGCCACTGCGGCCATGGGGAGTGAGCCAGTAGAAGGACGATTCCTCTCTGTAGCTCTACCTTTCAAATAAAAATAAATCCTTAAAAAAAAAAAAAGCCAGTTTTCAGCATTGGTATTTGGATGGAGGCAGAGCAGCAGGCTGAGCTCACATCCATGCTTCCCAGCTCACCTACTCGGTAGCTCGGACAACACAAGCATCAGGCTCAGCTCCTGCAACTCCAGCATTAGAACCACCGGCATCTACACCACAGGGCATCGCCAGAGCCCACCAGGAACCTCCAAGCAGCCTCCACACACTGGCTCCAGAGATCAGACTGATAAAACAGCAGCTAGCAATCTGCTCTCTAAAACACAGGAGGGTCCTAAGCCAGAGCCAGGGCCAGGTCCCCTGGAGGGCTGACAGGGTTCCAAGGACCCAAGGCCGCCAACACTATGCTGCACCTCTCCTGTCCCCGGCCTCCCTTCCACCAGATCCAGGGGCAACACACCTGCACAGAGCCCAGGGCCAGGCCAGGGCTGGTTACCTGCATCATTTCCCGAGCCTTCTCTGAACGCGCACAAAGACGGGCTAGCAGACACACGGCAGCACCATGCACGCGCCTCCACACCCACCCCCGCCCCTACCTCTGTGTAGAACACCTTATGCTCCACCACGTTCAGGTCCATGGTGAAGAGTCGGGGCTGCAACGTGGTGCAGAATGTGTTGCCCTCCATGAGGCCGATCTGCGCGTTGGCAGGCTGGTGGCGCAGCAAGTGCTTCTTGGGCGGGACCATGTCCTGCAGCACCTGGGAGAGCCAAGCAGGAGGCACCGCTCACTGGCTGCCCTCGAAAGCAAAGTGTGTCAACACAACACTTTCCAGCAACCAGCCTGAGAAGCCACTGTGAGAACAACATCGGGGAAGGCAGCACGTGCCCTGTGCGGCGGGTTGATGCCCATGACTCACAGAAACTTCTCTAAAGATGAAGAAAACACAACCACACTACCACACAACCACCAGCCTGTGCTACAGGGGCTCAGCAAACTGTCCCAGCCCTGACCCCAACAAGCTCCCAGGCGGCGCCAGCATGAGCTACCCCACGCACAGCGGAGGCCAGAGGGCAGGCACAACAGGACCCAAGAGGATCAATCGAGCAGCACCCAGACTTGAAAATGAAAAGCCACCTCCAAAGCTTGATCCCAGTCACCAGGGTGCCAGACATCTCACCTCTTTGTGGGGCTCCATGATCACCGTCACACTTTTCCCAGTGACCTGGGCCAATACCTGCAGGGAGTGCATAGCCTGCTTTCTCACGGTGGAGTTGGGAGAGGTGACTTCTCGCACCAGATCATGTGTCACGTGGTGGAAAGACTTCTCCTGGGCCGCTACGATCTCCTCGGCCCGCTCCTCGTCCTTCAACGGAGTCGCACACCTCATCAGGAGCTGTTCCAGGGTGGTCTTGGCCATGGCCACGGCCCCATTGGAAACCTGTGGGTCAGGGCCATCTTAAGACAAAGGCATGGAAGCTGTGTGTCACACACCACACGCTCTGCCTCTCATCCACCTGTGCCACCTGCTGTCCCGGGGTAAATAGGGGTGGGAGAACCACGCCCCCACATCCGCTGCTTTAGGTAGACTACTGCAGAACCACTCAGTTCTTCCTTTAAGTTAATTCCTGCTTATTAGAAAACATCCACTAGGCAGGACCCTGGCACTCAGTACAGTCAAGCCAGTAATGCTGCCACATTTTACTGGTGTGAGTTACACACGCACATAGGTTCATGAAGGAGGCAACTTGGAGGACGCATCTGCACACGTGTGGGCTGTGCCTCACCCTCCCTCTTCCGCTCACCCCAGTGAGTGCTCCAGCTGTGACCACCCCTTTCCGAGGCAAGCAGGCATCCAAACAATGTGAGAAAGCCTAGCAAGTTCTGCACTGTCCTTGTACCAGACGCTGTCATGAAACCCAAGTCTCAGCCAGCCCTGCTGCCAGGCAGCCGTTGGCACAGCCACCAGGCCAACTGCCCTGCAGGTGAGCAGCCTCCGCCGGGCGCCCGTCACGCACCTCTCCTGTCAGGTCCATCATGACGAACAGCAGCGCTTTGAGGAACGTCTGCTGGTTCTGCAGAACCCAGGTGAGAGGAAGCCGCTCCATGAGAAACTTGATGGACACCACACCCCCCAGCTTCGCATACCAAGCCTGCTCGTAACAGCACGCGCACAAGCGCTCCACGATGTAGGAGAACAGAGGCAGCTGGCACGCCTGTGGGAGACGGCAAATTCAAGTGCATGGCTGCAGTGGCCTGCGACCGCCACAGTGGCTGCAGGGGCAACCACCCCCCAACACGAGAAGACGACCCCTCCTTACCCTCTCCTTGGAGCCCAGGATGATGCTGGCGACATCGAAGATCACGGCTAAGGCCACCTCTCCGATTTTGCACAGCTCCTTTTCCTCATAGGCCATGCAAATAGCTATGGCGTCAATAAGAACCAGAGGATCCATGCCCTTGGACCCATTCTCCTCACTGTGAAACATGGCAGTGCTGGGCTGGCTGCCCACCTGGTAGCAAGGCAGCAAGAACGGACCTGAGAGGAGAGTGGAGGGCATGAGACGGAATTCGGCACACAACAGGAACACTCATCCCTCAAGCTGCAAAACTACGTCACTTTTCCCTGGAAGTCAGCAGCCCAGTACAGCCAACTAACTTAGAAACAAAGGGCCTGATTCTAAGACTAGCTTTCTGAAGTGTTTCCATTACCCACTGTACTGGTTTCCCACTTTCTCTAGGGACTCTAAAGTAAACTTGTTTAAAAGAATCCCAACCAGCCATTTTTAAGTTTATCATGAGGTAGATGAAGGGACATGCCATGGGAATGACTTGAGTTACGCTCTGCACAGCTCTGTGCAGCAAACAGGCCACGGTAGCAGCAGCCAGCTATGATGGAGAACGCACCAGGAGACCAAGCAGCTGCAGCAACCAGCAGACAGTGACTCACAGGTACCCAGCACCAGGCTGGCCATGTGCCTCACAGGTGCCCAGCACCAGGCTGGTCAAGTGACTCACAGGTGCCCAGCACCAGGCTGGTCAAGTGACTCACAGGTACCCAGCACCAGGCTGGCCAAGTGCCTCACAGGTACCCAGCACCAGGCTGGTCAAGTGACTCACAGGTACCCAGCACCAGGCTGGTCAAGTGACTCACAGGTACCCAGCACCAGGCTGGTCAAGTGACTCACAGGTGCCCAGCACCAGGCTGGTCAAGTGACTCACAGGTACCCAGCACCAGGCTGGTCAAGTGACTCACAGGCGCCCAGCACCAGGCTGGCCAAGTGCCTCACAGGTACCCAGCACCAGGCTGGCCAAGTGCTCAATCGAATAGCACACACTGCTCAGGAGGAGGAGACACAGGCACCAAGTTCTGCGTACTGCCTGCCAGTCTCAGGAGTGAGGAGCTCTGAGCACACAGCCAGGAGCAGGTGGTCTGCAGACTGCTACTCCTCTGCCAGGAGATATCAGAATGCACAAATTTTGGGAACTGATAAGGTACACAGCAGGGCCACGACTGTCACAAGAGCATCATCTGTACTAATTTGAACATGAAAACTGACAAAACCAATTGATGTGAAACATCAAAGAGCTTGGGCGGCCTGGCAGCAGGTGGCAATGCCCGCTTCAGGGAGCAGAAATGGGCCTTGTAGGGGTCCCAGCAGCACAAACAGTAAGCCAAACCTTAGAAGAGATCACCCAGGAGAGGCACACCATGAAATAGATCAAAAGCCAACCTGGTTTTGATGGGCAGCGTCTACAAGTACTCAGACCCCATCTCTCAGAGAGGCAAGGGCCAAAGCATTCAAGTGGCCTAATGTTACCCAGCTGTGCTAACGACCTTCCATCTCCCAATATCCAGCACGGAAACGCCCTGACCAGCACTGTGAGCAGTCAGGACGCACAAGCCCAGAGGCGACGGGGTGCTTGGAGCTGCTCCCTGCAGCAGTCCTAAGAGGCAGAATCACCACCTGCCCTGCGCCAGCGGGAGCCCTCACTCACCACACTGCTGGGCCACGGCCACCATGGTGTAATGGCGAATAAGGCTGGCCACAAAGGGCAGGGCGCTGGGCCGTAGATCCTTGATGACGGCCGACATGAAGGCCCCGGTCAGGGCCTGCTCAAACGTCTTCCGAGCCGGCGTGTCCTGAGCCTTGTAGCGATGGGAGATGATGACGCTGGGGATGGTCTTCTCTGTGAAGCTGAAGACAGAATGAAACCCACCATCAGACGCCCAGCCCCGGGCCACTGGAGCCACACAGGGAGGCCTGGGCGAGTTCATCTCCCTACCTGAATTCCAGCACCAGCTGACATTGTGAATGAGTCTCATCATGAACCTTTACGACCAGTGCCACAAACACCCACACGTGTGCTTAGTATGAGCTTGGGCCATGGCACAGTCTTTTTGTCAGTGTTCCCCATTTTAATAAAGCCAGTGCTTTGATCTTTTATAGTTAAATAAACCAAAATTCTAAGAACTTCAATCAACAAGCAAGCAGGAAAACGTGTGAGAAGCCACACCGAGAATAGATGCACACAGGCCAACCACCCTAACGTGTTTCCTGCCAGCTCCTGCACCCAGGCAAACACACCCAACACAGAATGTTCAGGAAGCACAAGCCACAGTTCCCAAACCTTTCAAAATGGTGCAAGCTTCTTCCAACTCCCACAGAGCCTCTCAGATCTCACCCCACCTACCCCCTGCCACGGTTCTGCCTCTGAAGCTGATAAAACCCACTGAGACCCTGCATTTCCACATGCAACACCTTCAGATGTGAAGAGGGTGGGCACCTGTCTCACCCACCCACAAAGCCATCCCAGCTCCTGCCCCACCTGGGACAGTGCTCTTGAAATGCCCCCGGACTCGAGGTGCTCCAAGCAGCCTCCTGGTTCCCACTCCCACTCTTGCCCAGTGCTCTTGGGGCACCTTCACCTCCAGCTGAGAGACCTGTGGCTGGTCAGCAAATCAGGGCACTGATGCCAATACTGTGACACTGAGAGCAAGCCCACCTTGGCCTGGACCCTGCCCAGCTCGTGGTCATACCCACTGCAGACCATGTAAGCCATAGCAGCAGAGGCGCCAGGCGTGCAGGACACCACAGGGCGCAGGGCAAATGGGACGGGAGCCTCACTCTCTCAAGCCATACACCCACATGGAGGCAACAAAGACGGTAAACAGCGTCACCCCAATTCTCAAGCACCCCAACTTCTCTCCACATTCTGGAGGCCAAGAGAAGCATCCCTAGGTAGAAACACGCGCTCTTTCTGACTTGAAGAGGCATGCAGCCAACACTGAGGACATGGGAGGGCCTCCCTAGCGCACATTCCCACCACGAGATGCCCAGTTCAGGCAGCAGACAGCAACCCACTTGGGGTGGGCCAGGAGCTGGTACAGCGCGTGCTTGTTGTCCTCCAGGCTCATCATGGCCACCAGGAAACACTTGATCACCTCCCATGCCTGCCGCCGGTAGTAGGGCTCTGTGTTGGCACTCTTCAGGCAATCCAGGGCGGTTTCGATGGCCTGCAACAAAGGTACACAAAACTATAGTCTGTGTCAAGTTTGTATTGAAAGCATAATTTCGACAAGTTTCACACGAAGCCACACACAACACAATCTAACAGCAGGCATCCCTCCTACGGCACCCCCAGTCCGTCACGGTACTTGGGGTGGCAGGATCCAAGAGCAGGTAACATGGTCAGGGGAGACTAAGGAGAGCCGCTGAGCTTGGAAGTCTCTGAGGACAGAGCTGCTGGATGAAGCAGAATCCATGCCACACAGAGAATGCTCCTGTTTCTCTCACACACACCCAGACTCTGTGTCACACTCATCAAGGTTCTAGTAGCAAGACAAGTTTCCTGCAGCCACACACTTCTGTCTGGGCCCCAAGTTCAACCTGAGAAATGGCTTTCCTGAGCTCTTCGAAAGGGAGTAAGGTCAACCTAACTACTTTTTGGAAAATCAACACAGCTGCATACACTCTTCTCCTCTTCACTTCAATGAACTCTACCAGGCACAGGGAGAGACACAGTCACACGCACACTTATCTTGAAGCCAAGACCTCGATGCTCATAGCAATCACACCGAACTCCAAGAACTGTCCTGTGCTCCCAACTGCACAAACCCAAGGGGGTGGGGCGGAACAACAGAGCCAGACCCCTGGGTGTGACGAATGCGCCACCTGAGACCCCAAGTGTCTACTGTCGCTGGCAACAGCTAGCAAGGCATGGCAGTAATTACAGACCACTAAGAATCAGTAGAACCTGTGAGCCAGCTGCTAACTGCCAGACACAACATGGCTGGCAAGGAAAGTCACTGGCTCCCAGCACCTAGTGGGCTCCGGGATCCAGCCTCCGCCCACAGCTGTCAGGAAGCACTCCTGTTCACACGGAGGTTTCCATGGCACCATCCCTTGCCTTTATGACCCAGATAAACCTCACCGCTGCCACATTCCAGCTCCTTGGGCCAAAACTACTCCTGAAAGGAGCTGGTGCTATGCCTGGCCGAGGCAGAAGTTAAGCGGAGTCACATGCCTTTGCTTTCTCCAACCCACACTAACCTGCCTTCCCAGGGCAGAGACTCATGGGACCCCACGCTGAGGAAGCGGCATGGGATGAAAGAAAGTGATACTGGCACAAAGATGCCGGCTGGGATGACGTCCAACATCAGTAGAGAATTCTGGCTACCAGTATTCTCCGAGGACAGTGTACCCTCACTCATCCCCCCTGCCCAGTGTTTGGGAAAGTCTGGTATTTAAAAAGAATAAGAAGTTTCAATCAGGGCTCAGAACTGACTGTTGCAGGCATGTGGGGAGTGAACCAGCACACAGAAGATCTGTTCTCGTTCTGTCTGCCTTTTAAGTAAAAATAATAATAATAACTAAAATAAATTTAAAATTTGGGGGAAAAAAAAGGAAGTGTGGGAGGCGGCAGAGCAGCACAGTCCTCTGCTTCTGGCACCAGCATCCCTCATGGATGCCGATTCTAGCGACAGCTGCTCCATTCCCGAACCAACTTCCTGCTGAGCGGGCCTGGGAGGGCAGTGGAGGATGGCCCCAGTACTTGGGCCTCTGCACATGCATGGGAAATCCAGAGAAAATTCCTGGCTCTTGGCTTTGGACTCAGCTCTGGCTCTTGTGGCCATCAGGGGAGTGATGGAAAATCACCAGCAGATGGAAAATCTCTTTCAGAAACCAAACCCACCCACCATGTACAGAAGCTTAAATAAATCAAGCTCTGCTGGGCGATGCCAAGGCCACAGCAAAGCCTGGGCCCCCAAGGGCTGAGCTAAACTGCTTGGCTGACGAGGGACACAGGAGTTTTGGCCTCCGACACACTCGCCTGCCTGTACTCACAAGGCTACTGTGACACTGTCTAAACTCTCAGCCAACACACAAGAGCCGGTCAAGAATCCTGGGCAGACAAGGCCACAGGCCAGCACACGAGCAGGGAAGACCAGCTCAGTCTGGGGCCAAAATCAACCGTGGTCATGAGCCAGGATGGCACACAGCAAGATGCTGGGGACATCCTGCATTCACACAAGGAAACACATTTCTAAAGATCACAGAGGACAGCCAGGAATGAGAGGCCACGAGCCCAGTCTAGGGGGAAAGGGCAGCAAGTTGGGCACTGGACAAGATGGGCCAGCCTGGGTTCTAAATCACGCTGCAGCCAAAGTCTACGGGGAGCAGGAATCTTGGAGTTCAAGGGCGAGAGGGGCCGGGCATCAGGACAGAAGGAATTATGCCAAGGCCCCATGTCCGTGGAGAAACAGCCTGTCTGGGCTCCTGTGAAAGCCCCTTTGGCAGCAGGCTCGGCAGTCTCCCCAGGGTGCCCAACTGCCCACTTCACCTTCTCCATGGGGAGCTGCAGAGACGCCTTGCAGTCAGGAAACTCCACAGTGATGCTAGGGCCTTGAACTTCAGTCACAACGTAGTGCAGCTTCTGGGATTCCTTCAGCATCTTCCGATTACTGCCGCCGAACTTGCCCAGCACACGGTAGGCCACGTGAGAGATGCTGTCGGCAGGGTTGCGTAAAGTGCGCCAGAGAGCCTAAAATTCAACATGCTTGCGTGAAATCATTTCAGGCAACGGCAGTCACAGCTCAAAACCCCAAGTCACAGCGACCCTCCCCACCCAAATAGCTCCCTCTTCCGGGGACACCAAAGTTGCTCCATCCTTCCAGGGACTACAACTTGACCAAAGCATTCAAGCATGCACACGAATGTTGCCTGGTGCTTCTGTGAAACAGACGGAGTGTGCATGCTACAGCCACGCACAGAGCTCCGATGTCGGACAATCACACAGAAGTTGCTCGGGCGCAGATCCACGGCAGCAAGGGACAGAGCCCAAGGGCTTCTCTTTCTGCCTACAGGACTCTATACGGTTGGCAAGCACCACAGCAGGAAGCACGGGTCCCAGCGTCACCTCCATCACAGAACTGCGCCCTCAACACTCAGCTCGCTTTTTGATCGGGGTTAGCATAAGTGCCAGGGATTCCTGCAGGTCACAGTCTCAACGAGCTCCAAACACCTCTATGATGAGGACAAATGTCTCGGCCCAGCCACAGTCACGCTCCACACACCATTTCAGTTCTTAAAAATCCCAATCCTCCCATTTCTTCAAAGAACCTCAATTACGGCTACGAAGGCAGAGTCTTGAGGCCACTCCAGTCCGACCGAGCCTCACATGTCCCTAGAAGCAGGGGTTCCGGGACAAGAGTTCTCGACTTCGGGGCCCACATCCTGCCCTGGTGGGCTGATGGGACTGGAGAGATTGCCCCAAGGATGGCGGATCGCAGTGGCTGACCCTGCCTCTGCTGGGGGGTCCTGAGCCCTGCTCAGCCATCTCTGTCATCCCCATGCTGCTCCCGCATACCTGGGCCGGCACCTGAGCTGCCTTTCAGTACCCACAATGCTGCCCTTGAGACAGGCTGTCAGCCAGCATCCCGCCCCAAGCGACCTCCCCGCCGGCCCAGAGGGAGCCCCAGGGATGCGAGTCAGGAGCGCAGGAAAGTCTCCTGGCCACCTTCTAGTTCACATTGCATTCTAGAGACCCCTGGCATTGGCGGCAGCCAAGTCCCTGTCCAGCAAGCAGGCATCTGACCCCGACGTGGACGGAGTCCTGAGTCTTACAGGGACCGACAAGTAGCTCATGCCTCCAAGGACCACAAGCACGAGTCAGCATGGCAGCTACACGAGGGGCAACCTGGACCCTGAGCCCATCACACCCTCTGAACAAAATCTGCGCCTTCACACTGTCTCCACCATCAGCTGCTCCTTTTCCAGGACTGGGCCGGCAGGCGCCTCACCTGCCCTTCTCAATCTTCCCTCACTACCATATGACTGCAATCTTAGGGTCCCCGTCCACGGCCACAAGGGGAACACACCACCACCTTATGCAGACTGCAGCGCCAGCAGAGTTCTCAGAAAACAAGGCAACTGCAAAGCGAGCTTCCGTTCAACACCCCTGGTATCACTGTCTATGTTCCAAGACATCAGCAGATTCAGGGTGCACAAGCCCGCTGGAGTGCAGACAGACTCCAAGGATGACAAAATCCTCAGGAAAAAAACAGGAACGCATCTGGCGCCCCCTGCAGGCACTGAGGGGTCAGCACACTTACCTGCATGAGCTCAGCCCGCACCGGCTGAATGTGGTCGTACAGGAAATCCGGCTGCAGGTTGTCCACACACAGCTCCAGAGTCCGCAAGCCTTGGCTGACCAAGGTCTGAGAGCCATTGAGCGCGGACACCAGGGGATCCATCAGCATGGGCAGATAGGGCAGCAGAGAGCTCAGCCTCACGGGCACTGTGAGGCACAGCTCCACAAAGAGGTCCTTCATGTGCTGTTTGTGCAGGCCGCTCTGCAGCATGTTCAGACCTGTCAAGGAGAGGGCGGGGACTGACCAGCACCTAGCCAAGTGCACAGCCCAGCTGGCCCCTCTGATCACAAACACCAGCAGCAGGCGCTGTGTGCAGGACTCTGTGCCCTGCGACATGCCCTGTACCCACACCTGCCACCCCTCCCCTAGCGCCCACAGCAGGCTGAAGGCAATGACTGCAAAGCCACATTTCACACTCAGCACAGTAAATCTTATCTAGACATTATGCCCTTAAACCTTAAACTACATTTTAAGTCATTTTTCAAAACTCCTGTGACACTCTTTAGAAGCCCTCTCTGAAGTCACCGACTGCCACACGCTGACAACTCACAGCCTTCCTTATTCAGGCTCCCATCAGGACGCTATGTTCTTATGGAAACATTTGTTCTTCACTATGAGCAGCAGGACGGTGTGTGTGCCGTGTGCCGAGTCCCTCCCTCAGCAGCCAGCACTGGACCAAAGCCAGGAACCCAACCACCTATCAGTGCTGCCTGCCGGAGGCCACCTCAGCAGGAGCTGCCGTCAGGAGCTAGAGCCGCTCCAACAGGGGTGCACATCCGAGCTGCGGGCCCCGGGTCTGCCTCGGGACATTGGTTTTCAATTCCCCTTTTGCATATCATGGAGCCAACCCACCCACATTCGTGAAGATGAGCAAGTGTTTGCTGAATTCCCACCTGCCACCGCCCCCCTTAGGGTCAACAGCCAACAGGTCACCCAGCAGGGCACACCCATGTGGCACTGGCCGCAGCAGAGCTGCGAGTTCACCGGGGGGCTACCACAAAGCACTGGGGTCAGATCCAGGACCACAGAGGATGAGGAGGAGGGGCCCGAAGCCACGCTCCCAGGAGAGGATCCCCAGCAGACAGGAGGGGGAGACAGGCTGGGGACAGCAGCGCGCACAGGGAGGATGCCGAGTGGCCCAGCCAGAACGCCTGCAGACAGATCAGGCCCCCCAAAACCCTTCCCGGAGGACTTCCGGCACACCCTGAGCACAGCATCTCCTAAGCAGCTTTTCCCAACTAGTACTCATGAAAGAAAAACCCTTCAAGTCAGTTCACACCCACAAGCACTGCATGGACCCAAACTGCCCTTCAAGTGAGTGTTTTCAAAGCATTCTGTCCCTGGCCCTCCAGTGCTGATGTCTGACAGCAAAGGGCGGGCCCCCTTCCCGCCTGCCTGCTGACACAGCAAACAAAGCTGAAGCATATATCCTACCCACCTCCCTCCACACCTCAGCCCCACCCGCGTCAGAGGCCCACAAGGGCGGGCATTCCTCAACTCTCTCTACTGTATCAACAATATTAAAAAGAAAATTAACTCACAATTCCTAGTCACAGAAATTGTAAGCTCCTGTTCATGCAAATCACAAACTAACTAGAAAATACTAACAGCCTGCTTTTTCCCTCCTTTTCTCAACCTAGGCATCCCTGATCCGAGTTTTCCAACTCTAACACTTTCTTTCCAGACCTGCTTCCCACACACGAACTCTCCCAAACCTATTCAACCCGAGGAGGAAAGGCCTGAGCACGGCTCCTACAATGTCCCGGCGCAAGGTCACACAAGGCCTCCCCAACCACAACCTTTGCCAGGCACAGGGGATGAACCCCAACTGCCACACATGGCCACGCACAGCCACTCAGAGCCACACTCGGCCATACATGGCCATGCAGAGCCACACAGAGCCACACTCGGCCACACGGAGCCATGCACAGCCACACGGAGCCGTGCACAGCCACACAGAGCCACACTCGGCTACACGGAGCCGTGCACAGCCACACGGAGCCATGCACAGTCACACAGAGCCACACTCAGCTACACGGAGCCATGCACAGCCACACAGAGCCACACTCGGCCACACAGAGCCGTGCACAGCCACACAGAGCCACACTCGACCACACGGAGCCGTGCACAGCCACACAGAGCCACACTCGACCACACGGAGCCGTGCACAGCCACACAGAGCCATACTCGGCCACACGGAGCCATGCGTGGCCACACACTGTCCATGTCCTTACCTTGCAGGAGGTTTGGGAGGAGGGGTAGGAACTCCTGGTACAGGAGGTCATGGCTGCCCCCACCAATAGAGCGGAAGAGCGCCCGGAGCAGCAGGAAGTAGTTGTAGGGCTCCTTGGCAGTCTGCGCAAGCTCCATCGAGCTGTTGACGATCTTGTGCAGGTGAGGCTGTGGGGAAACAAAGGATGAGTGGGCTCCAGGCAGGGAGGCTGCCACGGCAACCCAGGAGTGCGAGGTAACTGAGACCAAGGAAGGCCTTGCTGCCACCCCTGTGCCTCACATTCCCTTGGTCTCCCTCACGTGGCAGCTGTGACGTGGGCCGGGTTGTTTAATGTGACACCTTTCGGCACACGTACGGCAGGGTACTGCACTCTGCTGGCACGGTCACTGCCCTGTGTATCGTGGGAGTACAGTACAGACTGTTTTCTGTGACATTCATTCTGGCACAGTATTCCGACACCCTAGCCTCTCGGTGTGTCCTACGGGCCGATCTGTCTTCTTGTGCGTCATGCTGCACGCTGCATCCAGTGCTGGCAACAATGAAAGCACCTGACGGGGCTGAAGTGCTAGCCACCTAGCCATGGGTCATGAGGAAGCCTTCTGCATCTTTACCTTGTCTGTTATTTCTTTTTAAATATTTATTTATTCATTTTTATTGGAAAGGCAGACAGAGAGGAAGATCTTCTGTCCGATGGTTCACTCCCCAAGTGAGCACAACAGCTGGAGCTGAGCCAATCCAAAGCCAGGAGCCAGGAGCTCCTCGGGGTCTCCCACGCAGGTGCAGGGTCCCAAAGCTTTGGGCCATCCTCTACTGCTCCCCAAGCAGGCCACAAGCAGGGAGCTGGACAGGAAGCAGGGCCGCCGGGATTAAAACCGGTGACCATATGGGATCCTGGCGTGTGCTAGGTGAGGACTTTAACCACTACGGCATCGCATCGGGCCCTAGCTTGTCTGTTATTGCAAACATCAACCTCTACACTCGCGCTCCCACTGTCTACCCTCAGTTTCCCCTGGAAAAAGCTCTGTTCAGATGCAAACAGTGGCAGCATCCAGCTTTCTGTGGCAGCTGAAACACTGTGCCTTGAGAGGAAATGAATTCTGGCAAGGTTTTCCTTTCTGCCACCTGCTGTTCTTAGCAGGTAACGGTGGAAAACTTGCGGGCATTCTCGACTCAAGTGATGAGATCTAACTGTGCAAGATCCTTCATTCTTCAGAACATGAAGTGAACACGAACCAATTCCTGGTCTTGGCTGCAAATGGAGAGGCAAACACGTGTTCTGAAAAAACACTGGCTGCACACCGTCACTTCCTTAAACATCAGTGGGCTCCAGCCTGACCGGGACAATCCACAGGAAGAGACTATTTGGCAGCACTGCTAATCTCAACATACAGGCTTACCTAACCTTCCACGTTTCTCCTCCTAAGTCATCAGATAACCCAAGCTCTGTTTAGAGACCAGGAAATGCTGCCAAGCAGGCAGCAATGCCACCGCATACACCAGTCACCCGGCTTCCCCTCCGAGTGAGAATCAGGTGTGAATACGGACACCCAGCTCGGGCAGCCTCACCTTCAGCATCTGCTCATTTTCAGCTGCAAACAAGGAGACGGAGCCAAAGACCAACTTGAACAGCTTGAGGTACAGGTTGGAGAGCTCCACGTTGGAGCCCATCTCTGGCAGGCGATCCAGGAGATACTCCACCAGAATGGTAGCGAACAGGGCAGAGGTAGTTGGATTCGCCAAGAAGGAATTGGCAACAATCTGGCAGGACGAGAGCCGCTTGTGAGCAGCAGACCGCCCCCCCCGCCCGCCCCACCAAACCCGAATCTGACGCTAAGCAATGAATCATTCACCCATGAGAAGGAAGCCCAACGGGACCGCTGAGCTCTGAGAGCTTCAAACACCAATTCTACGAGATTCTCACCATCAGAAACGAGCAACCTACGTGCAACGATGCTTAATTTCGTCTGGGGACCGGGACTGCTCATGGAAAGCATTTGCTAATGCCACAGCCCATCATTTCTCTAGAGCTCACTCGGCAAGCACAGCTTTAGGTGTGCTAGCTTTACAATCCAAAATACACGAAGCCAGGTGTTCAACTCACGAATAAGAGCTTCTAATCGTTTAAAACAACAAAAAGGGAAAAAACAAAACGACGACAACAAAAGGCCGTGTATACCTGAAGGGCGTAATTTTTTGAGATCCTTTCCACCATGTAAGGGACAGTAGTTTGAAAGATCTCTTTAAACGTCAAGGGATTCATCATGGTGAACACGCCAGCGAAGTGCTCCAGCACCTCCTTCTCCTCCTTCATTCGAACGGTCTGGCAGTTTGCTACGCGAATATAGGTCTGTCCGTTTCCTGCTATCTGGACCTGGTGTCGGGGGGAAGCAACGCCAGGTGTTAAACCAAAGACCACCTGCACGTCCTCCGCCGTGAACTCAGACCACTCGGCCCTTAAACTCAACAGGAAAGCCCCCCCCTCCCCATTTTAAGTTCACTTTTCTCAAGTGTGGAGCATCTTTAACGGTTCACACCGGGAAGAAAATGACAAAGCTCAGCTGTGTTCCCGTACATTCCACTGACGCTGTCTCCCCAGCCGAGCAGCCGAGACTGTCAAGGCCGACACGAGCAGGGGCCACGGTCAGGGCCCGCCCAGTCGCCTCGGCGCCCACCTTGCAAACGGCCTGCCCCAAAGCCTCTGTACCTGATAGATGTCCAAAGCCTGCATGGCGTACTTGACGAGCTTGATGTAGATCTGCGTCTCCTTGGGCTGTAACTGCTTGTTGGGGATGAACTGAGCTTCTGGAAGAGAGACAGCACAGTGAGTCACCAGGAACAAAGCCCGTGAGAACGCGGCTCGCCGGGGGGAGGCCCGCAAGAGCAGCATACCACCAGGCGCTTTACACGACGTTATGCCCCACGTGATGGTCTTGACGCCACACACCAGCGTCTTCACCAGACTTCGGCAGTCGGTGACCTGGAACGTCTGCTTGTCTTCCTTATCTTTCTCTCCTTGCTTCTCAAAGGGCGGCACGGGGGCGGGGGTCACAGGGGTGGCTGGGGTGGGAGGGGGCGGGGCTGGGGCGGGGCCCGGGGCGGCTGGGGCAGTGGGCACCCCGGGCAGGGCCGCTTCCACAGCTCCAAGTTCCGACTGAGGCTTGCACTTCTTAAAAATGGCAGCAAGCTGGTACCGAGCAATGGTGTGGAATTTGAGAACGAAAACCTAACGGGAAGACAAAGTCGAGGAGGGCACACACAAGTCAGATGCCAGTGGAGCCCCGAGGTCACTTGTCTGCTCTAACGAAGCAGGGAAGGCTGGTGACTGCTGGGCACCCCTCCACGCAGGCACACGCCCCACCCTCCCTCTGCCCAGGGGGTGACTGCTGGGCACCCCTCCACTCAGGCACACGCCCCACCCTCCCTCTGCCCAGGGGGAAGAGCAAACGGCCTGACCCAGAACTGCTACAGCGTTGGCCATGGGAATCGTATTTTATCTCTCACCCAGGGACCCACTAGTTCTTCCAGGAGGTGTCTATGGCTGTCTGAGCACTTGGGTGCTGTGTGAGTAAAGAACTCTTTCTAGCACTAAGAGTTCACACCGGCACATTTAGCCAACTCTCTCGGCAGTTCTCAGAGCAGTAATCGCCCTACCCCTACCTAAGGGATGAACCAGCTGGCACAGGCAGTTAGCATCCCACTGCCACCCACATGTGACTGGTCAGTGGGAGCCATGGACCAGACCAGGTGGCTTAACCGTGGGTCCAGCGAGGTGATGGGCCACCTGTAAGTTGGCTCAAGGCCAGGCAGGACCAGGAGCAGAGCCCGCTGGTACCTCGAGCATGCGCATCAGCACGTCTCTCCCATTGCCGCTCTCCTGCTCGCTCTTGGAGCGGATGCAGTCTACCAGGTTCAGCAGGAGCTTGCAGGACATGGTCTGGATGCTGCTGGGCAGGGACTCATCATCAATGTTCTTGGCAAAGAGTTGGACGGCGAGGGAGAGGTCACTGAGGGGCAGGTGCTGGCGAACATGGTGCACGAGGTCGGCCAGCGTGCTGTAGGCGAGGGGCCTGCAGACAGAAACAAGAAGCACGCTCAGGCCTTTGCACGAGATCCTGCAATTCTAACTCCAGCGGATACGTCAAGGCCCAAACGCTCGGGCTTGCTGAAAGACTCACAACACTGAGACCCACCAGCGGCTGGCCCAGACCTGGCTGGCCCAGCTGCTAAGCACCCCAACGTGACGCCCTGCACGTAGGCTCATACCTCAGGGTCTCCCGAGCCGTGTATCCCGAACCGATCAATATGGATTCATCAAACAGCTTATCCATGCATGGAATGAACTCTGCAAGACAAGCGCCACGTGTGGGTCACTCACAACCAAGCGTGGGATCAGGGTGGCCCAGGCCACAGCCTATCCAGCAGTCCACACTTGAAAGAGGGCCTCAGAAAGGACACCAACCAGAAAATCCACAGTCTAGGACAGTGGCTTGTGGTCAAAGGAGGGTCCTTTCCCAGTGCAGCTGCCCAGAGAAGCCCAAAGGAGAGATAGAAGGGACAGCATAGGCCAAGAGGCAGAAACAAGGTGTGAGGCCAGGCAGGTGTCATGAGGGTGGATCTGCTTTCTAAATCCTCTCCGTGACCCCGAGTCGGCATATCCAGGGAAACATGAAACCTGGCTGGGCAGTTCTGTCAGATCAGGGGGCTCTTCAGAGCTCGGCGGCAAGCTCACTGGCGCTGTGACTGCGACACAATCAACATTTCAGTTTCCTTCCATCAAAACTCTGAGACATGATGCTTGCTACCTGTTTAAGCCTCAGAAAACACCATGAGCTTCAAAACGTGCCCTTCAGTATCTCGTTTGATCAGGAGAAAATCTATACACAGCAAGCCATAAGGGGACCCTGCAAAGCAGGCCCCAGAGCACAGCAGGGGCTCCAGGCATGGAAGGCACCCTGGGCCACAGCCTGGGCACTGCACGAGCAGGGCAGCACTCTGCCAACCTTTGATGAAACCACACACGCTAGATTTCGGGGGTGAATTCTACCCCCCCCCTTTTTTTTTTCATTTATTTTTATTGGAAAGGCAGATTTCCATATAGGAGACAGAAAAACCTTCCATCCACTGGTTCACTCCCTAAGTGGCCACAATGGTGGGAGGTGAGCCTATTCGAAGCTAAGAGCCAGGAGCTTCTTCTGGAGCACCACATGGGTGCAGGGTCCCAAGGCTTTGGGCTATCTTCTACTGCTTTCTCAGGCCACAAGCAGGGAGCTGGTTGGTGTGGAGCAGCCAGGACATGAACGTGCACTGAGCCATTGTGCCAGGTCTCTCTGGGGTGACCATGAAAACGTGCTTTAGAAACATCTCTGTTCCTCCCAGAGCCATCCACATGTAGTAGTCCCACCACTGTCTGTAAGACTCACTGATATTAACAAGAACTATGTTAACTAGGACCGTAGCCTTCCTATTCCCACCTAAAACCTGCGTAAGGAAGCCCCGTGGCACCTCTGAGTTTGCTCTGATTTACAAACTGGTGGCAAATGAAACATTTAAATACAGAAAGTTCCCAAGAAAAGTGACAATCATCTGTAAGGAACCAGACATAGCTTCACACTAACAGGCTGGGGAGAACAAATACATAGGTACTTTTAAATCATCGATCAATATTGATTTTTTTTTAAAGCATTATGTTCTTATGCATAACAATTAGCATAAAAGGAGGACAGGAGGGGGATGGTCTCCCAACCCTGGAGACTCCCAGATCCTCACCAAGGACTATCAGTCTGAGCCCCAGGGACTAGATCCCGACCACCAAGGAGACCACGGGGAACTGGAGTGCCCTCGTAGGCCGAGGACTCTGAGGTCCCCACTCCCTATTGGATCTCCCACACGGGCTGCAAGAAGCCAGAACCCTCCTCACAAGGTCTAATGACATCGGAACAACAGCCAGGAGCCCTGAGCAGTCCTCAGAAACAGAAGTCAACTTCCTTCGGGAGAGGAGCTTTCTCTGGGCCTTACTTAGCTCTAACTTTGGTTCCCCACTCTCTCTTGCAATGGCCATCAGGGTGGCTCCAGAGCCCCCAAAATTTGATCAGACAGAGAGAGACCAATAAAGAAAGCTTAAAACACACAAAAAAAGGTCAGCTTGGACTCCCATATGCTTTACTAGGTAGGACACAAAGATCAGTTACTCCTCACTAAGGTATTGACAATTTCTCTGCACACTCCTCCTAAAACTGTTCTGTTCCAGGGCCCAGTGCCGTAGCCTAGTAGCTAAAATCCTTACCTTGAGCGCACTGGGATCCCATGTGGGTGCCGGTCCTAATCTCAGCAGCTCCACTTCCCATCCAGCTCCTTGCCTGTGGCCTGGGAAGGCAGCAGAGGACCCTGCACCCACACGGGAGACCTGGAGGAGGCTTGTGGCTCCTGGCTTCGGATCGATGCAGCACAGGCCATTGCGATCACTTGGAGAGTGAATCATCGGACAGAAGATCTTCCTCTCTGTCTTTCCTCCTCTCTGTATATCTGACTTTGCAATAAAAATAAATAAATCTTTAAAAAAATATGTTCTTGGGGGAATCCTATAGCCTATGAAACTGTGTCACATAATACAATGTAATTAATAAAAAAAAAGTTCTGCTCCTCAATCGTTAACATATGGCATGTTAGTTACAAGCCTGTTTGGACTATCCTAAAATTCACAAAGCTCAGTAAAAATCATGCTTGAATACTATAAGTTGTTAAATATAAATATGAATATGAAGAAGAGAAAGGCATGAGACAGCTGAACAGTACCCTATAACCATTTTAAGGCTTATAGCAGTCGGTTATGTATAAACTAAAATTGAGATGTCAATCAAGTAGTTACAGGATGTGGTTAAGAACTTGCATTTTCTGGGCCTGGCACAATAGCATAGTGGTTAAAGTCCTCTGCCTCGCATGTTCCAGGACCCCACATGGCTGCCGGTTCTAATCCCGGTGGCCCCACTTCCCATCCAGCTCCCTGCTTGTGGCCTGGGAAAGCAGTCAAGGACGGCCCACAGCCTTGGGACTCTGCAACCGTGTGGGAGACCTGGAGGAAGTTCCTGGATCCTGGCTTCGGATCGGCTCAGTTCCAGCCGTTGCAGTCGCTTGGGGAGTGAACCGTGAGACAGAAGATCTTCCTCTCTGTCTCTCCTCATCTCTGTATATCCACCTTTCCAATAAAAATAAATAAATCTTAAAAAAAAAAACTTGCATTTTCTAACACATTGGTCACTGAGTACCATTGTCAATTGACTCCATGATGTTGTAAATTTCCACGGTTGTGGCTTTTCATTGGAGCGGATGATATTCTGCCAGCTCTGCTTTCAGATCAGGGACAGTCTCCCAATGAAACTGTTGAATTTATCTGGACAATAAGATGCTGGACTCTCTGCATGGTCCATGTCCGCAATGATGGAATTATGACTGGTTATGAGCTGTAATAATATGGACGAAATCAATACGAGGGGATGGCTTGGGGAAGGGTTGGGGGAATCTCAGAACTTATGGAACAGTGTCATAAAATTAAATTTTAAAAATTAAGCATAAATACAGAAGCAATCCATCATTTGCACAGCAAGGGGAATGAAAACGCTGCTCAGAGCTCACCTAAGGACTGTGAGCTGTGTGTCAGCCCACAAGCAAACAGAGCTTTCAGTTTGAAGACATGCAGGGGCCAGCACCAACGCTCAGCTGGCAAATCCTGCATGTTTCAAGTGCTGGTAGCTCACATGGGTACTGGTTCATGTCCCGGCTATTCCATTTCCCACCCAGCTCCCCGCCTGTGGCCTGGGAAAGCAGCAGAGGACGGCCCAAAGCCTTGGGACCCTGCACCCACATGGGAGACCTGGAAGAAACTCCTGGCTTCAGAATAGCTAAGCTCTGGCCACTGTGGCCATCTGGGGAGTGAACCAGTGGATAGAAGCTCTTTGTCAGTCCTTCCTTCTCTATAAATCTGCCTTTCCAACAAAAATAATAAAAAGAAAGGCAATCAGAAGGCACAAAAGTATTAAACGACTCCATTAGCTATGCTAAGGAAATTATTACTTCAGTCATGAAATCGTAGAGAAGATAAAGGGTGACCCTGCCACGAGGCAAGAGGAGGCAGGCAGAGGCAGAAGCAGGCCTCAGGGAGGGGGCACTGCAGAGGCAGAAGCAGGCCTCAGGGAGGGGGCACTGCAGAGGCAGAAGCAGGCCTCAGGGAGGGGGCACTGCAGAGGCAGAAGCAGGCCTCAGGGAGGGGGCACTGCAGAGGCAGAAGCAGGCCTCAGGGAGGGGGCACTGCAGAGGAAGAGCACCCCCACACGGCCCCAGACACCGCGCAGAGGGATACCGAGCCCACGCCACGGACGGCCACGGCAGGCCAGACGTACGGTTTCGCAGCTCCGTGGTAAGGATGTGCTTTGCGGCGATCAGGAGCTCCTTTCGGAGGTGTGCGGTCTCTGCTGGACAATTTGAAAGTAACTGTAGCATGCCTTTCACCATCTGCTGCGAGTACTTGGTCACCAGCTCCTGAAAAGGCAAGGAGCAACTGTCACCGACAGGGGAAGGACACACGGCTCACAGTCAGCGAGAACCCACCACTGCGGGAGACCCAGAAGGGCCTGCACGTGTGTGCCTGCACGTGTGTGCACTGCCAATGCGGAAGGACACACAGCAACACACGAAGCCGCCGCCTGCACACAGGCTGACTGCACTCCCCCCCCTCCCCTTCCCACAATGTTGTGTAAGCGGGGAAAAGCGGCAATTAAACACTCAGTCACCCCAGGAATGTGGGTTGTGGGGGGCTCCAGTGCTGATTAACCCAGGATACCTCTAATCACAGCCTCCCCTGAAGTGTTTTTGGAAGGTTAAGTTCCCAAGATAGCATCTAGATTGTCTAAAAAAGCACTGCTTTGGAGGGCCGGGGGGAGAAAGGGCGCACTTGGGAACACCCACACTTGCTAGCTCCCATCTGCTTCTTCACCCGCCATCCCCAGCCCTGAAGAGCAGGTGCCCCACTGGGAGGAGAGGGAGGAGCACTGCCTCCCAGCCTACAACAGCAGGAGTCAGAGCTGGACTCGAACCCAAACTCTCCAAGGGAAGCAGGCACCTACCCACTAGGCTAAAGACCCACTAACCCAGGCTTCCCCTGACCTTCCAGTCTCTCAGCGCTGTATACCATCGTGATCTAAATACACTTAAGGTGGGGGGAACTTTTCATGGTTTTACGCTAAATACTCCAGCGTACATATTTTCATGTTATGACTTTCTGGAACAGGTAGCACAGCAAAGGTAGAAAACAAATCAGAGTTTGCCAGAGCTTAGAGGGGAGAAGAAGCTAAGTTTAACGTGCAGGAGAACGTTGCACGAGGATGGGAAGGCTCTCCACTTTGATGTGCTGGTGATTAAGAAACTTGAAATTCAAAGTGCACATCTACGGCAGGTACATCTGATCATATCACACACAACGTGAAACTCAGCACATGCAACACCAACCCACAAGTGACAGATTTACCTGGTAAATTCTGATGATATAAGCTAGAAATGACAAAGTTTTAATCTGGGCAGCGATGAAGTCAGCATACAACTCCTTGTTGTAAAGTTTGTGTTGCCTGAGTGGGAACGGACAGGAGTTGCAGCATTAGTGCCAGCCCTTCAGTATGCCTCCAAAGCCACCAACTACTCAACCCCATGGCTCAGGTGGCATTGCCAGCCCTTTGGTATGCCTCCAAAGTGCCCACTCCTCAACCCCATGGCTCAGGTGGCAGTGCCAGCCCTTCAGTATGCCTCCAAAGTGCCCACTCCTCAACCCCATGGCTCAGGTGGCAGTGCCAGCCCTTCAGTATGCCTCCAAGGCTGACGACTCCTCAACCCCATGGCTCAGGTGAGCACGTGAGACGAGAGCAGCAGAGCACAGACCACTAACACTCCACACCGCTGCAGCCCCGTGGAACGTGGCCGGCCTTGAGTGCCACAGCCCCAACAGCTCACCACATCGTCCCACCACAGCAGCACTACAACCCTTCCCCAAGGAGCCACTGCGACTCAGGCAGGACGAGCCGGCACACCTCCCTGAGAGGGGCTCCCTGGCAGACCCTGCCCTGAGCCTCAGCCGGAGGGGCTCCATGGTGTTTGGTGCAAGAACGGCCTCAGAGCACAAAGACAGTCAGCCGGTCAGAGGTGCCCAGGCAGGTGAGAGGAGGTAGGAGTGACACGTGGACCCCAGATGGGAGAGTACAGCAATACCGCACAAGACGCCACAAGTGCACAATCCACACCAGCACAGGTCATTTTCTCAACCTCCCAAACCACGGAACTGCACAAAATCTCATCACTGAGACGCGAGCACAGACCCACATAGTTCACAAAAATTCTAACATCCACCATTTTCATGTGTTAAGAACAGCAACAGCAAGTGCACTAGGACTCAAAACCGCATCCCCGTCAGGCAGCTGGTGTCCGGGGAAATCTCACCTGGCTTGTGCAGATACCTGAATGGCAATGGTATTCATAATCAGAGGCACAAACTCAGCGACAACATTGTGGATATTTAGCTTGTAGAGCTAAAAGCAAACACATCACATGTTGGAACTGGGACAGCAATCACAGGGGCTTGAGGAGCTCCGTCGGCGTGCTGTCCCACGCACACCTGCCATGAGGATCAGAGGGGCACACTTACCTGGTACATTAACACAACAATGATGGGCAGCTCCGCCAGCACCTTCAGTGAAAGCGACCCTCTGGGGATGACGGAGTGCTGGGGGCATGCAGAGAGACGTGGTGAGCGCCAGCTCAGGAGCCCCATGCCCACCACCCCACGCCCCACCACACTAAGGCGAAAGCTTTTACGCTTTGCAACATCAGCACCAAGAGTAAATGCTTCGGGAAAAGTTAACGTGCCAGAAATTCAAATTTAAGATACAAAAATTACTCCCTATCCCTCAGACACAGTTCCACTCAGGTACTTCTCCTACTTATTGTACAACAGGGCTGCTGGTGTGTTGCTGGTGACTGGCTATGAGCAATTATGGACTGAGAAATAACGCTCTTCACAGAAGAGGACTCATAAAAAAGTTAAGAAAAATGTCAGATTCAAAATACAAGTGGGCTATGGCTGTGAACAGGCAAGAATAAACAAAACCAACCAACCGGAAAAACCAGACCCAAAGGAATGACACACAGACAAGTACCTAATTCAAAAATTCAAGAGAAGAGGAACTAGTTTCATAGTCTCAAATTCATCCTGACACCAATGGAAAAACTCCGCACAATCATCTGAGTAAGGCAACCAGATGATACAGTATTTTGAAGCTGATACACAGTAACTATGCCACCTGCACCTGCAGACTCAGCGACACTCCCCTCAGGAAACCCCACAGGCAGGCTTCCAGAGGGGGAGAGCAAAAGGATCCATCACTGGGCCTCCCTTCCAGAATCAGAAACCCCAGTGGAGGCTGGGACGTGCCCTGAATCACTGTCTGACGATTTGATCTGCGGTTTCAACAGACCTCGTTAATGCCACAAGACGCAAGGGCAGGGACAGAACGGAGTCCCCCAAGCAGGGTCTGCCACAACCCTACACCGTCATCATTACGCCCGAGCCTCAGGGGTGCCCAGCAGCTCACTGCTGCCACAAGCAGCTGCACAAGACAAACACCTCCAGAGAGCCGGCGTGCAGACGGAGGCGCCTGCGAGGTCAGCCCCTCACTCCTCCCTCGGTGGGGCGGAGGAGCACCGGCATGAGCCACGCAGACGAGCGCACACTTACCGTGCGTGTCTCGCTGTCCTCCCGCTCAGGATTCACCTTCACGGCAATCGTTGTGATCATACCAACCATTTCCGGGGCTGGGACCGTGTTTTCGGGGATCACCTGCGGGTTCTCAAAGTAGCGGTTCTAAACAGAAGGAGAGAATGGCGGGCTACAGTCACACACACTTGTGCTCCCCAGAATCAACCAGACACCAGGCAGAAGAAACCAAAACTAACGGTCTCCCTTTCATTGTTTCTTCAACCAGACTGCTCCAACTTCCCTTCAGAAAAAGCAACAGATAAATGTAACTAATGGATTCAAGCTGCAGTGAAAACATACCACTACTTTTGGAAGCTCCTTGTAAATCTGTTTCACAAAATCCAAGAAATGATGAATCTAGAAACAAAACAGAAAAAAAGACACCTTCATTACAGAAGCTCGATGCTTGCAATAAATCAAGATTTCAGTGCTCTTATGTAAGAACTCATAAATCAGGTAAGGAAAATGCCACATAAAATACAAACAGGCCACAGACATGAACAAACAAACTGACTTCAAAGGACTGCCAAGCAAGGAGAGTCGCTCATTCAGACAGAGCCAAGGGCAGAAAATGAACAGAACCTCTTTCAGAAAGCACACATGGTGCTGCAGGGCTATGACCGAGGAGGATTCACTAGTGCAGAAGGTGCCACAGAGCACAAAAGCTCCCCAGACGTCACAGGCAGGTGCTTCCCAAAGTCCATGCACAGAAGGAATTGGGTACTAAGTTCCTCCAGTGTTAAATGTGCTAGACACATTCCCGGAACTCACCCAGGGTGCCGCTGCCAGGCCCAGGGTGCCCTGCCAGGCCCAGGGTGCTCCCACCAGACCCAGGGTGCCGCTGCCAGGCCCAGGGTGCCCCCTGCCAGGCCCAGGGTGCTCCCTGCCAGACCCAGTGTTCCCCTGCCAGGCCCAGGGTGCCCCTGACATGCCCAGTGTCCCCCTGACACGCCCAGTGTCCCCCTGACACGCCCAGGGTCCCCCTTGCCATGCCCAGGGTGCCCTGCCAGGCCCAGGGTGCTCCCACCAGACCCAGGGTGCCCTGCCAGGCCCAGGGTGCTCCCACCAGACCCAGGGTGCCCCTGTCAGGCCCAAGGTCCCCCTGCCAGACCCAGGGTGCCCCTGCCACGCCCAGGGTGCCCTGCCAGGCCCAGGGTGCTCCCACCAGACCCAGGGTGCCGCTGCCAGGCCCAGGGTGCTCCCACCAGACCCAGTGTCCCTCCTGACACGCCCAGGGTGCCCCCTGCCAGGCCCAGGGTGCTCCCACCAGACCCAGGGTGCTGCTGCCAGGCCCAGGGTGCCCCCTGCCAGGCCCATGGTGCCACTGACAGGCCCAGGGTGCCCCCTGCCAGGCCCAGTGTGCCGCTGCCAGGCCCAGGGTCCCCCTGCCACGCCCAGGGTGCCCTGCCAGGCCCAGGGTGTCCTGACAGGCCCAGCGTCCCCCTGACACGCCCAGGGTGCCCTGCCACGCCCAGGGTGCCCCCTGCCAGGCCCAGGGTGCTCCCTGCCAGATCCAGTGTCCCCCCTGCCACGCCCAGGGTGCCCTGCCAGGCCCAAGTTTTACGTTGTTTCTCACCTCAACACCCTACTCTGCTTCCTGCAGCTCACTCTGGCACCAAGGGCACTATAACACTGACTATTCTAGAACAGTTCACAGCACAGACTCAAAGCTAGCGTCCCCCCAAAGTCACACAGCCGTGACCTGCACAGCAGAGACCCAACCCAGCTGCGACTTCTGAACCAAAACGACAAGCAACTTCTGCCGAGACAAAATAAACACTGCAGCAACCCAGACAGGCCCGCCAGCTGGACCGGCTAATACATTTCAATTTCTGAACAAATCCAGCAAGCACCTGAGACTGACATTCGAAAAACAGAAAGCAAACCCATGAAGAAGTGCTCCCAGTTTAAGCTTCATTCCCAACACATAAAAGCAGCACACAAACAAACGTCAAGAACAAAGCACCCACAGAGCTGGCGGAAGTCGGCACTCTGCCGAGTCGCTGTCAGAAGCAACTTACTTCTTGTGTGATTGGTGGCCGGAACTGTTTATGCAGCTCAATAATTATTCTTAGGCAAATAAGAACGTTTTCTTCATTTTCCGTCTGAAAAAAAAAAAAGCATTAAAAAAGTTGCACTTCTGAGGTCTTTTTGGATACTCATAAACCCAGAGACCATCATGACTGGGACCATCCCACCAGCAAGCCCACTGGGAGCAACTGACCAGGAACAAAGGTCTTAGCGGCCCAACTGACACTTTTCACAGCTTGAAAATAGACTGAACACACCAGATCCAAACTCAGAAACTGCACACGGACATGAGACCACAGAGGCCGATGCCACATCTGACCTCATGTGTCAGGGTCACAGTTGAAGTGCAATATACAAGACTACCTCCAGGCTATACGTACCACATGTACACTTTTATATATATATATTTATATAGTGTTTATTAAACCAGGGACCTGTCAGATGGCTGGGTTGGGCCGGTGGAGGAACAGAGCGCTCACAGCCTGGAGGGCATCTCATGGGACCAGCCCCCACACTCCCGTGGCCACAGAAGGCTGGCTCCTGCGTGGCACCCCCACATGTGCCCAACGCCACTATTACAAAAGTGAACAGATACAACTCCCGTCTCCTTTTACAAACAACAGGTCCCCATCCCCTTGCCAGCAGAGGAGGGGAATAAGGGTGAAACGGACATTCTGTCAAAAAGGCAACAGTGTTTACAAAATGAAGACAGAAGGAGGGACAGGCCCAGGGCTGCAAACTGAGACCTGCCCCAGGAGCCTGTGTGTGAGTGTGAGTGTGTGCAAGCCAGAGTGTGTGTGTCCTCAGGGTACCTGTGTCCAGGAGGCTCTGGAAGCTCACGGATGGGGCCCCAAGACCCACGAGCTCTGTAGGGGAACTCTTAGGGGCAGAGCTTCAGGGTTGATTCCCATCCTGAGGTTGGGGGACCCCAGTCCAGAGCAAAGAACTTGCAGGGCTGGGATGAGTGGGTCCCAAGCTTCCAGGGGTCCTGAAAGAATTGACTTTGCCCAATAGCACCTCACAGCTGGGCACAGGGCTCTGGGACACACCTCCGCGGGCCTGCCTGTCCCCAGGCAAACCTACAAAGTCTGAGATTTCCAAAACCCACAACCTTTCCAGTGCCTAGAATCTCGGTAAAGGACTACAGCCACCTTGTATTGTGAAAGATGAGAACGACGGCCTAGTGACCGCTGCTGAGCATGGCAACTCTGCGAGGCAGCGACACCCACACGCCACCCGACCAGGCGAGTTCTCAGAGAAGTTAAGCAGCAAGGCTTACAAAGCCCAGGCATGAAACAGCACAGCCCACACCTGACCCCAACACGATGCCTCTCCAAGCTCATCCTCCCAAGGGGCCATCCAATCAATTCACCAATCTTCAAGTGCGCCAGCTTTCATAAAAATGTGAGCTGGGGACATGGAGGAAAGGGACAATTCACACTTTTTTTTTAAAGAAAGTTGTCTTCTGGGTTTTTATTCTGTTGTTCTCTTTTTTTAAAGGATTTTTTTTTTTTTTTTTTTTGCAAAGTCAGATATACAGAGAGGAGAGAGAGAAAAAATTCTTCCATCCATTGATTCACTCCTCAAGTGATCGCAACGGCTGGTGCAGCGCTGATCTGAAGCCAGGGGCCAGGAACTTCCTCCAGGTCTCCCACGCGGGTGCAGGGTCCCAAGGCTTAGGGCCGTCCTCGACTGCTTTTCCAGGCCACAAGCAGGGAGCTGGATGGGAAGTGGGGCTGCCAGGATTAGAACTAATGCCTATATGGGATTCTGGTGCGTGCGAGGCGAGGACTTTAGCCCCTAGGCTATTGTGCCAGGCCCAACAGTTTTTTTATTCCTAGGGCAGGCCTTGTGGCATCACAGCTAAAGCTACCACCTCTGACACTGGCATGAACAGTCTCAGGCAACCCACTTGCCATGCAGCTGCCTGTTAATGGCGTGGGCTAGGAAGGCCAAAGTGCGCCTGCCCCCCACATGGGAGACGAGGAAGCTCCTGCTTCCTGCCAGCCTAACCCTGGATGTTACAGCCATCTTGGAAGGTGTCTCTCCCCACTCACTTCTCTCTCAAATAAATAAATAAATCCTTAAAAAAAATTTTTTTTTTATTCCTGTGAATCAGAACCTAAGCGAAACAGCAGTTGTAGAACACTGATTTTTTTACCGCGACAAAAAGAATTACTGCAGGTTTCTGATACAGCTCCCTACAAAGACGTCACTCCCCCAAAAGTTACCTCTAAAAAGCGGAACATCACAGACAAAACGTTTTTTGTATGAGGACGAAGATGTTCATTGGTCGGTATTCTATGAATTATCTCCAGTACTAGTTTCCGCAGTTGCTGGTAAGGAAAAACAAAGAAAGATAAAGCACATTTGCACCCAGCACGAGTCAGACCAATTTAACTGCAATCCAAAGTAGATACTGCCAATTCCCACTCAAAAATCCTACAAGTGCTTTTCAAAGAATTCACAGAAAATGTGTACTGCAAAAAAAAAAAAAAAAAAAAAAAAAAAAAAAAACAGAACAGATTTTGAAACTTCTTCCCACAAAACAAACTTGTACCAACTTGCTAACATCAAATCTGAACGGGCTCTAGTCGGGAGGCATTAGCCAGGATGAGGCACCAGGGCGAAAGGAGCCCCTAACGTCACTAAGACGAATTCTGCTCAAGTTGAAGAACGAACAGCAAACTTTGAATATTCCCCCACTTGGGCTTCACCAAACTACTGGTGCTTTACAAAAAAAATCCTGGGGGACACTGCCCGTAGGAACCAAACGGGGGGACACTGAAAACGCAGCCCATGCACGTCAATACAGGTCAATCCGGGAGGAACAAATGCATCCTGTTTGTGCCCTAACTGAAGAGGAATGAGGTGCACACAACAGTCAATACGGCAGACGTGCCACCTGGCCCAGCTCCCTGGGGCGCTGGAGTGCGGCCGCGCCCTGCTGATGGGTCCCTAACTGCTGCTCAAGGAGCAACAGGCGGATCACCCCCTTACAAGCTCCAACACAAACACAAAGTAACAATGTGGCCAGGTAAGGAGCAAGGTCACAGCCAGCTTGCTGGGCTCCCCAGGCACTGTGCGGACCTCCTGCAGGGCCAGCCTACAGCCTCGGCTCATTAGGAGAGGGTTTCAAAAAAGCCAAAGCTTTAGCAGAACACTCGGCTTCCCCCGGCTCTGGTCAGGACTGCTCCAGCCCGCCCTCCCTCAACACCAATTTGGGGAGAGAGAGTTTTAATGGACAATCCCCACGCATCAACTCCACAGGCCTCATTTGGCACCTTCTGATTTGTTTCCTAATGGTAGGGAAAAAAAAAAAAAGCTAAAGACCCCCTGATTTTCTTTAGATAACAATGTAAAAAAGACAGCAAAGACAAGGCTAGAGACCCAGACCCCCTCCAGGGAGGTTAATAAACTGTCTCCAACTCAATGAAGTTGATGTTGAATTTTTCATTGGATTCTTTTCATCAATCTTTTGGAAGCCCCTTGTATAACCAAGTATCAATCAATTAAGCCTACTTTCCCCTTTAAGTAGTATTTCCTGAAGGATTCTGTGGGAAAAATATGGAGTGAAGATGAAAAAAAAAATCAAACAAGAACTAAATTGACTTCACTGGTATTATGGAAATCTGTTAAAGTTCCTTTTCAGAGATGTATGTTTAGGTATTACCCAAAAACAGAGCTTGGGACGCTGGCAAACTGGAGAGCTCGGCTTCAGTGCCAGCTACTCCACACTGCCAACCCAGCTTCCCGTCGGCGCCAACGGCCCAAGGACTTGGTCCTGGCCTCGGTCTGCCACGGGGCTTGCTGTTACAGCCATCTGGCCAATGAATCAGCAAACAGGAGGCATCTTTTGACTGTCCCTGCCTCTGTCATTCTTTCAAACAAGTAAGTATTTTTTAAAAGTACTAAAACAAAGTATGTGGAAGAGTGTGACAGATAAAACGAAACTGGTCATGTGTAAGAACTGAAATGAGTGACAGCGGGCGAGAGGTCTAGGGCTGCCAGGAAAGCACTATTGACAACGTGCTGTGCGCATACACGCACGCTCAACTGCAAATGAACACAACATAAAGTGTCAAAAGACAGCCAAGACAAAATAAAACCACGACAGCTAAGCGAGGAGGTCACGGCTTCGGACAAAAACCAATGGCAGCTCATCTTCCCGGTGGCACCAGGTGAGTGAGCCCAGGCCGCAGTGCCCGGCAGCACCACCCACTCTCGCCCCTCTGGCTGCACACGTTACCTGGGCCGGCTTCTCCTGAAGAAACTGGACCTCTCCGTCCTGAAGGAAGGTAAGAAACCGCGGGATAATATGTTCCAGGAATGTAGAGTACTGGGGCGACGATGTCACGTTCTAACGGCAGAGAGGAAAGAAACACCCTTTAAGTGTTTGTGTATTTATTTTTTACTTCAAATTCACATATGACCTCAACACGGTGTGGAAACCACTCCGCAAGGCCAAGCCACCCCCGGGTTCTGTGCTGAGAGCGCTCCGGCTGCATCAGGACCACTGCTGCTCCGGAAATCCAATTTAACGGCCCGGGGAAGGCATCAAATGCAGAGCAGAAGATGAAAGATCTGAGGCTGCCTCATCCCCGAAGGCCATCCTCCAAGAGGAGTCTCCCAAGAGCAGTGAGGTGCCTCAGCCACGCAGAGAAACCCACGCCGCCCGGGGCTCCGTGCAGAGAGCAGGGCCAGGACGCAGCCGCACGCCCACCAGCTCTACACAACACAGCTTCTCCCCACACTCTGCGGGTCACAGCACAGCATGACCCAGGTACTCGGCCCCTGCCACCCTCGAGGGACCCCCAGGAGTCCCAGCCCAGCTCTGGCCACCGCAACTTACAGATGGAAAATTCTGTCCTTCCCTCCATCTGCTTTTCAAATCAGTATCTGACTCAATCTTACTAGCATTTACCCAGTAATTCAAAGGCCCATACAGAGACTAGGAAGCATTTTATCTGTTGAATCTAATCTTACTCTCTGCGTAAGGCCTTATCATTCCCATAACAAAAATAAGAAATACAACTTTCTCATCTCTTTGGGAAACTAACCAGCACCCCAGTAAACCTTAAAGCTGTGCAGACTTTGAGATGCCTTTTGTCAGGTGCGGAACAAGGAACCGAGCCAGACAGTGAATTCCCAGGGAAATACCCACAGTGCAGCCCACGGCCACCAGGCTCTCCGCCTGCGTGCATTTCCTGATGTGCTAAGCAAGCTGCATCCAGGCAGGGCCAAAGCTGCAAGCTGAGACAAGAAACCACACAACCGAGGTAGCCCAAGCGGGCAGAGCGGGCAGGGCAGAGGGCAACGGGCTGCTTCCCTGTCACGTTCCTTGGAGTGGCAGGGGTACGGGCCGCACGAAGGGCAGCAGGGTAACGCTTGCCAGAGTCTGACTTCAGGAAGGCATTACAAGTGGAGCACAGTTACCATAATGGAGTTCAAGTCCAGGCAGAGGGCAAAGACCTACTTCACACCCTGATAACATGCCAGCCACCACTCCCATGTGGCTAGGAGGACCACGACGCCAGCCCTCACAGAGCCACAGCTGGGCATCTGCTGAGCATGGAAGCTGAATTCCCCCAACAAGTTACAGGGTCGCTGGGAACCTTGTGTTTTCCAGAGATTCTCCTAGCCAAAAGGAGCTCTACGCAAGCTCAAGGAGTCAGCTGAACAACATACTACAACAGCTGCTATCAACACTGAATAGTCGTGTGGCTGGTACCGGAGTGCAGGGAGTGAAGCGGCCACCTGCAGCACTGGCATCTCATATGGGCGCCAGCTAGTGTCCTTGCTGTTCCCCTTCCGATCCAGCCCCTTGCTAAGGCCCCTGGGAGAACAGCAGAAACTGGCCTAAATGATCGGCCCCTTGCTACCCACATGGGAGACCTGGAAGCAGATCCTGGCTTTGGCCTGGCCCAGCCTTGGCTGCGGAGGCCTTTAGGGGAATGGGCCAGGGGGTGAAGTTATATCGCCCTCTGTGTCTAACTCTATATTTCAAATAAGTAAGTAAATATTAAAATGTAGGCCCAGTGTGAAAGAATAGTGGTTAAAGTCCTCGCCTTACATGCACCGGGATCCCATATGGGCGCCAGTTCTAATCCCAGCAGCCCCACTTCCCACCCAGCTCCCTCTTGTGGTCTGGGAAAGCCGTGGAGAATGGCCCAAAGCCTTGGGACCCTGCACCCATGTGGGAGACCCGGAAGAATTCCTGGCTCCTGGCTTCGCATTGGCTCAGCTCCAGCCGTTGTGGCCGCTTCGGGAGTGAACCATCAGATGGAAGATCTTCCTCTCTGTTTCTCCTCCTCTCTGTATAACTGCCTTTCCAATAAAAATAAATAAATCTTAAAAAAAAATCTTAAAATGCATTTATGTGCATAGAGTCCCTATCACAATGCATTAAGAATGTCGTCAGCATAAACCAAACTTAACCACATGCAGAGAAACAGGAAGCAACTATAAACAACCATCATGAACACCATCCACAGGGTACAACCTCAATTATGGACAAGGAATTTACAGAGAAGTAAAATCCATGTAGAATCAAATAGAAATTCATTTTTTTAAAGATTTATTCTTATTACAAAGTCAGATATACAGAGAGAAGGAGAGACAGAGAGGAAGCTCCTCCATCCAATGATTTACTCCCCAAGTGACCACAACAGCCAGTCCAAAGCCAGGAGCCTCCACCAGGTTTCCCACTCAGGTGCAGGGTCCCAAGGCTCTGAGCCATCCTTGACTGCCTTCCCAGGCAGGTCACAGGCAGGGAGCTGGATGGGAAGTGGGGCTTCTGGTATTAGAACTGGCGCCCATATGGGATCCCGGAATGTTTAAGGCAAGGACTTTAGCCACTAGGCTACCGCACCAGGCCCCAATAGAAATTTGATAACTAAAAATCAAAAAAAAAAAAAAAAAAACTAAGAAAAAAAGGGGCTAGAACAGTAGCCTAGTGGCTAAAAGTACTTGCCTTGCGCGCGTTGGTATCCCATATGAACTCCGGTTCTAGTCCCGGTGGCACTGCTTCCCATCCAGCTCCCTGCTTGTGGCATGGGAAAGCAGGCGAGGACGGCCCCAAGCCTTGGAACCCTGCACCCACATGGGAGACCTTGGAAGAGGCTCCTGGCTGTGGATCAGCTCAGCTCTAGCTATTGTGGCCCTTGAGTAGTAAATCATCGGATGGAAGATCTTCCTCTCTGTCTCTCCTCCTCTCTATATATCTGACTTTCCAATAAAAGTAAATAAATAAATCTTAAAAAAAAATAAATAAACCCCAGCAGATAAGTAGCCAGTACTGTGGCATAGTGTGTTAAGCCACAGCCTGCAGCACTGGGATCCTATAAGGGTATCAGTTCAATCTACTCCCAATCCAGCTCCCTACTGATGCACTTGGGAAAGCAACAGAAGACGCCCCGAATCCTTGGGGTCCTTCACATGTGAGAGACATGAAGACAGCCCTGGTTTTGGTCTGACACAGCCCGAGCTGTCGCAGCCATTTAGGGAGTGAAGCAGATGGAACATCGCTCCTCTGACTCTGCTTTTTCCATGTAACTCTCTTTTCCACATGAATAAATCTTAACAACAAACAGGAGCTGGTGCGGCTGCTGACGGATCCAGTGGAGGACCCAGTCGAAAAGAACAAGCAGGAAAAGAATGATGCGAGCCCAGTTCTCTCAAGAACAGAGCACCGCACAATGTGAGGCCCCCAAAGAAGGACTGTGCACGAGGAAGGTCACCCAAGGCCTGAGCAGCGCAGCCGCACTCAGCCTAACACGGCATCCACAACCTGACTGCCGAGCACCTGGCAAGGCCACCACTGGGACAGCAGGGTGTTAAGACAGCGCTAGGGTCTGGTGATCCCCTAACACTAGTGTGGAGAGGACAGATAAGGCTACATACTAAGTTGCAAATTTCAATTTTGAATACAACAGGAAATAAAATACAAGAATTTGTAACTCTGGAGTTGTTACGTAAGAAACTGACCCACATGGCAGCTGCAGGGACACACAGCAGTGTGGGCTGGCCTCAACATGAGAAACATAAAATACGAAGCTCATACCTCAAAATTCTCGCTAACTTCTTGCATCATTTTTAACTTTGTTTCATCAGCTGTAAAAGACAGAACAAACCATCAGGCAACGGAAAGCAATTAAAGACGTTCATGAAGTGACTAGATTCGTGCAGCTTGGGAGAAGCAATCAGATCTTATCAGTTTTGCTGTCACGGCCCAACGAAGGCACTTAGCTAGTTCCCTACACCCGGTCACACATCCACACACAGACACACAGCAAACACACCGACAAGGACGGACACACACACACACACACACACACACATGCGCACACGTGCACATGCCTCTTTGGGGATCCAGCCTATTTTGCTCATCATTTTGCTTCTCCATAAAGCAGGACAAACCAGGATCACACGCATGCAAGCAGCTCCAGGCCCACGGCCGCCGACCGCGGTGCAGGAGCCACGGCAGCGTGCTGCCCCGGGCAGGCAGGACCCACTCACGTGTGTTCACATCCGTGAGAGCTGCCACAAACTGGAGGTATTTCTTCATCAGCGTGGTTTGGTCAACCACGGTGGCCCCTTGCGTCGCGACAAACGCCATCTTGCTTTTGGGCTGGTTTACGCCTCACCAGACGGATCTTAGGTCCATCAAGTTCAAATTCAGCCAGCCTACGAAAAGGAGCAGCGGGTTAATCAACTGATCAGGGACGCCAACTCACAATCATGGGCAAAATCCTTCCTAAACCTTTCTATCCATAAACCCAGATTATAACAGGATCCCGTCTGCTTCTCCGGGCATCCAGTTCATGCGATCCCTTCTCGTCTGCTACTTTCTTGGCCTGACTCTTAGGAAAGCAAACGCTGTCCTTTCCAATTTTTCCCTTCCTACCCCTAAGCCAGGGGTAGGCACACACTTGCTGTAGAAAGCCAGATGCTAAGTAAGCATTTTGGTCTCTGTGGCAGGGGTCTGACACCACTCAGCTTTCTCGTCAGTTACAAAGCAGAAGCAGCCAATCAGCGACCAGGCAAAGGTGACTGCGATGAAGCTTTACCCAGGGACGCTTCTACACGAACCTCGCGTCATTCTTGTCCATCACATAATACAATTTTGCCCAACCATTAAAATTGTCAAAACCATTTCCAGTTCACGAGGTTGTTTGAAAACAGGCATCAACTGGGGGTTGGCCCCACTGTACTCCGGCAATCTCTGCCCCAGGCGGTCTGGGATTCTCAAACTTCATTGTGCAATAAAACCCCCAGGTGTCAGGGTTGGCTGGTGGTGTAGACTAAGCTATCGCCGGCAACACTGGCACTCCCTGTGAGCACGGGTCTGAGTCCTGGCTGTTCCACTTCTGACCCAGCTCCGGGCTGGTGATCAGGGGAACAGTGCACAATGGTCTGAGTGTTTGCGCCCTGCACTGGCATAGGAGACCCGGCCAGAGTTCTAACCCCTGGCTTGGGCCTGGCACAGCCCTAGCCACTGTGGCCATCTGGGGAGTGACCCAAGCCACAGAAGGAAGACCTGTCTCTCTTCCTTTTTCTGTAACTCTATACCTTCCAAATGAATAAGTAAATCTTTAAGACCTATTTATTTTTGCTTGGAAGATTCACACGGAGAAGGAGAAACAAAGAAGGCAAGATCTTCCATCCACTGGTTTACTCCCCAAATGGCCACAAACCACTGGAGCTAAGCTGATCCAAAGCCAGGAGCCAGGGGCTTCCTCCAGGTCTCCCATGTGAGTGTGGGGTCCCAAATACTTGGGCTGTCCTCCACTGCTTCCTCGGGACATAAACAGAGCTGGATGGGAAGTGGGGCAGCCAGAGCATGAACTGGCATCTAGATGGGATGCTGGCACTTAAAGGAGGAAGATTAGCCTGTTGAACCATGGCGCCAGCCTCAGAATAGATAAACCTTTTTATTTTAAAAGAAAAATTACCAGGTGCAAAAGGTGGCAACCATCACTTGGGAAACGGGCTATTTACAGCTTGCACAGCACTGGGTTCTCAGAAAACACCCCTTGAAATGAGCCAAGGTTTCTAACGGCACCTCAGCCACCACACTGAGAGCTGCCCCTGCAAGCCGACACACAGTTGCGGATCTGGTTTCTGCCCTATGAGCTGGTGGGCAGGGCAAAAGCTGCCACCCAAGATGTGGGCACCCTAGATGGGTGTCCCCGCTGCTTCACTTCCCATCCGGCTCGAGTGCAGGTGCCCTCAAGGGCTGGGCCGTTAACCCACAGGAGACCAGCATGAAGCTTCTGCCTTCAGCCTGGCCCAGTGCTGGCTCCTGCAGTCATCCGGAGGTGACACAGGTGTGAACCAGCAGATGGAATCTCTCTCTCTGAGACTTTCAAATAAATACATTTCTTTAAAAAAAAAAAAATAGCTGTGCACATAAAGTGCATCCCACCCCCCTCACCACCACCAAGCCATTTTCTTTATACAATTCACTCTGCATTAAATAGGTTTGGTTCTCCATCTTCAACACAATCCGCCATCACCACAGATCTCGCACTACGGGGTCCACACCTTCACAGCTGACCGGACGCCCAGGGCAAGGGGGACACGCGGACACCTGCCGGCTGCTTGGGGCCACCCTCGGGACGCTCGCGGGGTGCGAGGTGGGGCCGGAGGAGGCCCACTTCTCGGCCGATCACACAGACGATCGCGTCCGGGAGCGACGGAACTGGCATTAAGGCCAAGGCGCCCAAGGACTCGGCCAGCCCTGCTGAGGCGGGCGGGACTGAACCCCAACACCCCAGGCCCACACCCCCCAGCCGGAGGGGCCCAAGATCCAGGGCGGGAGCCCAAGAAAACGGGATCCAAGAAAATCCAGGACCCAAGAAAAACCCCTTTCGTCCAGCCTTTTCAAAAAAAAAAAAAAAAAAAAAACCCTTGGTGAAGGCTTGCAAACCCTCCTTCACGGAAGTCCTCCATTTCCCGGGGACCCCCGCCAGGCTCGCTCCTCTCCCCGCGGGGATCCTGACAAATCCCCGCGGCCCATGCCGCCCGCCCTTCGCGAAGCGGCTCCCAGGGCCGCGGAGGCCGAGGGCCCACGCCCGGCTGCCCACGGGCCCAGGAGGAGAAGGCCGGAGCCCGGCGCCCCGGCGCCCCCGGCCGCCCAGCTGCAGCGAACCTGCGGGGCGCCGCCGGGCCGCAAGGGGCGCTGTGGCCGCCGCCGCCCCGCCTCGGTGCGCGCCGGGGCCCGCGAGTCCGGAGCCGGGCCGGGCCCGGAGAGCCGTCGCCGGCCCCCCGACCGCCCGTCGCCCCGGAGCTGACCCGGCGCAGACGCCTCCTCCGCCAGCTCGGCCTCCTTTCGCGGCCTGGCCCAGCCGGCGCTCTTCCGCGAACCGCCTCCCTCCTCGGGCCGCGCTACGGCGAGCGCCGAGGGACAATCGCGCCGCCCGCTCGCCCCGCGCGTGCTCACCCCGGCCGCCCCGGCCGCCCCCGCTCGGCTCCGGGCTTCCTCTCTGCTCGATCCCCCGCAGCGGCGCAGGAGGCCCGAGCCCGGGGATGGGATCCGACGGGAAGCCGCAGCGCTCGGGGCCCCCTCTCGGCCAAGATCTCGCCGTCGTCAAACCCCAGGCGGAGGCGCGCGCGTCGCCCCGGGGCCGTTCGGCCGTGCGCCCGTGCGCCCGTGCGCCCGCGGCCGTAGCTCCGCAGCCCGGGCCTCCGGCCAAGCCCTCGCCGCCGCAGCCGATGCCGCGCGCGGTCCCGCCCCCGCCGCCCCGGAGCTGGGCCCCGGCGCGCCGCCCCCAAGTGGGAGCGGCCAAGGCGGGCGGCGGGAACGGGGAGGGGCGTGTGCGGCCCGCCCGGTGGGCGCCGGGGGCCGGGGCGGGGAAGCCGGGCACGCGCAGCCCAGGCGGGCGGGCAGGTGCAGCCGAGCGCCCCTCCCTCCGATCCCCTCGCCTGCGAGGAGGCCCGGGGTGGGATGAACGTGACGGACCGGGCGGGGTCTCCACCCTGGCCTTCTCCTCTGCCCCGGCTCAAAGGGGACGAGGGGCAAGGAGGCGCTTCTACAAGTTTAGAGACAACAGCAGACCCTGGGAGCCAAGGAAAATTCTGCTGCTCTGCTCGGAGGTGGCGGCGAGAAAGGTCCCGTTTATTCTGCAGGATAGCCATCTTGCGCACCCACTCCTACCCTGGCAGGCAGGAGTCCTTGGAATCTCAAAGGCAAGAGGCTGGGCCCAGTGTGGTGGCCTAGCAGCTAAAGCCCTCACCTTGCACACACCCTGGTCCTATTTGAGCACCGTTTCTAATCCCAGCTGCCTACTTCCCATCCAGCTCCCTGCTTGTGGCCTGGGAAAGCAGTCCAGGCCGGCCCAAAGCCTTGGAACCCTGCACCCGCATGGGAGACACGGTAGAGGCTCTGGGTTCCTGGCTTAGGATCGGCGTAGTCAGTTACCGCCGTTGTGGCTGCTTAGGGAGTGAACCATCGGATGGAAGATCTTCCTCTTTATATATCTGCTTTTCCAATAAAAATAAAATAAACCTTGAAAAAAAATGGCCAGAGGCCTTGGAGGCCTTGGAGGCCGAGTCACCGAGGGAGAGGACCAGGTCAGCTGTCACAGGCAGGTCGGGACCACAGGCACCTTACCTGGGAGGGGTTGACGTGAACTGCTCCCGGTTGTGGGGGATTGGGAGCCTGGTCTCAGTGCTTCACCTCCTTGCACCTGCCTGGACTCCCCTGGGCCCATGCCATCGCCCTAACCCACCACTCCCTTCCCTCAAAGAGAGCATTTCACACTGGACAGTAAGCAGAGGTCGCTGCAGACACCTCCTAGCGCCACCCCCGCCCAGGGTGCACCGCGGCCTCTAGCCTGGGTTCCTGGCCTGCGAGGAAGCAAGTAAGTCCTGGTTGGTTCTTTTGCCACCTAGAAAAAGCTAACTGGAAACAGACTTCTCACTAGCCCCTCCTCCCCGACCCTGCCCCCCAAAAGCAGGAAGTCCAGATTTGAGAAACACATCAAAAATCCAAGGGTTGGTGATTTGTAGCCTCCGTTAGGGCTAGAGTGAAAGGCAAGGCAACATTTTGAAGTTGCAGTTAATTGCACATGAGGAAGGTCTGCCATGGAGCCTAGCCACGAGGCAGGGAAGCTGCTGACTCAGCAGCCTTCTAACCCAACACCCATCCAACGGGTAATGATCTTAAACTGCTTGTGTCTCCTGGTTTAGAGATTGGGGACAGTGTCAATTTCACTCCTATTAGATGAAGCAAATCAGAGCAGCGATCGGGTACAGCAGATAACAGGTGCTGCGTGGGGCACCTGCCTCCCACATCACAGCTCCGGATCTTGTCCCCACTATTTGCAAGCCAGCTTCCTGATACCACGCCCCCTGGGAGCAAGCAGATGATGGCTCAGGGACGTGGGTCCCTGCCACCTACCAACTTGGGGGACCTGATGATGGAGTTCCAGGCTCCTGGCCTCCCCCTGGAGCATTTGGAGCAGGAACCAGTGAGTCCAAGTCTAGGACCTCCCATTTCCGATAAAAGCAACATATATATATATATATAAACAAAACCCTGCAAGGACGGCTGGACTCACTTTCATCGCCTGGCCTTTCTGAGCTGCTCACATTCCTTCTCGTCTTGTTCAAGCCAGCAGGGGGGCTTGCTGTGACCCCTACCCACCTGCACCCTTCCAGCCTTAAGGGCTTCTCTCTGGAAGGCACAAAGCTGGCTCCTTGGCCTCCTCATTCAGCCCAAATGTCACCTCCTCTGAAACGCCTTCCACAGGGGTCAGCAGACGGAAACTCGTCCTACCCACTGTCAAGTATGACGCCTGTGCCCCATAACATCACAAACTGAAACTGCAACTCAGGTACCAAGGTAACCCCTTGGGGTGGGGTGGGGGGTGTAGAGTAGTGAAGGTGAAACAGTTTAGTGCTGCCAGCACCTTTGTCACTCAATGTTCCCACAGGGCTACCTTGCAACATTGTATGCAGAGGTCCCCAGCAGAGTCAGGGTTTTCCAGCATAGAATGTGGGAAGAGGTGGGCTGTCTGGGCTGGAAAGGCCAGTCCCCTCTCCCCATACATTGCCCGCCTGCACTTTACAGATGGGTTGGGCCTTTCTGGCTTACCCCTCCTTAGCTGATGTTCTGGACATGCCCCCACGCCTTGCTGTAAAAGCCCCAGCAAAGCCTGACGCCATAGGGGCTAAAGTTCTCACATTGTACATGCCAGGATGCAGGATCCCATATGGGCGCTGTTTCTAATCCCACAGGCCCTGCTTGCCATCCCAGCTCCCTGCTTGTGGTCTGGGAAAGCAGTAGAGTCAGCCCAAAGCCTTGGGACCCTGCACCCACGTGGGAGACCCAAAAGAGTTCCTGGCTTTGGATAGGCACAGCACTGGCCATTGTGGCCACTTGTGGAGTGAACCATCAGATGGAAGATCTTCCTCTCTGTCTCTCCACCTCCACTTTTCCAATAAAAATAAATAAACCTTAAAATAAAATCCCCAGCAAACTGCTACTCCAGTTGCTGCTTTGGGAAAGCTTTAATCGGGCAGCGCCCACTAGTGGCTGATAAGCTGCTGGTGTCCTGGTGCCCTGGTGCCCCAAGCCAGGACCCTCTGTGGCTTGCAGGTGGCCATTTGGTTAGATGCTACACTGACCTCTGGGTGGTGGGTGCAAAGAGGAGGTTTGGTATCTCTTCCTCTTTTTTTTCAAGGTTCAAGGGCTACAGGAAAGTGGGTAAAATTATTATTTCCATATGTTTCCTTCATGTATCCGAGGTAAAGGGGGATATGGAGGGAAGAGACCCACCCAGTCTCCCACCCACCCTAGGACCCTGATGTGGGGCATGATGTGGTTTTTGATGGTTCACCAGTTATGAATCGCTGCCAATCTCATCACTCCAAGCACGATGAGGTCGTTGAAGAATCCACTGATTGACATAGTCCATCATAGAGTCTCCATTTGCCCAGTATTTTGCTGACAAGATATAGCTGATGTGGTTGATTGACTTGTTCTGTCTTCTGTCTTTTCATGGTTAGGGTTCTGAGGCCAGCAATTCAGTTGGGGAGATCCCCAAAGAAACTTTGTCTGAGGTGTTCCCAGACCAGATTCTTGTATGTACTAGCAAGTACAGGGCCCGGTACAGTCCATCACCCTGATCAGCTGGTGGTTGCAATTCCCGGGTCACTTCTGTTTCCAGTGCTGTCTTCCATGCGAACCAATGGGTGTTGCAGTCCAGCCTGGTTCTGCCCAGCACACACTCGGCCCTCACATAAACCAGTGGGAGCTGCAGCCTAGTCAGAGTGACCCACAATAACCCCCACTAGGCCCGCCCCCTAACCTGGTTTGCCAGTATGTGCAGCAGACTAGTCCAGTCTGTCCCACATCCCGTTTGGCTCTCGTACACATCAATGGGTATTAAAGCTTGGTTCCATCTAACCAGCTCAACTATCCAGCCCTTACAGATGTTGTTGGGTGCCTCTCTGTCTAGCCACCCCAGCCCCTGTCCTGGTTTTTGTGCCCTTCCGTGGGGATGGTAACCCAAGAGGGAGGAGCCCACTGTTTCCCTCCCAGGCCTCTCCCACTCCCGGATCATGCAGTTTCCAGGTGGTTCTGTGGTTTGACTTGACAGAATTAGCCCCCGATGCCAGCTTCTGCCAGCTGATGCTGTGGCTAAGCCCAAACAACCCTCACCCACTCTAATTTTGTTTGCACCAGTAGGAATAATCAGCCCAGCCTGGCTTTTCCCTGATCTAGTCCACATGAGGTGCACAGGTGTTGTAGCCTTGCTTAGTCTGGTCTGCCCCCATCCCATCTCACCCTCTCCAGTGGGAGCTGCTGTCCAGCAAGGGAAACCCCCATATTCCCCCTGCTGGTTCTGCCCCCTCCCTTCCTGGTTCTCACACTTGCTGGTTGGG